AGGTATGAAGTTCAGAAGAGCTGATGTCATTAAATGTTTTGCAAAGAATTACCAGCAATATTTAATCGAAGATGGAGTCAGATACAGTTAGCCTTCACAAACAAAACATTACAAAAATGATATATAAGACAACTAAATCACATGACTATTTTTAGCTCAAATGATTTATTGCAAGGCTTGATGAAAAGAGTGGTATTAAATGAATCAAAGACTTTCTATTAATAAATGAAGTGAAAATCATTGGGAAATCATTCTGTTTCTTTCTAAAAAATTGCATTGGCTTGAATACTTCCCAAATTTGCTTCCTTGCCAGCAGGTCATTATCACACAAAGAAAAGCCAAACTTCCTCTGCCTGTGTGCTGTTAAGAGATTGCTGTTGTTAACTGTTTTATTTGGGAAAAGATCTTAGTATAGTGTACTAGTGTACCATTTTAAATAGTTAGTAAGAGCAATATAAAAAAAGATAGTGAGCCAAAGTGTACATTTTGTCAACAATCATGTCATGACCTCAGTCTTCCTCAGATCCAGTGAATAGTTCATCACTTTCATCTTTCCTGCTGCTGCTGTCATTTTCACTGTTGGCATCTTGTTCATCTTCATCATCAACTGGAAAATCAACGTCTGACATCAGATTTGTGTAGTCCTCACTATTATCACTGCATTCTACTTCATCACCAGAGTTCCCATCATCACTGTGGTGATCACTGTCATCATCATCATCACGGTCATTACCATTATCATCTGCTCCCTCCAGCATCATTTCTAACACATCAAGGAATGGTGATGCCAAGCTGCAAGAATTAATTTAAAAATGATTTCAGAGGGCCTTAACATGCATCCATTTCAAGTGAATCTCTTTCAACTATACAGCATGACATTGAATGTGTTTGATGGAGACTATGAAAATCCATCAAAGTGTACAATAATAGCTGTGTTCCAGAAAGAGCATGGGCCTGCTAACAAGTCAAGTTTTCCAGGGTTGGAAACTTAAATTTGGGAACAGGCCAATCCTCTCACTTTCTGTGCTCTTCACACGACCTGCACTCACCCAATCTCAGTCTAATTCATAAAAAAAAAAAAATAATCAGACTTAACATAACTTAATGACATCACTCAAAAGAACAATTTGAATGCAGTTCAGTCAGGGAACAAAATCAAACACAGAACCTTTTTTAAAGTTCGCTGACCAAACCAATCAAACCAAAACATACTCGATCAAATCAATTCAAGTGATCATGGTTTTCTTCTTGGGGGAGGTTTGATTTTGTTGTATGGCATTTGCAAACTCCATCAAACTCAATCAAACTCAATCGAAAGAAAGAGTTTGATGGAGTTTAGAAACCAAAAGTTTTCATGGAATAGTCTGGGTTTGTGTCTCAAAGGTACAGAAAAAGAAATATATAAATTTATATACTTGCTGTCTTGTTTTTATCCTACAGTCTAGACCGACTTTTCTTGTATTATTTGAAAAATTTTATTGCTTAGCTTTTAAAACCAGTAAAATTTTCATTTTTAGTCTAAACATCATGTGCATAAAATAATTTACCAGGCTTAGGAGGTTTTTTGTGTTTTCATGAAATGGGCAACTGAAATGCTTAGATCTAATGCCTGTTCTGCAGGACAATAAATCACCCATTGAAAAAATTGTTCATGAGCCAAAGGATAATTACATGTTGAAATTGTATTTTTTTGTTAGTGAATCTGAAATACAAGCGTTATTTAATGAAGTACAACCAGAGGTTTTCAAAGATTGTGATTTTTACCCTGTTGAATTGTGACACCCTCAAGGCCATATTACACAATGCTCACAATTTCTGTTTGCAATAATATACAAAAGGCTGCAAATTGCATGTTTGACATGTCACACACAACAACTTGTCTGGTAATGTTGAGAAAAGTAGAGGACAGTTCTATTTTTTTGTGCAACTTGCAAACCAACATTTTGCAGCATTGCAGGTTGCCAAAATGGGGTGATTTTATTAAGGCTCAGGGAGCCTTAGTATGGTAGGTATGTACCGTATGTATGTATGTATGTATGTATGTATGTAACATGGCCTTCATTACAAATCATAAGCCTAATACTGTATACTGTATGAATAAGCAACTTACTCAGGTCTAAAGTGCCCAAATTTTGGGAAATCGTGCCTCCTCCGCGAACAAAATCTGCATCTACTTTGGCAACGCCAACATCTGGCCAACGTTTTCGTCCTGACCCTTTCCTCCTCCTCGTCAAACCACTCTAGCCTATCCACCAACAGGGACGGTACCACCGGGTTATCGTCTTCCCTTATTAACTGTTTCGATTTCATTAGTTTTATTCGCGAGGACACCAACGTTAAGAGTTGAGGCGATGGCGCCTCGCCTGGTTGCCATCCTCCCAATCTTCCAGGGGAGATGTCCTTCAGCTGCTTCTTCGTATCCTCGTTTGCGGTTTCGATCAGCTGGCCAAAGAATGCGCTCACCCCTTCTAACACCGGGTTTCCTCTAACCTTATGCCCCGCTCTCAATCCTGCCTGACAGGCAAAGGTATAAATTGCCACATCTAGCAATTCTGTCAGCTCTTCTGGAAGGCGCTTTTTCGAACCTGTTGTCCCAGACGAAGATGCAGCACACGACGCCATTGAGAATTTCGACGAGATGTTACTTTCCATCGTTGTCGATTTTCAATATTCGCACCTCAAAGAGCTCGTTTTCTGATTGGTGCGGGAATAGGGGTGCTTTGTTACCATCATTGATTGTCTCCATCCAAATATGGAAGTCAATGAAAAGGCCGGAAATAGGAAATAAATCACGAGGTCACAAGTTTTTGCCTGGGTCAGAGAATCTGTATAAATGTCAATGATTGTCAGTGGCCAGTTGTTAATATACGATTAAAGATGCCTTCCTCTAACCCACTGTCATTCCTGCGTCCTCTGTACGATATTGCTGTGTGGCAATTTATTTTGATGAGCGGCTACAAGGCAATTTCAGGAAGGGAATCACCCCGTAACACGCACATAAAGTTCACATGGAAAATGCACGAGGTCGTGGCTAATTTTTTATGTAAACTGTTAGAGGTACGTGCCTTCGATCACCTGCAATCACAGCTGCGTGGTGAAGAAGTAAAATCGGCGACTGGAAATTGGGAAGTTGGACAGATAGCAACAACCAAACTGGTTGAATGGTGTCAGGATCAGTGGCGGAGAAAGGATCCCCGTCTTCCTGGGAGCAATGCAGCTTACTCCGAAAACGAGCCGTTAACCATACCATGGTTCGATAACATCCCCGTGTGTCATCGGTGCGGGGTGCCATGCCCAAGCTGCAGAAATGAACTCGCTTCTGAATTACCCTCCGAGATGTCCACAGCCCGGGCTATTTTAAACTTCGATGACATCCACGAGAACAACCAAAACGCGGGTGATGATGAGATTGCTGACAAGAACGATGACGAACGTGGTAATGAGCAAGGTGGTAACGCACCCAAGGAACCCGAATACTGCCCTGCAAGTCCTCAGATGCGAATGCAGTTGAGATCAAGGAAAAGGAAGCATAATGCCTCCAACTAAGTTGGTTCAAACAGTTCTTGTTATATTTCGATGAAATACGTTCAAACGCTTTTTTACGTTAAAATGCTATGCGAATCAAAAAGGTGATTCTTCTGTTCGACATTAAAATGTGCGTAGTGGGTTCTTGTTCCTGAGATGCGTCGCACGCATAAAAAAAGAAAGGGATTGCTTGCAGCCTAGCATTGCATATTTTTATTACTTCATTCAGTTTATTGCTATTTGCTCAAGTGGTCCTTACATTGTTAAAGTTAAGCGAAAGATCATTGGGATGTTCATTTGAGGCTTTGCAGAAAATACAGCGATAATACAACCTTGTATCCAAGCTAGTGAAACGTTGTTTAAATCGACAAAGTTTTACAAGTTTGGGTACTTCAATAATCATTTATATCAGAGATACTGTACTGGTCAAAGAACCTCTTTTGTTGTAATATCTATATAGACAGTGACCAATCACAACTAGAAACATTATGCTAAATATTGTAACATCTATCTGTAAAATTACTTTTAATAAAACATGGTTATGTTCAGATTTGTAACTCTAAGATGATAGCATTAAAATTTTAAGTTAATTAAGTTTTAACAAGATTTCATAAATCCCAAAGTCTTGCCCTGAATAATTAGTTTATGCCAGTGACTATAATATATCAGCAGCCAGCACCACTTTGTTACAAGCAATAACTTTACAAAAGGCCTAAAAAAATTGAAGAGGTACACTTGACTTGTAATGTAACATAAAATTCACCTTGTGCCAAACTGACCCACACATGACAATAAGTGTGGAAATTGAATCTGGCACAACACAATGAGCAATTATGGTAACTGATTTCTTTTTGGAAAAATGTTATGTTAAAAATAAAATTTATGTGGAATGTACAAAAAATTCTTGGGAACGGATAATTATTGAACTTAAACATTATTTTGCAAACATGGAAAATTTTCTACCAATATTTCATTTGTAAATTTTTGCAACTTGATGTTATTGTTATTATAAAATCATAATATCATTATTATTTTTACTCACTTTGCTTTAATCATTTTAAAATGATAATGTAATCTGTTACTGTTCTAACAACATAGTAACAGTTTTCAATTCACTGATACAGACAAACAGACACCATTGGGACGAGTGAATGCGTCTGGTTAAGAGGGAGGTCCATTTTTGTGAGGTCAAAAATGTAGTATTTGTACATGGCTGGGACCACAACTTACTGTCTGCTAGGGGCAAGTGTCTGTTAGCAGAGATTTGACTGTAGTTGGGCAAATTACCATTTCAAATGTAGTAATACATTTATAATGAAATCCATTGCTTACTCTTCAGAGTACACAGTGATAAGAAAGCATAAAATTTTAATCAGCCACCTCAAATGGCAAAGCTAACGACAAGATCTGTACTTTTCAAAGGATGCATTTAACAATGAGAATCCACAAGTCCTTTTTTGCAAAAGGGCCATGAACTACCGTAGAGGTTTAAACATCCACATTTTATGATCAAATATTGGATTTCCATCATGTTGTTCCTTTATCATTTCTGCTCTAGCATCTTGTGTGTACAGTTCAAAGCTACTGGATTTCCTGAAAGAAAGGAAAACCAATAATCAGTCAAGCCAAAATGATTATTCTTCATTGACACAGATTTTTTTAAAACAAGAATCTCACTGCAAATACTAGAATAGATTAAAATGAAGTAAGTAAACGGACAGTTGAATTTCAACAATGAGCTAACCAACTGAATGCAATGGAACAATAAAAGAAAGAAAAGGGGCTTCCAGTTTACTTAAGGCTGGTTTACAATTATTCTGGGATGAGCACAAGCATAAGTGCAAGCATAAGTGCTAGCATAACCACAAAAGGTGTTCACAGTTGTGATAAGCACAACCTTAGACACCATGCACAAGTGCAGTGTTTTCACAATTCTGATGGATACTGCATGATAGGAGATAGGTCAACTACCAAAAGTTGTGCTTGTCCTTGAGCTTATTTCACCTTGGTTCCCCCTTGTGAAATAAGCATAAGCACAAGTAAAAGAAAGTGTTTTTGTGTGCTTATTCCTGTGCATGTTTCACGTTGTTGCACATTGGCATTTTCTTGTCACAGAACTGAATCCCTTTTAAACCTGAAACTTTTGTTACTTTTAACAGAATACTTGATTATTCACTTCATACATGAATTAAAAAATGCATTTTGCTTTTTACTTGAAGATAAGAAAGCTTTTCTGGCCTCTTAACAATAGACCAAGATTTTTGCACGTCACTAATATAAACATCTTGCCCATTTTAAAATGATAATGTAATGATACATTACATCTACATAAACTTTATTCAAACTATAGAATGATACAATCTTCTGTTTTATTTTGTCATCTCATGAATTTCATGATACACTGCACTCTTGGCTGCATAAAAAAAAAACAAAAAAACAAAAAGGCTTTTTCACTTGTGTACATGTAAGTTTGAACATAGGTTTTTTAATTCACATGTAACATACCATCTCCCTGCTCTTTTTATGGTACTATCATCTGCCCCACAACGAGCAGCCCATCGAGCTGCTGATCGTCTGATGCTGTGTGTCGTGAATTCCTTCTCAAAAAGAGCCTTGGACATCTAAATAATATTGAAATTCAGGAAATTAGTTTAAGTAGCTGAATGAAGCGTGTATTCTGGCTGCTTCTCCTAGCTGATGGTTATCTAACAGCATGAACAGATACAGTTTTTAACTAAATTAGTTACAGATAAATTTAAACTGTATACATCATTACCTCAAGAAAGGTTTTCCTGTAGGTGGTGACCCCACGGGCACAGTTTCGAGAGGACAGCACGGTTATTTTTCCCAACCCTTGGGAAAAGGTAACCCCACGAATATCTTCAGTCAAATATGAAAATAATATGATCAGTTTTTGCTAGACAAGTTCATTTTGAAAGATACCAAATGTATACAACCAGGAAAAAAAAATGCTATTTGCAAAGTCAGTGAATAACTAAATTAAAGTGTAAGGAATCTGTAGCCAAGGGTCAAAACCCTCTACTAATGGGGGGTACTTGATGAGTTGATGAAATTTGATGCCTTTTCTACAAATGGATGGCCATTAATACAACTTGAATGGGAAGGTCACATACAAAAGATCAACTTAGCAGGTGCTCAAAATTCTGAAGGTGATTAAAAGCATTTTTTAAACTAGTTGCTTTTAAGACATGAACTTTTCTTATGTAAACAACACCACTATAGAGCAGTATAAATATTAAAGGGGGGTCCTCCCCTAAATCCACCATTACATGGTGAAAGCTCGATATTGCAAGTGAATAGTGGAATTATGGGGCTCAAGGGAAACTGTGGGCAAAGTTGCTGGCAGGACACCTGACTCTTCCTTGCAGCCTGGCTGCTCCATTTGAAAAAAAAAAAAAAGCAATTGGTTGAAAAATCCAGCCAGCTATGCAAGCCAAAAGTAACCACCCTGGGAATTCAAAAATGTGGTCATAACTATAAATGGTTGCTTGCAAAAATGGAAGGCTAAAAACAAAGGAAAAGACTAATTGGTAGTTCAAAAAAACAGATGTGCTTGGACCCTATGACAGCTTTAATTGCAGAATTTGTATAATAATTAAAACAGGGTTTACATAAGGTGTAGTGGCAGTAACCAGAGCTGGTTGCTTAGGAGAGGTTGCAAGGAGTGCTTTGACTGTGTTAAAATGCTGTGGTTCAATTTTATTTCTTGATTCAGTTTTGATTCATCATTGCTCCCTTATAGGTTGATAAATGTCAAACAAAGAGAAATACAAATAGAACCAAGGATAATGTTGAACTAAAACACAAAATTCAAATAAATTCTTTACAAACCTGCTACAAGTAACCATGCAATAAGAGCAGTCACAGGGCACAACTGTTTGTTGAAAGGGTTACTCCACAGGGTAAGTGTAACACCTGAAATCAAATGATTGATGATTAGAATGGTAAAGCCCGCCTCAAACCCTTCCAAACCAAACCTTTTTGTAGGGTTTTTAGAGGTTATCTTGGGCCCCTTAACAATACCTACAATTGCTACCATGATTTAGCAAGGTTTGATAACTGATCCAGGAACTCTAACACCATCGTCATTGCTTCCATTTACACTAAACAATTTGATATTTATATTGATGACTTTACCTAAGACATGAATAATGACAGCATGTTGTAAGAAAATATTTAAAAATCAGTATAAACTTTTTAAACTCATTAATAATTTATCATTGTTTCAAATGCAAAGAAGTTATTAAACACTCAAGACAGTGTTATATCATTTATCTGAACACCTTAAATTTCATCAAAAACACTCTGTTTCACGTCGTAGTGTGTAGTTCCATAAATTATCCCTACCTATCCCACAAAAGAGATTTTTCATAAGACCCTCACCCCCTAGAAATTCCAATTGAGCTTCATACATTTCCTTCAAAGGTTTTGGTCTCTGAGACCCCACCACCAAGAATTTCCAATCCCTTCTGTGGGGGTAGTTTGGACATTTTCTGGAACCACACATTTAGAGTATGACTTCATTAGCAATACTTTATGAAATATTTTCCACAGGGTGAGGAAGGATGGTGGAGGGAGGTTCAGAGACAGCGATGGAAGGGAGGTGTTTTAACTTTAAATTTCTACTTATACATCTAGTATAAAAAAATAAACTAGGTCAAAAAAAATAACCTGGTTGGAAAAATGACCTAAGGCTAATTTTGACCTGTAACACATATATACCCACCTTTGGCTTTTCTATCTGCCTTTGACCATGGTATTTTTACCTCAATTCGCTTTGGCAATGTAATGGGATCACCTGAAAATAAGATATTATATTAATGGTCATTAACAATATTAATAAAACAATTCAAAAGCAGAAATTTATAAAAACAGATTTGTAGTAGTAATTACTTGCCCAGCCTTTCAGATATCAAGTCAGGAGTAAAAAATGTATACAGTAAATTATGAAATTGGCTTTTAAAATAAATTTGTGATAAATGTTACATATACTTCATTGTTGTGCAAGACAAGCTATACACTAATCATTACCTAAGGTGAAATTGGCAGGTAACCTCAAGTTCTTCAGCTTGAGACGAAGAGGTTCCTCCCCTCTCAGGAACAGTGCAAAGGAAAACAATGTAACAGTCCATAACCATATACCTCGTAAACCCTATGAAAGTAAACAATTTTTTATCATATAGATAGGTATTGTACTGGTGAATAACATAGCATTACCGATTAGAACTACTAGTCCATTTTCTCCTGAAACAAAAACAGAGCTCATGGGCTTCCTCAAAATGATTATGTCTGACCCCTCCCTACCAACTAGTTATGCTCCCTCCTTTAATTTTATTATTTATTTCTGATTACCTCTATTGTATTAAGGCAGTATGCACGCATGCGCAGTAGCTGCTGAAGGGTAAATGGTGGTGCCTTCTTGGGCTCATAAGGCACCCTTCCATGCCGGGTGTCCTTAGCAGTAGGTCTTGTAGCCCTCTTCACAAGCTGCTTTATCATCTGAGTAACATCTATGACACATAGATAAAAAAATTATTCTAAACCAGCAGGTCTCTTTTACACATCATTCCACAGGTGGCTGTGCTATTAATATATATAAACATAATAAATAAATTCACCTAGCCCTAAACAACTATTTGATAACTGTTCTAGGGTTAGAACACTATATCATTAACACACCGATCTGTGCTTGTGACCTAAGGAATGTGAATTGCAAATTAAAGCAACCTGCCTATTCAAAACTCTTTAACCCCTGAGGGTGACCAGCATCACATTCTCCTCAAAATATTTAAATAAATGGTTTACATACAGGAACTATTAAACAATAGTCGAAAGTGTTTCTGTCAAGGAACTATCTACTGATAGTTACCCCACAGAAATTTAATGTTCTTAAAACAAATATGAGCCCAAGAGGTTAAGTTGTGAGGGATAATATCCTAGTTTTAAGAACATCAAATTTCCAAGGGACAACTATCAGACTGATAGTTGCCCCTTGGATATGTGCACCCAATTAAATATGAGCATTGTGAGTTAGTTTTTACTTTTCAGAATAAAAGACTCAATTGAAAGCTGAAATTTAACAAACAACAAAAAAAAAAACCGACAACAAATACACTAAATACAGTGAATTTGGTCAGTTTTTTTGGGGCTGTAGGCCCGCTTGTTTACAGGAAATTTCAAGGAAGGGCACTATCCATCTGAGCATTTTTTCTGGGATAGGCACTATAAGATGATAGTGCCCTCCACAGGTAGACACTATCATTGATATATTAGCTTGATAAATGAAGCTTCAAGAGCTAACGTGCTAGATTTTAGAATATCAAATTTCCAAGAAGCAGCTATCAAACCGATAGTTCCAAGACAAGGCATGCCAATTTTAAAAACAATGACACTAAATTATTTTTTTAAATTTCTGGATGAATGATTTGAAAGCTGACATTTAACAAATGAAAAAAAATGAATGAAAAATGAAAAAAAAAACCGGCAAGAGACCCACCAAATGCAGTGAGTTTAGTGGGGTTTTCCAGTCTGTGGATGACTTTTATCCATCCAGGTATTACCCTCTGACCAGTGCTATGGGCTGATAGTACCCTCCCCAGATGAACACTATCAGCCAAACTATTACTAAACCAGTCAGAAGCAGAGAACATTCAAGGGTAAACTATATCATAGAGAGTAGAGACAACATTATGCTCATGAAAATTAAGGAAATAGTCAATAAAACAGGAAGAGAAATGAGCATTTCCTTTTATATTTAACAGCATCAAGCTGATGTGTAAGACTATACATGAATCATTTTATAACCTACCAGGTGACGACATGGGATTTCCCTTTGGCACAACTCGTTGAGAGCCATCTTCAGCCGTAACAATGGCTTCGCTGTATTGCTCCGTGTGCCCAAACGCACAGAACCAATAATTAAAGGCGGCTGCATAGCCCCTGATAACAGGAGGCTTGAGCCCACGACAACGTAATGTGCCAATTTTCTTCCCTTTTGTTTCACCCATCACCTCTGAAAAAAAAATGTTTTAAGATTATTATAAGCACATTTGCACATTTGCCTAAACTCGCACAGTTCTTATCTAATTGGGTATAGTTATAAGTTTCTTGAAGTCCAGAGTATTTCGTTTAAACTGACCTCCACACCATATATTCCTTGTCTTACCATCTAAAAACACGTTTATGTTTAAACCGACAGACCAAAAATAATATTTGCTTGCAGATTTCTCATGCCGAGAAAAACATAAGTTCGCATGGTTTTTGGTCTCCCTGCAGAAAGGCCTCAAAAAAGAGTGGCAGCTTTTATGAATTTCTCATAAGGAGCGTAATCCTTCTCATTCGTAAACAGTTAGACTGTTTACATTCCCTAATTCATTCAGTTAATTCAGTAAAGTCGTCGCCATCTTGAACGGACCGAGGACGTGGGTAACCTGGCCTACGCGTGCCACACAAAGCACATGTTGACCTTTTTCTACCGCGTCTAATTACAATCCCTGCAAGTGAAACAAGCACATTTTTTTCTTTGCGTTTCAAACAATGTCTTACAATGCATTCAACAGCAAACTATAGTTTCAAAATATAGCCCTCACTTTTTTATACCACGTATTGCGTCAACGCGATTTATGGCTCTAGTAGATTTACCACATTTTGCGATCGCGTTAAAATATGTCTCAGTTCTATTCTTTAACCGGGTTTTGCGTTATTGCAAACTGTGGTTTCAAAAGTATGGACCATAGCCTTTACTTTTTATACCATATATTGCGTTAACGCAATATGTGGTATAAAAAGTAAAGGCTATAGTCCATACTTTTTATACCATATATTGCGTTAACGCAATTTAACGCAATTTATGGCTCTATTAGATGCAACACATTTTTGAATCGCGTTTCTTACTGTTCTTTTACCAGGTTTTGCGTTATTGCAAACTGCGTAATGTTAATGTGTGTAAATAATCACTTATGAGAACGAAATTGTTCGACATTGTTCTATAAACAGAAGTCAGTTAAAAATAGTGTAAATACACCTACTTTTATCTTAAACTACAATTGCATTTAAAGTTGAAAACTTAGAATTTCACACGTCACCGCGTGTTTCAGTTGCACATCCGGCGAGCCTAAATTCGTCGGCCTCATGATCCCTCACGAATAAAAACCAATAACAACGTGATTATTTCAGCTAATTTTGTCATAACCAACGAAATATCTAAGGAATACACTGCGTACGAACTAAACAGCGTTGATCAAATATTTCTTTAAAGAACGCCGACATAACCAAATGTGCATTGGAGAACTCGAAACTTGCGATTACTGTAATTACTAGATCGGTGCTGAAAAGTAATACTTACGCATGAAGGTTTGCAATGTGGCCGCTAAAAAGGGCCTTTTGTTTGGGCCGAAAAGAATGGCATCATCTCCGTTCTGTGCCGCGAACTGCTCCAGTGCGATGAGCCGTAGCTCGTATGTTCTGGAAGTCTTCTCGTCCAGAGCCTGACTCTCATTTTTGGCTGCGAGTCTCGCTCCAGCAGCAAGATTTGGCGCAATTAGCCCCGAGATATCTACTTCGCGGCCACAACTATTTAAATACCGCTCCACATTTGGGCTTCGCCCCTTGTATATTTTGTTCTTGGCCATGACCAGTTTCACCGAAGGCGAGATGCATGTAATTGATAACCAAAGGAAAAAGATACCAAAAGTAACTTTCATGAATCGAGATATTTGATTGGCTTATCTTGTAGGATTTCTACAGCACCTGTGGTGTTTAGCTACGCATTAACTACCAGAGGATAATCGTTCATTATCAATCGATTTTAGACGAATTTCTTTTAAAACAATCGCTGGACTGAGTGCGACTGTGTTCGGCGATCGAACTAAATCAAACACGGAGGTTTTAGTTATTCGGGTACTATATTTGAATGATCTCTAGTATAACAGTCAGAAAAAAAAAACTCACTTTCGATTGATTTTAGACAAATTTCTTTTTAATTGTTACAAACTAGACTACCTGCCAAATTTTTTCCTTTGGGTCATTTTTTAAAAAAAATTTTTCTAGCATCCGTATGACAGCATTTACTTGTTGAAAGCGGTAGCTCAGCTCTGGTAGTTGTTAATATCCATGCGGTTGTATTATTCACGTAATTAGGTTCTTTGAGGTTTCAAATTGGGTGAGGTTATGTATTTGTGAACGTTTTTTTTTTCGTATAGTGTCTAATGATACATTTTGAGTTATCAATATTCAATAGTTTCTTGTAATAATAACTTACCGTGTTTGGAATGTCAGATTTGTTGATCCTTAGCTAGGGATAAATCCTTACTAGCAAATCTCCTGCCCAATTTTTTAGCGTAACTGGCACCAATCTTTAGTGATGTCGCCCTTGTGATCTTAGATAAAGAGGATAAGTTTGTAAAGAAACTGTGGTGCTGCATCGGTGGGAGAGTATAACAAGGTAATTTGGTGTTATCAAGTGGGTTGATAACGTAAATTGGCCACCTTTAAGAGTTTCAAAGCTGACGTTTCGAGCGTTAGCCTTTGTCAGAGCCCTTCGCTCTAACGACAAAGCTTGTCGTCAAGAGTGATTTCTAATGATATCGGCAGTCTTGCATCCTAAGGAACAGCCTCACTGAGACTATGCGTGGGTAAGTTTCTAAAGAAACTGTGGTGCTGCGTCGGTGGGAGAGTATAGCAGGTAATTTAGTGTTAACTGAGTTGTAAACGTAAATTAGCCACCGTAAAGGGTAAAAGAGCTAACGTCTCGAGCGTTAGCCCTTCGTCAGAGCGATCCTGTAAGGTATTTGTACGGAGCATATGTTTACTAATGTGTAGTCAGTAAAGGAGATTGATTGTTGTTAGTTTGCAAGGAACATCTATCATCGGCTAGTGCGCAGATTGGGGAAGAGTCAAGCTCGGTTTCTAGTGTTTGACACCTTGAAACATTAAAACACGAAAGAACAACGACATCATTCACGCAGTGGTTTATAAAATAGATTAAATTACATTAATTTCATACAGTCGTAAAATCACTCGTTATTTACGTTACATATATTACAATTCGCCTTTTTTCGATAGATTTGCTGGTAAAAAGGCATGGTCAAAGAAAAGGAAAGCGCTTCTAATAGGTATGGTGTAGACGAAGTAACAACATTGTCATACAATACACTTTGCTTTGTTAGGAAACGAATTCCAGGTCTCTTTTGTTTCACGACGAGTCCCTTCAGCAGTTGCTATGATTCATCTTGGTCACGAACCGATGATACATTAAAAGACGATGAGAACTGGTTTCTGGTATCCAGTTCTTCCTGTAGCACCCGTGTGCGGGACTGTAACACTGAGATCTGCTGTCTAAGAGATTCAATGGTGTCCTCAAGGTCCTGGTAATTTTACAGGCGAAATAGTAAAATTATTAATGAAATACGAACGGTCCTAATGAGAAGCTATTCCACAACTCACTTGACTCAAAACTGTTAAAAGTCATTAATTATGATTTTATCGGCTTCACAAAATGTAGATTATTTAAAGACCACTGGAAAAGCTAGAAACAATTTGTCTGTATTCAAGATGCTTTTGGGTAAATCTGATTGATCAAACCCGAGTTAAATTTACTTGGAATTGAAATCCTCTTGAGCGACACTCCTCCCTTAAGAAAAATCAGATTCAGTCGTGGCAGAGCTTCGAAATACATCACCTAACCCTTTAACCCCTTGGGGTGACCAGCATCTAATTTCTCCTTCAGTACAATATCAACAAATTAAGGTTACAAGAAAAAGGAAATGATCACCAACTAAAGAAGTTCTTGATTGTGAGACAAATTCTCCATGTCAGCACTTTGGGAATGTTGAGGGAACAGTGTGGAGAATATGTATTCCGGTTTTAGGGTGGAGAGGGTTAAAAGCCACCTAACAAACAGATATTTCCTGATGAGTTATGTTCGAGGCTCATTAAGAAGTGCACTTATTTACCTCTCGAAGAGAAGCCGGCATAAGACCTTTTATTTTCTCTTCATGCTGCAGGCGCAATCTGGACAACTGTGGAGTAAAAAGAGAAAAATAAGTTTTGCTTTTCCATAACTGAGACCCTTTATTTAGGAAGCCAAACTTTACACATGCCAATGGAGCAAATACAAACTGCAAATTCAACTTACTTTTTCTTGCGCGTCAAGCTCCACTTGTTGAATTCGTTTCTCTAAATGTCGAACCATTGTTTTTTGTGTTTCTACGTCTTGCTGCAAAGACTGAGGTCATATGGAAAAAAAGAGTTTGTGTCGGTGTGGAGTTGAAGACTTCAACTTGTATCTACATTACCAAAATATAGACTCAAAGACGCGGATTTTTGGCACTGGACCAATCAGAAAGCAAAGAAAAAAAGAAGTGTAACAAGTACCAAGGACGATAAAATGCGCACTGGTTCGTGAGTTTATTCTAATTTACCAGAAGATGGTGTACGAATTTCTCTCGTTAACGTACCTTAGCAATCGAAGAATGATGCTTTTTCGCCGACGCTTTCTCTTCTTCGTATTTTGCCGTTGTCTGAGCAAGCTTCTTTTCCAAGTTTGTTCTTGTGCTGTGAACAGGAAACGCAACAAAGTGCAAATAATTGGTGTAACACATAGTTTCAGTTGTTTCACAACCAAAGAATATTAATCTCGTTTTGCCGCGATAACACCGCGTGAACGACGAATTGGAACTGATGACTGGCCTTCCTAAACGAATCTACATATTCTAGGCAAAGTTCCAGAGGACATCATTGATTGCTTGAAGTAGAAGTCAGCAAAACTTACCGGTTGTTCTCTTCTTTTAATTTCTTTATTTCTTCTTCAAGCGTCTCTACAACCTACGATGGACAAACAAAAACACATCTTACTCACGTTTATTCAGCCTTCGTCTCATCATCACTCACATGTTGGATACTAGACTAAGCAAACACCTATGACTGGATATAACACTTAAGATTGACTGCCACCATCTTTGGTTGTAACTCTTAAACTAGCCTACGTGTAGCCGTACCCTCCCCCCCAGGTGAAACGTTTCACGGGGGGGGGAGAGTACGGCTACACGTAGGCTACTCTTAACTCGATGGAAATTAGACTTGACCGATCTACGCGGTTTGATGAGTAAGTTTGGTTTGAATACTGCAAGACTTGATACACTAACCTGATGTCCCTTTGAAGATCGTGTTGTATACTCTTCCTCCATTTGTTTTATCCTGTTGTTCGTCTAGAAAAACAAACAAACAAACAAACAAACAATTATCTCTCTACTTGTCAAAGAACTGTATCAGAATATAGCGGAAAAAAAAGAGTTCTGATTGGTTTCTCCAACACTGAGCACGAGAAATAAAACATTGCCTTCATCTGAAATCACATGCATACTACAATTACCAGCGCTGAGTAGAGTTGTGGAACAAGTTAAAACTTTTCAAAATCCTCCTGTATAATTTTTGTATTCTATAATATCAGTGGAGTCGGCGATAGGGGCGTGACATCAGCGATGTCGACCAAAAGTTAGCATGTATACTCCTTTTGGACTCTCCTGGACTAATTTTCCTCTAATCAACTCGAAAAACTGTTACTCACTTTATCTAGAATCTGTTCCATTTCGCTGCTATGTTCGCGCTGTAACTGTAATCTCTGTTGCTCAAGCTGACTCTTGAATTTCATTTGCTGTCAAAATAGAAAGAGCATTTGTAAGCACAATTTGGCCGAAACAAAAATAAAGATTTTTTCCCTTTGGTTACAGGAGCACCATGAATGCTACAACTCAAATCTATGGTCATTTAGTAAGCGAGGCCCTTCACTTCCGCATAAGCGCACACCCGGCTTGCACACCCGGCTTGCACACCCGGCTTGCATTTCTTGACAACTTCCCTTTTAAGTAGAGAAAGATGTTTTTCGTCTTGTCACGAGCGTGGGACAAAGAAAAAAGTCTGATTCCCCAGGAGGAATCGAACCTCAGACCTTCGGATTCCGCGCTCCGATGCTCTACCACTGAGCCATAGAGACTCCACGGTGAGCGAAGTCTATTACGAAGTTCATACGAGACGCGTCCTGCACACTGCTAGGATCAGCAATGTCGATAGCGTAATGTTTGTAGATAGAAGTAAGAGAGATGGTAAGTTTTGAGCTCCCCTTAAATTAGGGGTTATTTAAATCTCTAAAATTTTTCTCCTTTGAGCTTGAGCTTAGGACAATAAATTCAATTAGAAAAGTCAAGCATTATCGCGGCCAAAAAAATGCTTCCAACGATTGTAAATATCCTTAGCACAACTAACCGAATTTTCATCCTGTCTCTTGAACGTTTGTTTCTCCTCTTCTCTCAACAGGCTCAGCTCCATCAACTGAGTTTTATGCGTTGAATTCGCTTGAATAAGCTAACCACAAGACAGATAAAGGTAAACAAAGATTTGCCAAGAGAAAAAGATCTACGCAGAGTCACAGAACGACTAAACACAACAATAAATGTGGAAAGTATTTGAGAAAAACGATTGATTTATGATTCTGCATTAAATCCAAACTAATTTCATACTAAAAAATTAAAGCAGACTGTGATTCATTAATAAAGGGGGTAATTTTCTAAAGAAACTGTGGTGCTACGTCGGTGGGAGACTATAACAGGGTAATTTAGTATTATCAACTTTAGTGTTATCGTCAGAGCGAAAGACATAGGGCTAACGCTCGAAACGCCTTGGAACTCTTTACGGTGGCCAATTTTCGTTATCAACTCAGTTGATAATACTTAATTACCCTGTTGTGTTCCATCAAACCTATCATACCTCCTCTCGCAATTCTCGTACTTGTTGCTCCAACTCAGCGATAGTCTGGAAAACAAAATATCAGCAACACTGAGCCTTAAAACTTCATGCCGTAACAGATATGTAAATAATGAAAGATGTTTCTGTGTTACCTTGGCGTCCTTGTTTGCTCTGTTTCTCGTTTGATTTTCATGTTCAAGCATTCTTTGACGAAGTTTCTCCAACTGTATTTCCTAAAAATGAAAACAAAAAGACAAAAGGGACAAATAATCAGGGCTTGTGCGACAATGCGATCTTATAAATGTTTTGCAAGTCGTTAAATATCAGGGATTATTCTCTATTAGGTCAGTAATAACAAAACGCTTCAGGCCAGCATGGAATATCCAGTAACATCACAACCAGTGACATAAAACACGACTGCTACTGTTCACTGGTAACTAGTACCAGTAATAACTATTCACGAGAAGCGGCGAGGTAAATATCCAGCGATAGCCACCTACACTGAATTGAATCACTGATTTTAACGCATTTATTCCTACAACGGTTACAATATTTTCGGGTGCAAATCCCGCACGAGTTGCTTTGAAGTGAATAGCGAAGAATATTCAGAGTTAGAACAGCCAGTCAGAGCACGCCTCAACGCTGTCCACTGTCTTAGTATATATACTAATACAGAATAGCAATAAAAATTTTCCGCGCTTTGAAGGAAAGTTGTCGTGCCAAATTCTTGCATCCAAAGCTGTTGTCAATTTGACGAGACAAATTTTATATGATTATGATCTATTTGCGACCTAACCTGCGAATTATAAAATAACTGGGTCATTTAACAAACCTTATCCTGTTCTTGTTCTTTTAATGACGAGTCCCTCTCTATCTGGTGCGCTCTTAAAGTCTGTGCCTTCTCTTGTTCATGACGAATGTTTATCTCTGCAATCTGGGACAAAACGAAATTTCTTTCACAAGGATGTCGTATAGTTTTAGTAACACTTGGTCAAATATTGATTGTGCCACAAATACGTAACGCACGGACAAATTTGAGTGCATCGTGTTTAAATGACAATTTTTGCCCGAAGAATAGTCTACAGATGTTCTATCGGTCCCAGGGTTTCGCGCAGCGCGCTAACATCAATTTTTTGCCACTTATTTTTTTTTGACTCGCCCTACGAACTTCGCCGCAAAGGAAGTACTGCTCGTAGTCTACCGACGAGACAACAAATTGTGCCCATCGGCATCCTGCAGACGGAACTAAAAGCAATAACACATAACTGGTGTAAATAAAGTCGTTCTCTATATATTGATTAAGGAATCTGTAAAATTGCTTTCGTTAGCGCTTACTTAGAAAGGCGCTTCTCGATCCAAAATGGCGGCTAACGATTAATTTCAAAATTTTCGCAACAAGGAAGTGCTTTGTTTCGTGCTTTTTCAATCTCAAGGTCATTATAATTTATTAGACTTTCTTCAAATGCCACCAAATTCATCATTCCTCTAACGACCGAACACTCCAGGTTACCTCCTTTTCGTGTTTGATTTTAAGATCATCCAGTTGTCGGCTAAACTCCTTCGCCTGCTTTTCACGAAGGTTCTTTGAGCGAGCCAGGTCTTCCTCGACCTTCTCCATCTGTAAGATTGCAAACAATCAAGCATTTTAATTATCAAGTTTTGGCATAGAACAATGTCATTTGTGTGTGGCAAGTAATCCTGAAAGTTCAGTGCGTGTCGATAAGCCGTTAGTACTCAAACTTAGCAAGTTCTTTACTCGTTAATTGCACAACTATTGAGGCATCTACCTGGGCTTTCATCTCATCAAACATCCTTCCCGAATTCCTCTCCACTTGACTTTTAAAATCCTCTAGCGCATGCTCAGCGTGTTGAGCTTGTTGTTTCTGAGCCTCTGACAGCTTTTGGATTTGATCTTCACGTTCTCTGTGCAAAACAATATAAACTTAGGTGTAAAAATTACAATCAGGAAACTTAGTAACGAGCCCGAAACAAAATAGCTGAACATTGGCAAAGACGCACCCCAAGGATAGAGCACAATAAAGGGGCTTACTTGACAAGATTTTCCAACTTTCTCATCCGCTTCTCCGATTCTGCCTCGCCTTGTTCGAGCTCAGATTGAATACCTCGAATCTAAAGAAAATAACACAGACAGTTAAAGAAAACACATGGTATCTTTTTATTCAGCTCAACAGAAAGCCTTAATTTTTACCCACCTTTTTCTCGTGCAGATGTTCTAAATTCAATTTCTCCTGCTTGTGGGCAGATTCTAGTTCCTGTTGATGACAAAGGATAAAAATTAAATGGAAGAAATTAACGCTAAACGATTGAGGAACAAAGCAGCGAATCTGCTTAAGCGGAGAAGCGCTAGAACACTGATCGATAAAATAAAAAACCAGGAACTTAACGTCATCAATGGAAAAAGCAATCAAAACAGACAAAAACACAAAGAGGAAATGTGTGTACAGTTCTTACCCTAAGCTGCCTCTGTCGTTGAAACTCTGAATCTTGTAGAGCTTGTTTAAGTTGGTTGACCTGTGTCTCCAATTCTGCTATAGTGTCGGTGGCCTGGGAATCAAAATACCTTAATTTTACCTCAAGGAAAGAAGAGGTTCTGCGAGATAAAACATTTCTTGAAACTATCAAACGAGTTCTGTCATGACAACCCTTATCATTGTCATCCCTAACATACGCTGTCCTAAGTCCTCGTACCGTTTCTCCCCTATTTTTTTAACGGTTTTTCAGGCGAGGCACGCGAGAGACGAAAATTCCTCTTCCTCTCGTTTGTCTCGACCGTTGCGCCCTCCTCGTGCTCGACTCGCACTCGACCCCTTGCTTGTCTCCTCTTCTAGCTATGTTTGTTAACAGTATTACGTAGGTTCTGTACCTTAGAAATCGCTGCGGTATGCTGTTGCTTCATGCTTTCCATACTGGAATCTGTCTTCTTGTTCAACTGTTTAACTACCGTCTTATGTTCATTAATTGCTTGCGAATGATCTTTCTCCATTTTGGACAGACTAAAAACAATACACAGGGGTATTACACATGTTTCATTGAACAAGCACGAGGTCAAAATTACACCACACTGAGCAAGTTCTATTTGCGTTTTAATGGGCACAGGTAAAGTTGATGAACACAAAAAAGGAACATCTCATCCGTTAAATTCAGTCCCCAAGGGCAAGACCCATATTTGTTTTGATGAGGTAGCAGGATTTTATAAAATATTTCACTATAGAACCGCAAGATATATTTGAGGCAACTTTTCGTGATTTTCTTTCTATTAATTGTTTTAAAAAAGGAAGGCTGTTGTCTTTTGCGACCTCATTGTAAGCTGGCCACAATAATTTTTGTTGTTGTTGCTGAACAAAGAAAGCAATCCTGTAGGGCTTAAGACAGCGTTCACTTCATCTTGTCTTCTTGCCTCTTTAGCGCTACAACTTCAAGCTAACCACACAGCCACAGGAACTTAAACTTGAAACCCACATCGTGTAAGTTCATTTTCAGGGTAAACCAGTACATCGCACTACCATGGATTTACCACGAAAATGTTTTTCATGAAGAGAAAATCTGAGTGACCTTCCCCTAAAACTTCAAGATGAAACAACAACAGCAATAAGAACATTACCTTGATTTTGCCTCCTGCAATTCAGTTGACAAAGATGATGCTTGCTGTTCTAGTTCTTCCTAAAAAGGCAAGTTGAAGCAGAAGAAAAAACTGCTTTAAAAATAACAAGAAATTTCTTTCTTTAGCCACACGACATCATAACGATCGTCAGTGAAGGCAAGTATGATGTTTAAATTGAATTCTGACGGGAAAAGGGGTCCCAAACCGAAGAATCCTAATCAGAAAGATATACCAACAGGTGTGTATTTTCCTGGAGTGTTAAAGCAATAGGCATTCCATGCTTATAATTATACAGTTGTTTGTAAGGAAAGGCATCATAACCTTACACTTTTGTAATCACCAAAAGGTTGTCAAGTCCACTTTAAAAAAATTCCACTCATTTATCAATCTATTCAAAGGTGAAGGTAAGGTTATGTCTGTACTCGAGACAAGTGGCTCATCCTGGTTTAACCCATGGCATGAAGTGACAAGGTGAATTACCCCCCCCCCATGAGATATGAGATGCTAGTCCATCAAAAGGTTACTTACCCCCCTTCACCAAGCATATCTATAGGCTTTTTTGACAATTAGTACCCATTTACACTCCTGGGTGGAGAGGGGCACGGTGAAAGAACAGTGTCTTGCCCAAGAACACAACACAGTGGCCTGTCAGGTGCCGAACCTAGACCTGCGACCTGCAGGGCCAGGTTGTTAGAAAAGGGTTTAGCATTAATCCAGGATTAAAAGTTAACCTTGACTTTAATTTCCCTTGCAGATGAGTGTGTTTAAGAGCTAGAGTTTTGTTGGGTTTTATCTCAATATGACTTGAAACTAAAAGGATAAAAATAGAAAGAAAAACTTCTCTAAAAAGCTGTTAAACTGTATTAAAAATTTGCACTAACCCTGGGTTACGTTAATTGTGTTTCGAACCCGGCCCTGGAGTCCAGTGCAATGAGCATTAGGTCATTATGTCAGCTAGGATTTCTTTCAAAAGTAGTTACAAAATAAAAGGAAACTAAAACAATTGTGATATCATTTATACACACCTTGTCCTTGGCAAGTTTTGATCTAGAATTCTGAAGTTCTTCTGATTCCTGGGTAAGTTGTTGTACTCGTGCTTCTAACTCCTGAATGACAAGTCTCTGAGCAGAGGAGAATTACAACCAAACATTGGGAGAGTCAGCACCATGCAATTAGATTATGGGGCAATACAAGTGGAATGGTTTCACAAACAGTTTGCTATACAGGTGTTTGTACTTACAGTAGTACTGTTCTGTTGGTTGTATTCTGTCTCCATTTTTTGCAATCTCTGATTTGTTTCGTCCAGCAACTCTTGAATGTTTTGAGTGTGTTGCTTCTGCATCTCAAACTTCTCTTGCTCAAACTCAGCCACCTTGTCATTCAACTGAAAGGGGTCAAATTTATTTGTGTTTTGAACATTGTGGTAAGATAGAATAAATTTGAATGTCTATGTGGAAAACAATCATTAAGGTTGATAATTAAAATACCAGCTTTGAGGTTAGAGGGGACAGTTCAGAGAAAAAAGGAGGGACAGGGTGAAACAGAACAAGCAAACAAAAAGGAAAGAGTCATGGTATTTTTCTTTATTTGTTTTTTTTGAAACCCCACATATTTCCTTTGCTTGCTTTGCTCACCAGTATTTCCATTTGAAATCAGTTATCACTGAAAGAATCAGAGGTGTAGACATCAGGACACTTCTTTTTGTTAATTAACTGATTCTAAATTTCATGAATTTTATTGAATATCACATAGCACTCACTATGCTAACACTACATTTAATAGTAACATTGATAACTAACTTGCATTCTGATACCACTCCACCAACTTCAATTATGTCAATTACAACAAATCAATTTCCAGAAAAGTTTGCAAGACAGTGCGAAGTGATATAATCACAATTTAACAGTATTATAACAACACTCACTGACCTTCTTCTCAAAGTCATGTTGTGCTGTTTCACCATTCTGCTCTGCAAGGGTCTTTAACTCTGCTAATTGGGCATCTCTTTGTTCCTTCATTGTCTGAGCATCTCTTACAAGCTGGGAGACTGAACAAAGAATACCATAACCAGCATCATTGTGTATACACATTTTTGTATCTTTCATATAGTTTATGTACACTAAGACATGTATTAGAGTGAGGTAAAATTATAACAGTGATAATGTAGGGGATTCAATAACTTTTTTCATAAGCAGCTGCTGATGGTGTAATAGGCTGCAGTGCCTGGAAAGGGGCTGTAAGGCAAAACCCAAACTCCTGAGCCTTCTTACAGGCTAAAAAAAACTGCAGTAAGAGGTCTTATAGGTGGTGGTAGACTGCTGGTACCTGGCTTTTAATGAAACCTCTGTAATTGTCATTGTTACTCATGTTACATATTAAATTATCTCATACTGTGAGGCCAAATTTCTCAATTGTGTTACAAGACAAAGATGACCCAAACACACAATATAAAAATTCTATGGGCTGGTGAGCATATGGCCAGGTTATAGGTTACACAGTCATGTAAAAATATACCTAATTATACACTTTACTACTTAAATATTCCAAAAATATTTATATTACACTATTCAAAAGGTGTGCATAACATACAACAATGAAGTTTCATCTGGTTTACCCTTTAAACCCTACAAATGACCAGCATCTAATTTCTCCTCACAATAATACTGGTGAATCATTCATTAATATCAGGAGAATAAAGGAAATGATCACCAACCTAAGAAGCTCTGATTGCTAAGAACAGTAAGGGTCATTGTATTATTTTGAGAGCATGTGTTGCTTCCTTCCTCACCTTTCCTTTCCTGTTTCTTGGCAGCTGCTTCCATTTCAGTAATTTTGTTTCTGTAGTGTGATTTCACTTCCTCCAACTCCATGTTCTTTCTATCTAGAATCTTAACCATGGCATTTTATAACAAAAACACCATATTAATAAAAACAAACCACAAAATGATACATACAGAGCAACATATGATTTTAAGTTTGGCTGCCACCATCTACCACCCAGGTGTTCTTTTGAAACTATGGTTTCCACAGACACTGGTTTTCAAAAATTCTCTGACTTCCCCCTCTTATAGAAGTAAAAATTTACCAAAACAAATTAATACAAAGGGTAATAAATTGCAATGGTCTTTAGCCTCCCTTTCAAAGTGCCCATCCTTTCCAATGAAATATTCTATTAAGCAAATTGCAATATTTAAGTCAATAGCATTCCTATTATGGCCCTCACATAAAAGACTAAGAAAATGGAAGAAAAATTTTGTCTTCTTTGTAAAGGAAAAACGTTGATGTGATCAAAGTGGTGTTTCAGTTTTTCCTAACTTTGATCAAAATTTCAATTTACCTCCTCAATCTAATTGAAAAAAAAATTCCCTGACTTCTCCTTGACCTTGAGGAATGTTCTATTTCCCTAACTATTTTCTGACCTGTGAAATCACTAAAAATTTATTTCAGAATACCTTTTGAACTGCAACATCATGTTGTTGCTGAAGTTTAAGTTTATCTTCATGATATTTGGCCTCAACCATCTTTGTTCTTAGCTCAATCTGCCGAAAATAATATATTTTGAGACTGAGTACACTTAATCAGTCTGCAATCTCTTTACAAAATGCTACTTTTAATACTATATTGTAATAATTGATCCTCTTCACAGAAATGATGCATCAGATAAATTTCCATTTCAATACAAAAGTGATGTGAGGGGAGTTGGTCCAGAAAACTCACGCTACCCTCTTAACCAATCAGATGCGGATCAGATTAAGGGCAGTTTGGTTGTTTTCAGTTTGAGTTCCCTTTGGCTTTGATGGAATTACTCAGTGATTCAGATTATGTATTAAATACAACTCTTTCTTGGTTGCTGCTGAGAATTTGCTGATATATCTGCACAAAAGCTCATACAGTAATTAATAAATTTATTAATTCAAGAGGCAATAAAAGTTACATATGGTGATGGCTCCTTGGAGTGAGGGAAATAACAATAATTACCTCTCTGTCACTGGAACGATTGAAGCTATGGTCTTCCCGCAAAGTTCCATTTAAAGATGATATTCCTTTATAAAAAAGATAGTGAAAAAATTACTATAATTATAAGAGACTTTCTTCAGTTTTCAGCGCAGTAGGCAGTGAGCTCTGTAGTACAGCAGACAACAGAACAATCCTTCTAGGTTCATTTCATGGCTGCAATCATTATATTATTTGTGTTCTTGGACTGGATACTCACAGCACTACATCCAATCAAAAAACAGAAACAGGTAGAACTTGGTAAATGTCTGTTAAGGAAGGATCACAAAAATGCTTAGGGTAACCTGGGATACATATGAATAACATGGAGCGGGGAATGCCAAAGTCCAGAGATGTTTATCTTCTCTATTAAGTGACTTGTGTAGTGAGAATCAAAATAACAAATTTGATTATCACCAATTTTATTCATCATCATGTAATTTAGTTTAAAGAATTACAGTGCTTGACAGTAAAGAAGTGAAAGAGGAGGGAAAGTTGGTCCTTAAACCAAGAGAGGAAATGAACGTACCTTTGGTAAACCCATTGTAGTGATTTGTTTTTGATGGCTACAAAATAAAGAAACAAGAAATATAACAATTAGTCCAAAGTTTTCTTGGACCAGGACAAGAAAAAATGGGAAAAATTAATTTAAAAAATCAGAAATATTGCATCCCTTAGAAAACATGACAAGAAGGCTTCAATGTTATTTCCTTAGAGTGTAAATGTAGAAGGAATTTTGAAGGAAGTGGGTAAGTTTCTAAAGAAATTGTATCACTGTGTCAATGATAATGTGAATTGGCCACTGTAAAAAGTTTCTAGAGCTAACAATTCAGGCATTAGCCCTTTATCAGAGCAAATAACCATGAGACATGTAGATTTAGAAGTTTTCCTTCATGACAATTCAGGCATTAGCCCCTTATCAGAGCAAATAACCATGAGACATGTAGATTTAGAAGTTTTCCTTCATGACATTCACCAACTGACTGATTTCCAAAAGGTTCTTACCATGAGCATACAACTATTCCAAGGGACCATTTCTGCCATTATTTTGTACAGTGATGTAACACAGCTATTTGATCGCAATGGAATGACATCATATCACTTCAAGACTATCATTTATTGTGTAAAAACTTTAACTGAACATCCACATTATATTACAGGGGCCAGTTGCTCAAAGGGCAGATAATGGTATTCAATGGATAAAAAAATTAATTGCTATCCAGTGGATAAGTGTAAACAAACAGTGTACTGCACTATCCACTAGAGAGAGATTTATCCAGTGTTAACAACTAAAGCAAGGTCTACGTGATAAAAAATGTGACTCACTGGTGACGTAGAAGGATACCCTGAATCGGTGTGCTGATATTCTGATGGACTCTCATAATGCCGACGAGGTGGTGGGGAAATACGACCCCCATATCTTGACTCTAGAATATCATCAGAGCCTGGGTAGCCAGAAGATAGTCTTCCCTTGTAACGTTTTTCCTCAAGTGGTTGATCAAATCCAGGAGCCACTTCATAACCATTTTTCTCCTCTCTGCTAGAAGTGCTGTAAGTTGTGGATCGTGGCCCAGTGACTGGATTTACACCACTAGTAGTTGGCAACTCCCTGAAAGCAAATATTAAGTTTTTGACAATTTTCTCAAATTCTTTTTACCCCTTATGTTCACACGAGACCATATAAACAAGGAAAAAGTCCCCTATTACTTAAATACAGAATATTATGTGAAAAAGTCTTAGCCAACAAAAACCTACTTATTAAAAGGTTCTCAGAGAAAAAGTAAAGAGTTTTTTTTTAGGCAATTTTCTGAAAGTTTACACACCTTCTTGAAGTAGAGGGGATGCTTCCCGAGATATCTGAAAGAGCACTTCCTGAAAAAATTAAAAAATTAATTACATGTATATATTAATCATGTGTTTTTCAGTTGAGTAAGCAGCTTATCAAGAAAATCAATTTCAGTAAAATAACAATTTTACTTCAGATACCTGATGAACTGGGGATTTCTCTGAGCCAATCTGGTGGTTTATGGCCAAATTCCTTTCAAATAAACAAAAGAAAATTAAAGAAATTTGAAGCACTTACATGTAAATACATGACAATTTAAAATCAATATACAAAAATCAAAATTGCAAATCTTATGTCTAAATTTTCCCAAAGAAGTTTTAACTATAGACAATTTTTTTTCTCAAAACAAATTATTTTCATTTAACAAACATAGAAACCATATTTTCTCTACTTTTTTTCTTATATTACAATGAAGTTTCTTCAGTTGAAGAAACAAATCTATCTGAAATTGATAAATGCCAATTTTATTTTTTCTTCCACTTCTACTCATTCACAACTTAGGTAAAGACGACAGGGAAACTGACAAGCCACCTAAGCACAAATTTTTCTACCTGAAGTTTAAATTTAACTGCCACAAATACACCATGTACATACAATTTTTTCCCCAAAAACTGTTGTATACTTCAGTACAGATTTTATTACATCAAAGTTTAGACAAATAGGTATACCTCTTCAAGTTCTGCACTGGCACTTCTCTTTTGTATAGGTTCATCAAGATAAATGGACTGCAAAAAGGTTCAGATGTTCAAATATCAAGCAGTGAGTGATTCGTCCATTACATTCATTATTTTAACATTTTGTACTATTATTTTTAATTATATATATCTGGAGCTGTAGGATTTACATTTTGTGGGCTGAGAAGCACATACTTACATAGTTTACATACCATAGATAGCCTTTCCGATATAAAAGGTTTGTTTGATTTTTAACAAATTTCTGGTGATTGTGAGTCACAGTATAAATATGTATACACTTATGTACCATGTATGATGGCAAGGTTTTAAGTGGTCCTGCCTCAGGTCGTCTGGTAAATGGTTCCTCTAACAGGTTGCGTTTAACCATGTGGAGCAACAACTGAGCATAAAGGTTGCGGTTTTTCCTGTAGGAAGATTATCAACACACAAAAGATTTAGTAGGAGAAGTAGTAGGTTACATCGAGTTTGTTTTAGTGTCCTCTATTTTCACCAAAAAAATTATTAGACAAAAAAGTAGGACATAATTTCCACTTTTCTGCATCAAATTTACAATCATGTAATTACAGAAAATGTATAAATCTTAAAGTGTTTCTGAATATGAAGAAATGTAGGAATTTCATTTGTCCTTATTTGTTATACTCTAAACTTGATCCTTTTATTTGCTGTCAACTTACCTTCCACTTGTTCCTGGACCAGGAGGCTCACACAGTTTTTTAATCCATAGTGCAACTCTTTGCCTCTCTGAAAATAGTGAAGTTTTAAAATTTCATGTCAAAAGGTTGTTAATGGAACACCAATGTACGGAACACCAATGTATAACTAATCATTCTTTCCTGAAAAAATTAAAGGGAAACCTTATATGCAATTTTCATTTTTCTCTAAAAATGGAATAATAAATATTTACCTTCAATTATCATTCTCAATAAGGCAAAAGAAAAAAAAAAAAAAAAAAAATTAAGTCAGAGAATTCCAATCCCATTGAAAAATACATAACACAACAGATTCATTTTCCGCATTATTTGGTAGGAGATGAAACTGATAGAACACTTCTATCAATTTCTATTCATCCCATGTTTCCCTGCTTTCTTGCATTTGATTGTCACATTAATCATTCTGTATAAACTAGCCAAAACTTTACTGATATCTTTAGCATACATATACACAAAATAGTAATTTATAACTAAATTATTATTTGAATCAAAGTTGGTAAGACTTTTTAGCTGTTTAGTTAAATTGAGTTAATCATTAAATAGATTGCTAAATAAATGATGAACCAATAAATATATATTGGCAAGTTGAACCTGAAATGTCACATGATTGAAAACTGTATAATGTACCCTAGATTCTACACATTTTGCAGATATTACATAGTTGGGTATGGAAACAAGAAACCCCCATATTGATTAAAACCTGGTAACCATGAAAATATTATTACCTTCACATGTGAAGATAAAGATGGTACATTAACAATACCTGGTAGAGATGCCGTGTTTTGAAACAGGAGAGTTTGAGGTATCACATCAATATCTATATTATAAACTTTAACATTAATCCTGCAACTTTGACACAAGCATATAAATCATAAGCATAATCCTTTTGCTATATCCTTGGTATGTTGATTGTAGGCATATTCAGAATGTCTCTATTTTTCAAATTTGTTTCTTATCCTAAGTAACATATGGTACATCTGTAATTAAGACTATGAATGCTATGCCAATTGTGAACATAGTCTAGGGTGTAAGGGAACAGAACAGCTTGTTATGATCGGGAAGCAGGCCTAATAAATTTCTGCCTTTCCTATGAAAATAAAATTGCTCTTGGTTCTCGTTTGGGGTTTTTTGCTTCTGCTTGTAGTCGACCAATTTACAGCTTTGTCTAAATGAAGTAAAGGACAAAATTGATTTTTATGTCAAAAAGGAAGTAAGAAATTTGTCACACCAATAATTAACTCTCTTGATAAGCAAAACCTGGTTTGTTCTGAGAGTTAAATGCCAATTATTCTAGTTAAAAAAAACACCAAAATTTTCTTGAGCAGTCAGAAAAACATTAGGAAAAACCAGTATTTAGAATGAAATATCTCAACAGAAGTTGGTATATTGATTCCCAATTTTTAAGATCACACAGAGAAATCAATTCTAATTTTAAAATTACGCTGAAGGCGAAGGGCATCTTTTCAACATGTTCAAAGAGGTTCCTTCGTATCTTTAAGACTGATAAAAAATTATCTTACAAAGGGGGAAAATATTTTTCTGATACTTTTGCAACGCAAAATCGAATTAGGACCTTTTGTTTAACTGAATAGCAATCTGCTGAGACAAAAAACCTAGCGATCAACCAAGTGTCTGCTGACAGAATGTTCAACGTGAATCAACGGATATGCAGTCTAAATCAACTCAGCACCTAATGTTGTTGTTATGGAGTTAATCCCCGTGCATATGAAAAGATTACCAAGCCCTGAGTGCATGTAACAACTATCACATCATTTGATATGTTTTGTTTTCAATTTCATAACAAAAAAATATACAATTTTGTTAAATCTACAGATGCAAGGTTAAAATTCGGCAAGATATTTAAGCTATACCTGATTTGTGGGGCAGCCGAAGTACGTACGGTTTCATTTCATCGAGATATCGGTCAAACATTGAGTCTTGTCTTTCACTAAGCGATCCTGAATCGATTCCACTGAGCTCCCCGTAACGATGAGATGCCATCTTATCAGTTGACTTCAAATGACTATAGGCGATAGCCAGTTTTAACTAATTAAAAGATTAGAAACGTCAAATCGAGCAGACTAGTCCGTGAAGCGCAGCAGGTTCCCTGAGTATCACTAGGTGGAAGTTTTTTTTACGTTGGGATCTGATATCTCTTGTTTCGTTTGTATCCTTATTTTCATTTGAGCGGAATAAAATCCCCCAAATAATGGTCCCGTTAACAATAACATCTGTTTATGCGTCCATAAATTATAAATGAAGTTTGTAAAAAGCGCCAACGGTTGAAACAAACAGAAATCGAAAGTGTAGGGATCGAGTAAAAGTAGCCTGGGAACGAGTAACATTTTTTATTGTTTCGGAAGTTTCTGTTCTTTATTTTTCCTTTATTTGATGGATCATTTCAACCAAAAAAGCATTTGGAGCAGGATTCACTGGCATGGAAAATAATAAGAAAAGGAATTTCTTGAACATTTTGAGATTTCGGGACAGTTTCAACAGTTTCCAAAGTCACGTTTCCACGTTCTTTGTGTTCAGTTGTATTTTCCCCGTGTAAGCATGCGCTCACAATCAAGATGGCGGCAAAACTTCAAAAAACTCTCACTTAAAACTAATTTTCGCTATGACACAAATTCGGGAAACAATTGAAGCACTTTGCAACGTCCTAAGCAACCATTCCACTACACAGGTCTCTGCAGAGAGTTTTCGCTTGGCCAAGTTCGATAAAGATGAAGCAACAGAGTCGCTATGGCTGACACTTCGGACAGTTCTTCCTGTGGACGATTTAGAACCCGAATCTATCAGAAGAGATAACATAGTGAGTTTCTGTAAGCATAAGCTGTTTCACAAAGGATATCGAGTGAAGAAATTTTACCAGCTCCCAGAAGATATGTCTTGTGGCAGCAGGGAATTGATGTTAGCTCTAGGCTGGTTAATTGCGAAGGAAGATGTCATGTCTGCCTCACTGACAAAGCTGGAGCCGGTGGTTTTTGAGGATCCTCCGTTGGACTCGTCTTCGTATGAAAAGATTCCCTTACCTAGAGGACTAGATGCTCTTTCAGAACTGAAAAATAAAAAAGATCATAACAACGCCATTGATCTTGCTGAAAGTTTAATTTTCAGGTACAACAAATTACACTCTTCGTTGAAAAGCCTTTTGGGTGCAAAGAATGAACACGTAAAAGTTATCTGCAAGTTACATTCAATACCAAAAAGCTCCAAGTCTCAAAGTTCTGGCCATTTTTCATCACAAGATATCTACTTTTTGCGTTACCCAAATGAACTTGAAAAATATCACGAGAAGCTTGAATGGTTTTGTGGCTATGCAAAGGCTCTTATTTGCTGGTCTTTAAATGAGCTTACATTCTGGAAATGGATGGAGACTGTATTAGATGGAAAAATATCAGATGAGGGAGCAAAGGACACTGATGTACAGAGTGATGATATTCGACTACAACAGCAGTTTTCACCAAGCAGTGATTTGCAACTTGCCAAAGGGCATCAAGTAACACTTTCCCAAATCTTGCATGCTCAAGAACCAACCTACAGGAAAGTTTCTAAAACATGGAAGAAGATCAAAGCAAGTCTTCAATCTTGTGAGGAAGGACGAGCTAATTTAGCAGATGCATTATCTTTGCTTGATAGTAAACTTTTGTCAGAAATAAGAGAACTTCAGAAATATTCATTGAAGTGTCAGAAGAAACCTAAAGCCAGAGGTTCTGTTTGTTTGAGAAAATTAACTCAAGGAGAATCCAATAAGGCATCAAGGACAACCAAAGAAACTGCAAACACCTCCATGGCATCAGATGAAATATCAAGGTTGCGACAAGAAAAAAAGGCACTTCAAAATGAACTCAGAAGCTTAGAGGAAGTACACAAGGAAAAGATGTTGCAAATTTGCCAGGTTCGGCAAGATCTTGTCTGTATTTCCCCAGGTATGACAACTAATATTATGTAACTTGATTCATGTAGATTTACTAACAGAGGGGGTGGTGATGGTAAAATCTAACACTGAAACTATTGATTGGCAATGTTACACCCCAATAACACCAGCAAAACATGTTTAGCTATAATACCGCTCAAAACATCAGATCTAGCAAAATTTTGCTGCATTGGCAACAATACACACTGTAAGAATTTTTATCCTATAATTACGAAAAAAGGTAAGAAGCTTCAAATTAATTGCATGAAAATTCCTTTGCTTCCTCTTTTCCTTATGCTCAAAACTCATTTTGAGCATCTTGATACTAAACTTGAACATCTTGAAAGTGAAATCGAGTCTGGAACATCTAAGATTTTGAGAGGTGAGGATCAAGAATTGAGTTTTGATGATCAAGTTTGGTGGGAATGTCAACTTACTTTTTGCGGTATTGTAAACCAGGTTTAAATGAATGAAATTCAGAAACAGAGAACTGATAGGCTAAATTTTCCATGAGATTTAGTAGTCAGTCAGTGTGCTAAATTTGAAGTTGGAAAAACATCTGTTTAAGCAGCTTCTATGAAGAATGCAAATTAAAGCCATGGTTAACAAAATGGCTTTAAAGCACGATAAAGCTTTGGTGTGAATGTGGTATTATACTAAAGATTTTGAAATGCCAATATGAAAGGAGGCAAATATATAGGATGTGGTTATTTGTTATAAAGACTATTGAGAAAAATTAACAATTTTCAAGGCTATGTTTTCCACTTTGGAAAAGGAACAAAAGGGACAAAATAATAATTAGTTCTCATTCCACCCTGCCATATTTATCCCTTGGTTTTTCACCTCATTGCTTCCTTTCTTCTTCTTTGCTCCCTTTTAATACACCTCCTTCTGATTCTCCCCTCTTCATCTAAAATAATGTGTGTTCCCAGGACTGTGTCTTTGTCAATGTAGATCATGTCCTTAGGAGGATCCCTCTGTAGTGTACATGTGGTTGAGTCTGGGGCTTACTCCAAAAGAAAATTTAAAACTGGATGCCAGCTTGTTTCAAGTTTTAAAATATTATGGCAACAGTAAGATTCTTCTATAGAACCTGAAATAGTAAAGGTTTTCTTAAGTATAATTAAAAAGCAGTTCTCTCTTACCTTGTCACATATGTCTAGCTTGTAAAATTAATTTAACTTATAACCAAAATGTAGCACATAATGCATTACTCAGACTCTGTAGCAAGGGAAATTTGGGCTTTTTGTTGAATCAAAGATACCTTTAAGGTAGGACTGGTAGCAATACAGAGAAAATTCAAAAGAATCTGTGGATTTATTTCTATCCAAACACCTCTTTAGCTTTGCAGTTCCACTGAGTTTTGATGCCTTCACAGTTGAAATGTGAATGCCCCATCCAAATATTTCCAAGAGCCCTTCTCTTTGAAATTGCTTTATTGATTAAACCTTTGTTCCAAAGGTCTCTTTCTCAGACAATAAGAGATGACAGAGCTGGAGGACTAAGAGATAGTTTTGGTTCACATTGAGAATTTCCTATCAAGGGGTGTCATTCTTTGATGAAAGTTATGATAGGAATACAAAGAGTAATCTTGAAATTCAGGTCTTGCAAAGGTCTATGAAGAAGACCGATTTGAGTTTTGTAAACAAAAGAATTCCAGAAACCCTGCTTAATTTGGACTGTCCATTGGCAAAAACCCTGATTTTGTTTTACACGTATATGACTAGCTTTGAAACATAATCTTGGTAGGAGAAAGGTCAAGTAAAAAACTGTGGATGTAAAAGAAAAGCACCCAGGGAGTTGACGAGCCAAGCACTCTGAAGTGAACCGTGTTCTGTACCGTTTAATCCATTCTATATGTTGGCAAAGCAGACCTAAGTTTTTCATTCAAGAAAGAAATGTGCACAAGCAATGATTTTGCTGGTTACGGTAAATTTTGTTTCCCCGCACTTAATGTTGTTTGTGTTAATCGGAAGATACAGTTTGCTGCTCGGTAGTCATGGTTTGTTCTTTGCATGAAATCATGTAGTTTAAAAGCTGATTGTCGTCATGGAGTATGGATCAGGGAAAAAATTTGTTTTTATCGTGTTATGCAAGTACAGAGCAATATTTACAGAAATATTATCACTTTTAACTAAACGCTAAATAACCGACACAGTTCACTCGTCTTTACGTAATTCATATGTACGTTGATACTCTGATCTTGTATCGTTGCTAAAACTTACCCTTTCTCCACAAGAGGAGACTTGTTCGTATAAGAAAAGCTGTCTAGACAAAGTGTACTTTGTTAGTCCAAGGGGCTCGTGCACCTCAGGAAATTGTCCGCCAGCTGTGTGAACTTTTCTTTTCGAGCTCCTTGGTGGCACGTCTTTAATCTGTCAGGGCGACTTTGCGCTACAAGTATCCTGTTTATATGCAACAGTTCTGTCACTTCCGTTTTCGACACAGCCTAAACTCCCTTTCGCCTTATAGCATTATGTGATAAAGGCTTAGAGCACGCTTCTCTAGCTTTGCCCAGAGGAACTGAACTTCTACGCAGCTAGCGCGATAGGGAAAGTATACTTCAATATGTTTTCGCTTCTCATGGTATAAGAGAGTGAATATGTTTGGAAAACACAGGGGGACTTAAAAATCAAACTTTGACGAACGTTTAAGGCTAAACTAAAGAAATATGTTCCATAAAAGTGATCCCAAATATTTGTTTCTTTTTCCATTTAAGTGCTTTTATTTTGGTTTGCGTTGAAAAAATGATAAAGAACATGTTCGTTGTATTAATCGAGAGAACTTTCGCATTTTATCAATATATGTTTTCGTTTTGCTGTCCTCGGCATTTGAAAGTTTTTCTTGTACAGGCTTTGTATTCAACACCTCCAAGCTTTATGAACATGATCAAAGGAGCTGTTTGAGAACCATCAGACGAAAAACCAGACAATTGCAATTGGATACAGACATTCACTTTGAAATAGCTTCTGCTGTGATCCATTAATTTTTAACATTTTACAAACCGGTGTCACCTTTATTTCAACGTTTTTAACGATAGCAGCGAGAACTGATCATGTTTTCCACAACTTAACGTGTAAGAAAGGAAAGTAATGTATTCTCAGCGTAGAAGAAAGTGAAAACGTTGAAGCTAGACTAGCAAAAAGGCTACGAAGAAATTGGAAAGTACGTAAGCCCAAGATATTAACGGAGTTCAACGATGTTGTCAAGTGTGTATTAAATCGCACCGCAAACATCTTGGAAAAAAAGATAACTCTATTCATGCTTTAACTTAAATAAAAAAAAATTCTTAGTTATAGAGAGTAATTTTGCCAACAGTAGCTAAATTTAACCTGATCTTTAGATCTTTTAAATGAAGAAAGCAATAACCAGGAGATCATTGATCAGTGTGCACGTGCTGGCCACAAGTTAAACAGACGACGGTTTAGGGTTTCATACAGGATGGCGTGATATTTTTTTTTTGTCTAAAACGTGGTTTGAGTGCAATTTCTTTATTTTCCGGGTATTGTAATTTCTTGCAGCAGGCTTCTCTCGCACGTGGTGATCAATATTCCTTGGCTCGTTCCCTGAATGGGAGATATGCCCTCAAGCTGAAGAAACGTGATTTGAGAAAGTCTATTTTTTGTCTACAGTTTTTATGCCCAAAGGAAAATGGTATGTAATTCGTGGCCCAGTGTGCTTTGCCAAAACATTTTTTTAGAAGATATCAAGGTCCATGTCATTATGGCTTATATCTCACTAAATTGTTCTACTCATGAAGAGTTTTTATTTTTTTCGCTATAGTTGGTTCTCGTCTAAATTGGGCAGAAGTCGAGTGTCTACATTTTTTCATTTGACCTTTCATTGCAAACTGAGAAAAACGAACCAATCGCTGGCGATTTTACATCGATAAGAGTCTCATGACAAGAAATATGCAGCCCAAGCACTTTCGGTCTGGATTTAACTAGGCATGGGGGAACTCGGAAGCAGATTCCCTAATCGTTCATTGAATACCATGCATTTTGAATGCCTGAACCAATTGCATGCGTTGTCTTAGTATCCCTGGGTGATCACGCGACAAGCACGTCCAATAAAGAGTGGGAAAAAATAGCATACTGACTCACTCTCCTGTAGCTCTCATGTATCGTGCATTAAAATGACCACTGTAAATTTGGCCATGAAGTATTACCTTAAATCGTAACGTGACACAGTGAACACCACTCATCCATACATGGCAACCACCTATTGATCACTCATTCATATACAATAGACTCGTGGAAGGTTCCATCACGCTTCAGACAAATCTCCGTTTCTTAGTAACCAAAGGTCGTCTCAACACCGACCCATGAGAGTCCGTCATTTTTGAATAAAAATGTGACGCTCTTAGAGGATCACTTTCACGTTAAATGTTTTAATGTTCATCAGAATTTTTACTCGGAACTTTACAAGTGGCCTTATTATATGTATGTCTTTAAAAACTGAGATATCCTTGAGAGTTTTCTCAGAGTTGTGTCTAGACGGGGATACCCTTTGAGTGAAGTCAAGAAGGGTAGATCTGGTGATCACACGCGACATGACAACGTTACCCTAAGATTCCACGCGCCGACCATTGTGGTTGCACGTGAAAACAGCACATATAGCTCTGATTGGCACACTCCATGCCTTGGTAGGGATACGTGCAAATGTAGATTAAATTAAGAAAATTGTAGATATATTAAGACAGAATTTTTTTAACTTCGGGCCAGAATAGTTGCAGTGCTTCTTCCAAAGTGTTGTGAGTCTTTTTGAGTGGAAGAATTCGTTTGTATATCCGTGAAGGATTAAAGGATTCGACCTTGATCAGTTGATTTTTTTGTAACATCGTGGTAACGGTAAGTTGTTTTTGTCTGTTATTGTTTTTTTTTTTAGTTTTAAGAACACATGTTTTCATTTTAAAACACAGCAAGGAAAGAGTTCTATTTAGGAGGTGCTCAAATTGTGTCAGCTCAAAGAACAAGTCGCGGCTACCGAAAAATTGAAAAAGAGGTTACATGTGTATTTAATGACTGGCTCATTTTCGATTAAAAAAAAATTCTCCATTTTCAAGAGCGCCGGCACTCTACTATTTTGCAAACGTGGTTTACCCGGTGTACTTCCGTTACGTAACCCGGTGTGGGATTGCGTAAGTCACCGTCTCTGGAGTATGACTGATGTTTTGATGTCAAATTTTCATCGTCTCAAACCGTATCGGAGTAAATTTCTATCTTAATAGTATTTTTGAAGATAGCTTCGACTTTAAGGAAATTGGGAAGGGCATTCTAGAGATGAGTCGGACAGGGCCCGCGGAAGGATGAATATGTTTGCTTTGACAATTAGGAGGGGTTCATTTGGTCTGCTCTGCAGTTGGGTTTCTAGTTAGGTGAACAACACTTTCAAGGAATCCAAATAGTTTTGCTTTCACGTCCAAAATATTTTGATACCCTAGGCAGCTCAAGTGTAAGGTTAGATCGTTGCGTCATTTTTATGAATAAGGTCTACATTTCAATCATTCGTAGCCAGCTCTCTGTTAGAGAACAGATAAACGGCTGGTTAGATATTTCAGAAAAGAAAAGCGTATGCTAACTGTTAATGGTTGTATGCTGTGGTCTCAAAATGTATCGGATCTCAGACAGTGAAATTGAAAGTCTCTTTACCCCACCCCCCCCCCCCTCCCCCCTCCACCTAAAATCTTAGATCTCGCTCTCTTTATTTGTATTTGGCTTTGAAAGAAACCATCTCTTGAGCATTTAATTTCTGGACTTTACCTAAACCTCAAATTATTTATTTTGGGAATGTCAAACAAGTGGTCAAATATTTCAGCGTATATTTTTTCATTTTTACACCAAAGATAATGGGCAATTGTTCAAATTTTCCACGGTCTGAGAAGATTTTAGTGGTTACACCAAAGATAATGGGCAATTGTTCAAATTTTCCACGGTCTGAGAAGATAAGGTGAGATTCAAGGAAAAATTCTCTTTTTATCACCGCCAGCCGACATTCACAGCATGTGATTAAACAACCCAGTCATGTTCGATTGCACGTGTTTTGAATGTATCTAGTGTGTTGTGATTTGTCGAAAAATGTGGTGTGTCGTAGGTGTGTCAACCGGTTGCGGTTTTGGTTTGACATCAAAATAAATGAAATGAAGACAAAATATATTTGGGTTTGAGTCAGACTCGTACAGCGCTCATTCGTTTGTGCTTCTAGTCTTTCTCAACTAAAACTCTGTTCAGACCAAGTAGATGAACTAAAAAACTGTGTTTTGACATTAATTTTTTTTTACTAATTCGTGGAGGTAAGTTATCATTCTTTGTAACCGAGAAAAGAATTAATGTCTTCCTATGTGCTAGCCAGAGTTATTTTAGTCAATTTTAGATAAATGGAATCCACCTTCCTTAAGTTTGTACGTGACAAGTTCTTTTGCACCACCGAAAGTTTTTTGGATTTATGAATTTTGAAGGAGATTCAATAGGCTGTTTCGCTGGGTCCAATCCACCTTCTGATTTTTGTGAAACAGAATTTTTTTTAGATCAAAAATTAATATCAAGCACACAAGGGTGTGTCTAGCTGACAAATTTTGTAGGTTTATGTTTTGCGAGATGATCCCGATCCCCATCTCGTTTATCGATATCTTGGTAAGGAATTTTATTGCAAATTTGTCACATCTATTTCATTGGGGGTTAAATGTCAAACTAGTCGTACCCCTTCTTCGCTTGTGTTTTCCTCTTAAACATCTTTTTATTTTTAGTCAGTCATATACATCACTGAAAACAATAACTTCAATCTTTTTACTTGAGTAATACAGTACTGAATCAGAGTAAAGCAACTCTTCTACTGTGTCACGCGGGCGTAAGCTGGCTTACAGATGTGATAAGCAGTGGCATGTTATTGGAAAGCGAAACTCAAACCCAGATGGTCCAAAATAGGAATATGTTAACAAGTAATCTGAAGGCATTTTCAGTACAAGGGGCCTGAGAAACGGATTTTGTAATTCATGTACAACACTCCAAGAACGTAAAGTATTTGTACTGTTCGCAAAACACTTTTTCTAATTTTCAGCTCTTTAGCTTTCGTGGAGTAGATTGTGTTCATCACATATCTTAACTTATCGATGATTTTGGCAGCGTCTATATCCTGCTCGGGAAAAAAATATAACATAATTTTGAGCTGACAATGTCACATGAGTTTTGCACGTGACTGAAACATGACGATCGTAAACAGAACACAACATGTGTTGACATTTGACATTTCGTAGTGTTCTTTTGTGTTTTTATCGCGGACGAGTGCTGCTCTATTTGATTTGCATACCAATACAACACTGCGCCATTACAAGTGAATGCCCTTGTTGTTTTGACGCAGAGAGATCGAAGTTGGTGTCATTTGGTTAGCGCCTTCTGCGAACTTTCTCAGAGCCGGGGGGTTGTGGTTGATCCACTGGTTCCTCTATTGACGTCATTTGCGAAATTTGAGTCCGCACGTACTATTGCAAATCGCTTGTAAAAGCGTCCGATACAGTTGTAACCTGCAATCGTCGTAGTTTCCTCGTGAGGTCTTGTTAAGCTCCGCTGTTTGCGTTGAGGTTTTGATTTCAAGAGCACAATGAAAAGTCGAAGGCCCAGCACCCGAAGCGCATCAAGTCGAACTGGACTTCTTGATTCTCCAGGAAGAAAGATACTCTCTGAGGTCCTTCTTGTCTGTGAGTTGTTGATGTTCATTACACTCACAGCTTTAACTGGTGGTAAACCGCCTTCAACATCGACAAATACTCAGAAAAAAACACCTCAAGTACGTAAGCTAACATTCATATACTTTTAGTTTGTAATTTTCGTAACCGTTGAGACAGTTTTTGAAGTTCACATTGTGAACTCGTGATTTGCTTTGTTCGGTCGGGAGAAGGAGAAACTCATTTGGGTTGATCTCTCTGAGCTAAGTCTATCGATAGAGTCAAATTGTATATTCAATAATTTCGTGATATCTAAAATAATAAACAATCTGAGAACCTAATGAAATTAATTCCAACACACACGACTGCTATTTGAGATTGCTCGCAATCTGATACTGTAAAGTTTCCATCGTTTGTTCATAACCTAAAAAGTATGCACCTGACGTCTTGTAAACAGTTTTCGTGCAGATTAGGAATGACATCCATTGTGTGAACGAGGTCGCTAAAAGCCTGAAAAACTAATTAATGAGACAAAGCATGAAGGCTTTTCGCAATACTGTTATAAGATACATCATCTCAGTTAATCCTAGTGAGTACTGTATTAGTTCCCTAGTGGCGGAAAGACGCAAAGTAGCCTTTGTGGTACACAAAAGGACGCGTTAAGTAGAAATAAATTGGATAAATACACAGCGGGGGGTAGTTGTTAACAGCACATATACCCTGCCAGCTGTACCAGAACGGACTAAATACATCAAGCTAACTTGACAAATGAGACGAGGATCCGTTCAAGATGTCAATACATTTGTGCCTAATATTTGTTTGATCACGCGGATCGTAAATATCAAGAGTCAAATGTTGAATTATTGATCCATTTTTACCAATTAAAACTTCTTTGGGAAGCTTCCAGGAGCTTGTGTGGAGAATTTACACTGGTATCAAATGGGTTCAAAAGAAAATGGTGCATGTGTAACAAGATTACTTCATGTTTCTAAATATAGTTGTTAAAGTGTGATATCCTGCAGAGACTACAGTATTGGTTTTGCTTGCTGAACATTACATAAACAATCCTTTATTTGGGAGGGGTGAGCAGCTTTCCTGTTTGAGATATAAAGCTTATGCAGAAAGCCAACTACACATGATGTGCCTTTTTGCCCATGTTTGCAGTCTGCAAGAGTTGCTCTTTATTTTCTATGTCATCTAATAAATAATTTAATGCAGATTCTCCTTTTTTTCTTCTTCACAGGAAAGATAGCTAAATAAGCATGGTCCAACAGCAACTAGCTGACATTGTGGTGGCAGGCATGGCTTGCAGACTTCCAGAGTCAGACAATGCAGAGGAGTTCTGGTCACATCTGATGAACAAGGAGGATATGGTGACAGAGGATGACCGACGCTGGACGCCTGGACTTCATGGCCTGCCAAAACGTGGTGGAAAACTCAAAGATATAAAGCACTTTGATGCAACCTTCTTTGGTGTTCATGCAAAGCAAGCCCATAGAATGGATCCTCAGTTAAGAATCTTACTCGAATTAACATATGAAGCATTGATTGATGCTGGCATTGATCCCCAGACAGTTCGTAATTCCAGGACTGGTGTCTTTGTTGGTGCCAGTGGCTCTGAAGCTTTTGAAGCTTTCAGTGCAAACACTGAAGACATTGTTGGCTATGGTATGACTGGTTGTTCCCGTTCAATGTTTGCTAATCGTGTGTCTTTCACGTTTGACTTCAAAGGACCAAGCTTTGTTTTAGACACTGCTTGCTCCTCGTCACTGCTTGCTATGGACTGTGCAGTACAAGCAATCAGATCAGGAAGTTGTGATGCTGCTATTGTGGGTGGCGTGAGTCTTACATTGAAGCCCAACACTTCTGTGGACTTCTTAAAGCTCAACATGTTGTCCCCTGATGGTGCATGTAAATCATTTGATGTGAGTGGTAATGGGTATTGTCGTTCTGAGGGTTGTGTTGCCATTTACCTGACCAAGAGATCTGTGGCCAGGAGGATTTATGCTCATGTTGTTAATTCAAAAACCAATTCTGATGGCTACAAGACACAAGGTAAAGACATTAAAGGTGTCATACTTGTACTGTTAACAGATCAGACTGTCACTGCAGCTCCAATGTTTAACCTTTCTACTTTTCTGTATCTTGAATATCAAAATTTTTTCATAAAATATTTATTTAAAAACTTAAGAACCTAGAATTCAGATTTGATGTTAAAAATCAGGTGAAAAGAAACATTGAGTTGATGCTGACTCTAAGTAATGGAGAGAGAATTTCATTTTTGAACTTTGGCATCAATCCTTTGTAACGAGAGAATGATTACGTTTAAACTGTTTTAACATATTTACTCGAACATTTAGGTATGATATAGGATTCAAGAAGCCTGGTTGTAGTAATCTTGTTATCTGTCTGTTAGGTGTAACCTACCCAAGTGGAGCTCTTCAGAAGCAACTGCTGGATCAGGTGTATCAAGAAGCCAACATTAACCCAGCAGATGTTGTTTATGTTGAAGCACATGGTACAGGTACCAAGGCTGGTGATCCCGAGGAGCTGAACTCACTCACATCTGTCTTTTGTGACAAACGTGCACCTGAAACAGGACCTCTTCTTATTGGGTCAGTTAAATCCAACATGGGGCATCCTGAACCAGCATCAGGATTGTGCGGAGTGACCAAGGTGTTGCTTGCTATGCAACATGGCATTCTACCACCCAACTTACATTTCAACTCGCCAAACCCAGACATTCCAGGTCTTCTTGATGGTAGACTGAAGGTTGGTGACTCATCTCTTTTTAAACCATGCTCTGTTAACCCTTTACACCCTAACATCAGTATCTATATTCTCCATACTCTTCTCTGTATGTTTCCTAATATACTGACAAGGAGAAGTTGTTAAACAATCAAAGCTTCTTTGGGTGGCAATCATTTCCTTTATTTTCATGATCTTAATGAATGATTCAGCCATATTGCTTTAAGGAGAAATTAGGTTCTAAAGGGTTAAAAGCCACACTGTGTTAGGAATCAAGAATGGGAGAGAATGGTAAAGGGTTTTTTGCAGTTCTACTCACTGAAAGTATGTTTCCCTGGTTGGAATAAGTGGTTAAGCTATGTGAGTCGAAGCACAGGGGTCTTTACAGAGTGGTTGAATTGATCACAATTGAATTGGTATTACACTTTTGGATACCAAATATAATGGTGACATCAGTACAACCCACTGCTTCTTAATTGGTTTGTGCCAAGAAAGGAATAAATTAGACACAGAAAAGATGCTTTAGTATCTCTAGAAAGTAATAACCTAAGTAATGATGTATATCATTATTGTATTTCGTCAATTGTAGGTTGTGACAGAACCCTTGCCTTGGAAAGGTGGCATTGTTGGAATCAATTCATTTGGATTTGGGGGATCCAATGTTCATGTTATCTTGAAGTCACCAGATGCACCTAAACCTAAAATATCTTCAAAGCCCACTCTTCCAATAGTAGTCCCTGCATCAGGAAGGACAGAAGAGGGAGTGAAGAAAATGCTGCAGTTTGCAAGGGAGAATATTGCGAATAAAGATCTTTTGGCCTTGTTAACAGAGGTTTCATCCACACCCTTGAATACTTTCTCACATAGAGGCTACACAATTGTTGGAAGTGAGAGCAATGTTGAAGAAGTCCTCAAGGTACAGTCCAATCGGCGTCCAATATGGTATGTGTTCTCTGGCATGGGCACTCAGTGGTCTGGCATGGGAGAGAAATTGATGCAGATTCCAACATTCAGTGAATCTATCCACAAGACTGCTGAGATTTTGAAGGAGTTTGGAGTTGACCTTGTCAAGATTATTACAAAGAGTGATGATAAGACATACACCAAAACCATCAACTCTTTTGTGGGACTAGCATCCATTCAGATTGCCTTGGTTGATTGCTTGAAAGCTTTGGGTAAGGTTTTTTTGTTTGTTAGAATTTGTTAAAGATTTTTAGTCAGGGTACTAAGAGCTTAAGTTGGCTCAAAGGCAAACTGGAGTGACTTCATACCAGAAGTTGGAAATCATACCCTAGATGTAACTTGAAATCTTAACTAGTAGTATTTTTTTTTTTGGATTGTTCTATGCACATAATTGTTGGTAACAACTTCAAAAAGGACCTACAGTATGACTGTTTGGCAACAGCAATCCTTATTGTTACCTATAAATTATTTTCTGATCACTATGCATCTTTTTATGCCTTCTGCTCATGGTTGTCCCAAATTTTGGTTTTCAGGAATAACCCCAGATGGAATAGTTGGGCACAGTGTGGGAGAGCTTGGCTGTGCATATGCTGATGGAAGTTTTACTGCCAAGGAAGTAATTTTGGCTGCTTATTGGAGAGGTGAGGTCCTCTAATTATATTGGATAGGCTGTGCTTGTTGTAAGATGTGTAGTTTTTATATACTACAGATAAAATCTCTTTGCCGTGTCAGTTTGAAGAAGAAATAGTATATGCTGTTATTTGAAATCAATTTTTACTCATGACAACACAAAAAGGGAAACTACAGCAATCCTTCAATTAGGGAAGGACAAGCTTTTTAAGTTCATAAAAACAGAAGTATAACATGGGTTGTTTGTTTTGATTTAGGTCGTTGTGTCCAGGAGGCTAAACTTCCTCCAGGAGCTATGGCTGCAGTGGGTCTAACCTGGGCAGAAGCCAAGAAGAGGTGTCCTGAAGGTGTGCGACCAGCCTGCCATAATGCTGAGGACACTGTCACCATCTCTGGTGATGCTATAGCTGTCAACAAATTTGTGCAGGAGTTAAAGGAGGAAGGAACCTTTGCGAAGGAAGTGAACACATCTGGTGTTGCATTCCATTCCAGGTATATGGCTCTTATTGCCCCTATGCTCAAAGAGTCATTGATGAAGTTCATTGTACCAAAGAAGAGATCACCACGCTGGATAAGTACATCTATTCCTGAAGACAGGTGGGACACTGAGTTGGCAAAGTATTCCTCTGCAGATTACCATGTGAACAACCTGGTAAGCCCAGTTCTGTTCCAAGAGGCACTAGGAAAGATTCCAGCGGATGCTGTTGTCATTGAGATCGCTCCACATTGCCTTCTTCAGGCCATTCTCAAGAGATCTCTCAGCCCACAGTCAGTTAACATCCCTTTAATGAAAAGGAATCATCCAAACAACTTGGAGTTCTTTTTGACAGGCCTTGGCAGACTTTATGCTGGTGGAATTAACTTTGATCCAACCTTGATTACCACAACCAAGGCATCTTTTCCTGTCCATGTCTCAACTCCTTCTATTGCTCCTCACATGGGATGGGACCATTCCCAGGAATGGGATGTTCCCACCATGAGCCGCTTTCAGTTCAGTAGCAGTGGTGGAACAGCAACATTGTGCAACTTTGAGATTGACATATCACCATCATCAGCAGACAAGTACCTTGAAGGACATTGTATTGATGGTCGAGTCCTTTTCCCTGCTACAGGTTACTTGGTCCTGGCATGGAAGACCCTTGCCAAATCTGCTGGGCTTCTTCTGGAACACACTTCAGTTGCCTTTGAAGATGTAACTATCCACAGGGCCACCATTCTCCCAAAGACTGGCTCAGTGACTCTAACAGTTCATCTTATGCCAGCTTCCAACAAGTTCAATGTGTCTGAAGGAGACAGCCTAGCAGTGTCTGGCAAAATATTTATGCCAGAATTGCCTGCATTGAGTGAAGACTTTAAGGTAGCTCCTCCACTTGAAGAAGAGGTGCATTTGACAGCAGACTGCATTTACAAGGAGCTTAGGCTACGTGGTTATGACTACGGACCCACTTTTCAAGGAATTTTAGGAGCAAACAGTTCAGGTAGGCTCTCTGACTTCAATCAATCTTTTGAATCCCTCCTTTCTAAGTCCTTTCTGACCAATATCATATCCTTTTTCAAGGCAAACTTTTAAAGTCAAATCCACATTGGCATGCTCTGAACAGAGTTCAGATACCACACTAGGTACTTTAAACGTTACCTCCTTGTGTTTCTCAGATATAGCTTTTATTGATTAAACTTGAACTTTCTACACGATGGCTACAAGGGCAATTGTTGTAAGAAGGGCTCAGCGTCTTGCATCGGGAAATTTAGCGTCAGCTGTGATTGTATTGTTAGGCACAAATGGTGAACTCAAGTGGACTGGAGAGTGGATATCATTCCTGGACACCATGCTTCAGTTATCAGTTCTGAGACTTCCTGGACGAGGATTGAGGCTGCCTACCAGAGTACGATCACTACGCATTGACCCATCCATCCACCTGGAGAGAGCAAAAGAAGGTACTTGTGAGGTAAAGGTTGATCCAAAGATGGACATGGTTGTGGCTGGTGGTGTAGAACTCAAAGGTAAGCCCAGGACTTAAAGGTTATCTTCTAGATTCTCGTTTCATGTCCTTTTGGTAGGGAGTAAGTTGCGAAAAGAATCTGAACGTTGATTCATCTTAACTGAACAAACAAAATACAATTACTAACCAATAGTCTCTTGATCACTTGCTAGGTCTTCATGCGACCGTAGCACCTAAAAGACAAGATGGGCAAGTTCCTGTCTTAGAAAAGTTCGCATTCGTGCCATATGTTGATGGTCCAATGCCCAAAAGCTCAACTTTGGAAGGTATCAGTAAAGAAAGCTTCTTCGATGTTATACAAAATGGTCCTCTCTTGAAAGTCATGTTGGACACTGTCATCGAGAACAAGGTTGGTCCCAATTTGAAAATCAGCGAAGTAGGTGCAGCTGAAGGGAAAGTCTTCTCGCGTGCTGTGCCTTTGTTAAGTCTACATCCTATGGTTCAACTAAACTATACAGCCACAGACAAGAATGAAGAACTCTTGGGTACCATTACCGAACTGGCCCCAGAGGACTTGGTTGAGGTTTGCACTTGGGATGTTTCTAAGCAACCGCCAGGTGCTGTGAACAAGAGTGATCTTATCATCGCCTCAAATCTGATTCATATGACATCGGACCTTTCTAATGCGTTGGAGAACATCAAGTCTGCCCTCAGCCCGCGAGGTTTTGTTCTGCTGCATGAAGTTACAGCTAATCTGGAGGCAGCACGTGCTATTTTTGGAAAGAACGGTTTCACTCTAAGTGGACAAGAACAGAAGTACTTCCTTACGGATCAACAGTGGGTGAAAACTTTGCAAGGTGTTGGACTCAATGTAGTGTCAATGAAAAGGATCGGCTCCGTGTCAAGTCTCCTTCTATGTAGGCTGACGAATGCCTCTGAGGAGAAACCTGTCTTCATCGACGTGGATGAAACATTCGAGTTTTTGCCCAACCTTCAAACTGCTATGGCGTCTGGTGACAAGTCACCCATATGGCTTCGTTCATTCACCGCGTCCCCCACAGGAATAGTGGGCATGACAAATTGCTTGCGACAGGAGTTGGGTGGAGAGAAGATCCGCTGTCTCTTCGCCAGCCCTGATGAGAAAGCCAAAGTGATGGAACACTTTGAGTCTTTGGTTAAGCTAGATTTGGTCATGAACTTGTTCCAAGGTGGCAAATTCGGCTCCTATAGGTACGTACACTCATTTTGCATTTCACTCTAAATGTCCAAGCCAAGACTCTCATTCGTAAAAACTGCATCTCTATTTGAATTACAATTTATTTGTTGTTACGAATTGTAGTCACACAATGAGATCTGAAGAATAGATTCGTGACAATGTTAATGAACCATTGCATTTTAAGTTCATTAATTTTTATCGTTCTTTTTAAATCTTCTCTTCAGACATGTTCTTCTCGAGGATTCGCCAAACGCTAGTGAAGAAACAGAGCACGCATATGTGAATGTACTGACACGTGGAGATCTCTCTTCACTGCGATGGATTGCCTCTCATTTGAAGTATTCCCCAAGAACTCAAGGAACCACAGAACTTTGTACAGTCAACTACACTTCCTTAAACTTCCGTGACATCATGCTTGCTACAGGTAAATTGCCACCGGATGCCCTTCCTGGAGACCTAGCACATCAGGACTGTATCCTGGGAATGGAGTTTTCTGGTAGAAATCAGAAGGGCGAGAGGATCATGGGATTGCTACCGGCGCAGGCCTTAGCAACTACAGTCATGGCAGATCAGCGGTTTACTTGGAAGGTAATTCACTTGTAAAGCAAATGTCAATAGTAGGGTAAAATGTGTATCACCAGTATTATATTCTACATCTCTTTAAGTGTTCTTGTGTGTACATTCTCTGTTCGCTTGACATACTTTGGTTTATAGGTACCTGAAACCTGGACCCTTTTGCAAGCAGCTTCTGTTCCAGTAGTTTACTCTACAGCCTACTACGCTTTGATTGTCCGCGCAAATCTCAGGCCAGGGGAATCTGTCCTCATCCACTCCGGATCAGGGGGAGTTGGTCAGGCAGCCATCTCCATCTGTCTTAAAATGGGTTGTGAAGTGTTCACGACAGTAGGGACGAAAGAGAAGAGGGAATACCTTATGGCGACCTTCCCTGATCTGAAACCACAGAACATCGGCAACTCTCGAGACTTATCTTTTGAACAAATGGTAAGCTAGACGATATTTGGCGATATTCGGTGATGTCAAATTTCCAATTTGACATCACCGAACTTCTTGTTGAACAGTTAATACGCCTTGACGTTAGCTGTAGTTCTTTCCTTTTTCGACGTGGCATCTCATCGGTGGAAAAGGAATTAGTCTGTTTGGGTATGATGATAATTTGCAGTATTTTGACAAAAAAATCACGTTTAAAAGAGCTCTATGGTATTATAAGCCTCAACACCAATTTTGCCCTTCTCAATTGAAAAGCTCGCTAAAGTTTACCTTTCAATCATATTAAGGTGATGCACAGAACTAATGGGCGTGGCGTGCACGTTGTGCTCAATTCGCTGGCCGAAGAAAAGCTGCAAGCTAGTTTACGATGCTTGGCGCGACATGGCCGCTTCCTCGAAATTGGAAAATATGACTTGTCAAACAACACTCCTCTGGGCATGGCTTTGTTTCTTAAAAACGTTTCCTTCCACGGAATCCTGTTGGATGCTATTTTTGAAGAGGACAACTCGGAGTGGATCGAAGTTTCAAAACTTTTTACAGAAGGAATTAAGTCAGGTAATTAAGGAACTACGAATATCACTTATTTGTGTGCCACCTTATAAAAAATAGGTGCAAACAGGTTCGAAGAAGGTGTCTGAGATTGAAAAGGATTTTCCGGTGTTATCTTTACAGGTGCAGTACGACCTTTGAAAACCACAGTGTTCGACCGCGACGAAATTGAGCCCGCCTTCCGTTTCATGGCTCAGGGCAAACACATTGGAAAGGTAGTCATTCAAGTCAAACCAGAAGACGAGACCAAATCAGTGGTCAAACTTATGGCGCATGCGCGCAGCATGTGCGACCCTCGTAAGAGTTATGTAGTCACCGGAGGCCTGGGTGGCTTTGGTCTGGAACTTGCGCATTGGCTGGTTGAGAGAGGTGCACGTAATCTGGTTCTGACAAGTCGCAGAGGTAGGGGTCTCGCAAGCTTGTGGCATGATTTTAAAAATGCTTTTGAAGTAGACATCTTCGTTTCCTTTCAGTCGTGTTCAAGTTGAATACGTGACAACAAATAGAATTCAAAACAACGCTCTGGTTGTCGCAGAGAATTCTACTTCGGGTCTTCTTAGAGAGCGATATTCAACGAGATTTGAACACAGTTGATTGTTATATTGTGATGTGGTTAGGATAAGAAAGTATTATTTAGCGAGGTGTGGAAAAGTGTTCCGTGTACTGCTTGGGTCATTTCCTGATTTTGTTTCTCGTTTGTTTGTTTTTCCTGTCACACGCAATGACTATGATCTTTTTTCACAGGTATCCGTACCGGTTACCAGGCTCGTCGCATCAAAGTATGGCAGGAAATGGGTGTGAAAGTACTTTCACTGACGGATGATGTTGGCACAAAAGAAGGCGTGGCTTGTATCCTGAAAAAGGCTTGCGAACTTGGCCCCTTGGGAGGAATCTTCCATTTGGCAGTGGTACTGAGGGATGGTTTGCTCGAGAATCAAACCATCGAGGCATTCCAGGCGGTCAACAAACCCAAGTATCATGGCACAATATACCTTGATCAGATGACTCGACAGAAGGATATTGCTGAGGAGCTTCATTGGTTCGTGGTGTTCTCGTCCGTGTCCAGTGGGCGCGGTAATGCTGGCCAGAGCAACTACGGCTTTGCCAACTCAGCTATGGAGAGAGTCTGTGAAGATCGTGTGAAGAAAGGTCTCCCTGGAGTCGCGATTCAGTGGGGTGCTATTGGAGACGTGGGCCTTATTCAGGTTGGTAACTCTCACTAGACCCATAAGGGATAACTTAAAATCCGTTCGTCTTTGACCTTTACACCTACATCAGTGTGCATATTCCCCATACTGTTATTTATACATTTTCCAAAGTGCTGATAAGTTCTTTAGTTGGTGTTCATTTCCTCTTCTTCCGTAACCTTGGGTTAGGGTTAGATTCAGGGCTAATATTGTAAGGAAAATTTATATGCCAGTCACTCTTTGGGGTCAAAAGGTTAAGTTCCACCCACCTCCGCGGCTAAACTAGCTTGTAGGTGTATCTTTGTTTAGAAGAAATATTTTGAAAGGCACGTCTGTGTTTAGAAGAGACATTTGAAAAAGGAATACGTTTTTCTGACCCACACACACACACACACACCCCCCCCCAGCCTCTCTCCCCTTGGGCCCGCTTCCTGCTCAGTAGGCTGTTCAATCATAGGTACATCATTCGAAAATGTTAGTCTTTCCCTTTTGTTTGTCTTTTGTTTTCCTGTTAAGAAGGTTATCAGTCTCCAAGTAAACTTTTTTGTCGTGCTTTATGTGTCACAGGATACCATGGGTGGCTCAAATGAGACTGTCATTGGTGGTACTCTTCCACAGCGCATAAGTAGCTGCTTAGCTGTGCTGGACAGATTCTTATCGCAGACTCACCCAGTGATGTCATCGTACATTTTAGCATCCAAGATAACGAGCAAGGGAGATAAGGGGTCTGGATCCGACCTGGTTGGAGCTGTAGCACATATTCTTGGAGTGAAAGATGTTTCTACAATTAACCCTGACACGACCTTAGCTGACCTTGGTAAGATAGATCAAAATCGTCTTTAATGAGACTACCATGTAATTATCTAACAATATCCAAATAATGGATTGCAACTGATATATTAAGACGCCACGGAATTTTGAAACGATTTGAACACTTATTTAGGATGGTGAAGGTCAGGTAGGAATGCAGAAAGAACGCAGAAAGAACGTCTTCTATCCTTTGCCAAGATTTTACTGCTAGTTGGTTGAGTGACTGTGATCTTGACACTGATCTTGACATAGTCTTGACATTGTCATTTTCAATGCTTTAGATTTAAAAAACTTAGCCAAACTGGTTAAAAGGTGGCTAAAGGCTTTATATCAGAAAACAACAATATTCTTACATGTTTGATTTATCTCCCAACAGGCCTTGATTCTCTCATGGGAGTTGAAGTCCGCCAGACCTTGGAACGAGACTTTGACATTCAAATGACTATGAAAGACGTGCGGCTGCTGACGGTGAATAAAATGCGGGAGCTGACCAGCGGTGATGCACCCGAGGAATCTGAGAAAGGAAAGACCACTGAAGAAACCGAAGCTTACCTTCCAGAGATTGGCAAACAATCATTGGTGCAAATGAATGATGTGAAAAATGGACAGAAACCGCTTTTTATAATCCACAATATCAATGGCACAGTGGAGCCGTTGCGTACCCTGGCTAACAATCTTTCTTTCCCCGTGATCGGCCTGCAGTACTCCTTGACGTCCCCCAAGGATTCGATCCAGTCTCTCTCGGCCAGCTATATTAAATGCATCCGGGAGATTATCCCTCAGGGCCCTTACCGCTTGGCTGGTTACTCGTTTGGGGCGTCAGTGGCAATAGAAATGGCATTGCAACTGGAAAAGACCTTAGAGGTAGAGAGCTTAATCTTATTGGATGGATCACACACCTATGTTGCAGCACATACAGTGTGGCATAGAAACAGGTTGTCCCTTCAACCCAAAGGATCTTGGGAACCAAGGGCTGTGGCAGAAGGCCTGAGTGCCCTAGCACCGCAGTACGCACCTGTTGACAAAGCCAAACTCCTAGAAGTTCTTCAGAAAGTAACCACCATTGACAAACAAATTCAATTAACAGCTGACGTTATATCTGAAGCGAATTCAGCGTTAGCCAAAGAGAGTGTTGTCAGGTTCATCACGAGTTTTATGGCTTTGTTGCGCATGGGCGAAGAATACAAGCCGGCTTCGCGACTCCATGGCAACGTACATCTTGTTCGCGCCAAAACTGTAAACGAGATGGGCAGGGGTCTTGGTGACGACTTAAGTCTGCGCGAGGTGTGCAGTGGTCAGTTGAGCGTGAGCTGGGTCGAGGGTGATCACGAGACGTTCCTTCAGAACGAGAGCAGCATGGAAGTCGCAAACATCTTAACTAAGGCTTTGAGAAGTTGAACTTGATCAAGGTTGCCATAGCGATCAAGGTTGCTTAAAGCACAAAAGTGAGCCAAAAAAAAATTTTTTAACAGTGCATTTTTGTCTGTCATGACACCATCTTTGAAGCCGTCTAAAGTTCATTTCATAGGAGTGGATTTAAGTAGACTTGGTTTTAATGAGTGTTATGTTTAGATGAAGCACTACAGATTACTTGGAAAATACTGGTCTCGAAAATTTGGTAGCTGTAGTCAAAGTGAAGTGTTTGTAGATCAAAGACAATTACAAAGTTTGTCATTCGTTGAAAGTGGAATTTGGAGATGGGAATTGTAAGTAGTTTTATTCCGATTGTCAATTAATGTTTGAACTACATTATTTCACAGAAATAGGATATCAAAATAGAAACCATATTAGAAGATATTTGAAATTTTTACATGCGGTTTTTTTACTGAGGTTTGTTGATAAATATTAGAAGGAGGAACACAACACCTATCGTTGGTTAACTGTTCGTGAAGGTACATGAATTAACATGGGTCTTAACCCTTTGACCCTAAGAGTGACAAGCATCTATTTTCTCCTTATAAGATCGCCCCTAAATCACTCATTAAGGTTATGAGAGTGAAGTAAATGATCACCAAATTAACAAGCTCTTGATTATTAAACAAATTCTCTTTTATCTGCACCTTAGGAAATGTATGAATGACAGTATGGAGAATATGCATATTGATGTTAGGGTGTAAAGGGTTAATGAAATAAACTTTTCTAAAGAACATGTGGTGTCTAAATTTATTATTCTCACCAATGGTTCCTCCCCGATTCCCCCACCCCTCTCTGCTCGTCAAGGTTGGAAACCGGGATCACCATAGCTTGAGAATTTTTAAGGTCTTACCTCCTCATCAAGTGAAAAGCAAATCATCGAAAATCATGGCGTAGCATTTAATCGAAGATCATAGCGTTGCAAGAAGATCATACTAAAGGTTTAAGAAATTAAGTGAGTTCATGATGCCAGTTATTCCTTCTGCCTGTTGATATCCGGCAACCCATACCCAGCAGAATAGCCTTTTTACTCCTGGACAGTATTTGTCTGAGAGAAATGATAACATTTGCAATTAAGCTACTGATAAAAGTCCTCAAGTACCGTCGCATACTCTGCAATGGGACGAAAGGAAATACGGCACGCAATCAATTGCATGATATCCAAGCAAATTTCTATGGAGGAAATGTTTGTCTTCGAGAAAAGAACCTACCCTTACAAATAGGCCCTCATTATAGCATTGCTTCACCCGCGAGTAAGTTTCGGGCCTTGCCAAAGCAAACCAGCGAGAGGTTTGAAGGGGCACTAATAATCATTAGTGCCAGATTACCTGCACGGGCAAGCGAAGGAAAGCTCTTACTGAATCGTTTTAACAAACCTTCCAACGTATACGCGTGTAACGTGTGAAAAAAGATCAGCGGCTCATTGAGGATTCTTTAACCTAAGAGGAATGTATTGGGACAAAAGAAAAGGAGAAAAATTTGGCGTCAGTTACTCTTTTAAATTATGATGGCATAAGTCATGCTGAAACGTGTCTTCAAAAAGTTTCTTCGCGAATCTGAAATTTATTTCAATCATATCGTTATCACGAAGCTACGGACGTTTAACAAAGTTAAAGTTTTAGAAACGAGTTGTTTATTTCTATTTTCCTTAATTATCGGTTAAACGAGTCCGTAGAAATTTTTTTTCTCCTATTGTTTTATGTTGAGATCTTTTGAGTTATATATGGAAGCTCTAATTTCATTTTTTTCAGTTTTTTCGCTCTATTCGTCACCAAGCATCCTTCCAGTTCTTTCATGGTTCATCATGACATCCTTTCCTTTGTTAGAACTGACGCGTCAAGGTTTTCTTCAGGTACTCAACGAATTCTAAAGAGAAAAATCAGCTGCCTTCTAAATTCGTTGACTGATTTCTATTGTATTCGTCAAGAAAATTTATTTTGATCCTACGCACTCACAATGTTTCGAAAATCATTAAGACGTGGAAGAGAACCCATTTCAGTGCTATAACACCCATCGTAACACGAAGTGAACCATCACAATGGTGCCACGAACCATCTCCGTCCCTGTCATGATATGTATACTGGTTTTGATCGCCTGCTTCCTTTGTATGCTGGGATATTTTCATTTATGGTTTGCCTGCAACAAGAGACATCGCAAAAAATATCTGGCAAAGAATGGAGGAAAGGAAGCGCAACAAGAGAGACTTGATCATGAGATGTCTCTGCCGCCGACTTATACCACTACCGACGGAAAAATTTTTGAATGAACATGTCGTTTTACTTTGAATGATGAATCAATTTTGTAATAATTTCGATATTTTGCCTTGCGTAGGGCGGAAACTATATGTATAATGTTCAGACAATTTTTGTTCAATTTGGGTAGTACTAAGAGCAGAAAGTAGAGAGCAATGGGCCTTGCGTAAATCAACTTACGACTCTGTGATACAACACTGCCAAGTTACTTAACTGAAGCGTACCGTTTTCCAAGATAATTTGTGGTTCACAAGGACATCTTAATAAAGTAAAAAAGTATTCAGCGTAACGTTGATCTGAGCAAGAGTGAGAGCTGCGCTGGGAAACCGTGGAAGATTTCGATCGTTTTTGTTAAGCGCGCTAAACTGCAAAATGTTCCTAACACCCTTATTTGGAAAACGAAAACGTAAGTTTTTCTCCTACTACGTAGTCCAGAAAAGGAAGGCTCCTCTCATGAATCCGTTAATTGCTTGCTGCGTTAGTAGTAAAAAGCTTGTTCGTTTCTTGGTAATATTCAATCGATATAATAAGGAACCAAAACAGAAAAGTATAAATTATCTTAAGCAATGAATGAGTCGATCGTTAAAAGAAATAAGTTGATTTTCGTGATCAATAATTGGGTGATTTCAAGTTCCAAGCCCCATACATGAAAGAGAAAATAAATTATTATTAAGGAAAAACCTAAAACGGTATGACAATATGAATACAGTTAACATTTGTCTAGGATTCAGTTTTTATCAACCATAACTAAAGGCGAGAATGTTGATGAAAATATCCAAGCTTACCGAAAAACAGGAAGTATGTCGAACAACCGTTTGAAAGACATGCAACATGCTTGTTTTATGAAGGTGTTATATCAAATCACCCGAAGTACAATTGTTGAGATCCCTATTGGCCGAGTGACCCTATATTTTTGTGAGGTATTTTTTTCTCTTTCAGTCTTTCCTTCTTTTTTACTTTCTTTTTAATGAGGACATGGTCTCGGCACCTGACAGGAAAAGGAAATTTCTCATGAGAAATCACACCGTGTTAATGCTTATTGACGAATCAATTCAAAGCGAGTCTATCCTTTATTCTTGCAAAAGCTAGCGGAAATTTCTGGCTGTAAGGTTGATCAAATCATCGGTAACACATTCATGTGTAAATTTTCGACCCACGTTTTAAATCTGATCTGGATGTATGCCAGTATCCTAGTTTTTTTTTTTTATGAGCAAGCCAGGTAATTAGAAAAACACTGCTTGGTTTTTATCGTACGAACCTTCTAATAAACACTAAAGTCCAAAGCATTACGATAAGCCAAAAAAAAAAATCAACAAAAAACAAACAGATTAATCGTTTAAGCAGCTAGTCAAACTGAGCTGATCAAATACGGCTATTTTTTATCCTTCGTTCCAACGATTGTTCGATCAAAAAACCTCTTACTTTTAAATTCAAGTTCCCAGGATATGATCATTTTTTTACTTGCAGGAAATCAGTTCGAAAGAGTGTTCTGATTCTGAATAAAAAATCGTATTAATCGGACATAGGAAATCGCGGATGCGCGTCGATAAGCATGGAAATTTTCTAAATTAGCTTAAAACGATTATTTCGTGAAAGTTCGTTGAGTTCGATTCCACTCCCTCTATTCGCCTACTTTGGATTTCGTTTCAACTGAGCCAAAATTCGAAGTGCATCCTCACTCCCTGTGGTAGACTGGCCAGAGGTTTCAATAACAGGCGCTCTATCGCCGCCTGTAAGATTCCTACCGCCGTCTGTTTAGCAAGCAAGTAGGCTCTGGTTTCGAGGTTGTGGCTTAATGCCCCTTTTCCTAGGAGAGCCGCCCATTACACCATCGGTAGCTGCTCATGGAAAACGTTACTGAAACTCCTGAAACCGATAAACAACGGTTTGAAGTAGAACGTTTGTCTCGATTCAGATTTTCTCGATATGTAAATGATGTACCGTGACAACGTCGCATTCGCAAATATTCTAAAATTATATCTATGTTGAATATAAAACCAAGGTTAAAGTGCCCGTAGAAAAAAATCTTAACTCCGAAAAGGCACAGTGAAGTGGTGAGCCTTTTTCATAAATATTTTATTTAACGACAATAATCTCACCCGTTATCTATCTAAGCTTTACAATATCTAGTCAAAGACAGTCGAATGACGTTTAAAATAGCGCTGAAAGGCTAAGCTACCATTATAGTATCACTATCGTTGCAATGATAATAATAATATAATAATAATAATAATAATAATACACGTAATAATGATAATCATCATCATCGTTATCATCAAAATTGTTATTAATATAATTACAAATGTTATTATTATTATTATTATTATTATTATTATTATTGTACTGCCATATTAGTTATCATCATTTTTATGAATATAGGTCATAGCTTGAGCCAGTTGTGAGCAGGAAACTTCAGACGGGCATCAGACTACAGGCCATAACCCAGAATTCCTTGCCCCCGTCGACAGCCCTATCCAGTAAATTGTTACTATTTCGTCACAGACTGAAAAATTCAGCTGTTCTTTGAACCGCAGGTAATTTAGTGTTAACAACTGGGTTGAAAACGTAAATTAGCCACCGTAAAGGGTAAAAAAAGCTGACGTTTCGAGCGTTAGCCTTTCGTCAATCGCTCTGACGAAGGGCTAACGCTCGAAACGTCAGCTTTTTTTACCCTTTACGGTGGCTAATTTACGTTTTCAACCCAGTTGTTAACACTAAATTACCTGCTATACTCTCCCACCGACGCAGCACCACAGTTTCTTTAGAAACTTACCCCTTTGTTCTTTGAACTGCTGATCTCATATAAGAAGGGAGGATTTATATTTTTATATTTTTTTATATTAATATTTTAATTTTTCCTATGTATCCCCTGCCTGCTAGCGTAAAATATAGGTTTGTTACGCATGAAACAGTAAAATACATATTATAGGAAATCAACTATTAAATAACTCGATGGTTGAAATAAATTATCATTATATCCACCACTCATTTACTTACAAACCTTTTTAGGCAGTCAGAAAAATTCTACAAATAACAGTCTACAAAACCAAACATTCGCAATCGGAAACTTCTCTTAACAAGGAACTGCATGGGAACGAGTTGATTGCGTGAAATCTTCGGTGTTTGGCGTGACTTCAAACCACGGATGTTTCCATCTTAATTGATTCGATGTTGTATCATCTTTGGTTTCTTTATCTCAAGTCGAATCAAAGTGGACAGGAGGCTCATATGAGTGCAGCATTTGTGTCACAGATCTAGGGGTCAGCAACAAAAAACAGTCGATAATAATTAGAGAAGAGGAACTGTGATAATTAAAATATAAAGGTGGCCGGATAAGCAGGTGTTTCTAGGTTTCAACTGAAAAGCAACAGCTTCAGTTATAACTATACACGTCAAAAACAACAGACCGTAGAATTCTGTCTTTTTAACAGACCAAACCTAGCTCTGCATCTATTTCTTGCAATCAAAGGTCACCTTAATTTTCAGTTTTTCTTTATCTGAGGGATTCAGTTACAACTGTTTTGTTCACTCCTACATAACTTGATTTCCTGTTAAAGTTGGAATACCCATTCCTCTCCTCACGATTTTCAAGTAATCAGAAAAGTTATGTGAAATTAGATCATTTTCTAAATAAAAAAGTAAAGATCTGCATGAATCATTTGCATACCACCTCAAACGCAAAGGAGAATGTGAACTATGGCAAGAGGGGATGTACACTCTAGATCATATTAGTGAAAGGCTGTTTAATGGTCCCCGAAGCATGAACTCAAAATCAAGTTGTACTAGGCCTTGTTTGTTTAATTATAGTGTTCCCTGTCTGATATGTGTTGGCTGTGGCTTTTTCCCTGCATGAAATTGTGCCAATGTTTTTGAGTAGGGTCTTGGTATTTGATAACTCTCACCTTTTAGAGCACAGTTGAACAACCAGGGTGACAGACTTCAATTTATCTTTTGTGAATCTTTTTCTCCTAGTGTCCAGTTGATAACAGCCACAAAAAGACTTATCCTCTCCTATCCATTCCTGAAAGTACATCAATAGAGGAGACACAGTTTTCTTAGAGAGTATGGAATAACTCCTTCATTGCAATTGCCAAATAAATAAGTAAATAAAAACAAGTCATGGCAAAGATGACATGCTCAATAAAAATATAATTAAGGATGAAAGGATTTCAGAGTGGTAAAAAATTTTGGGATGGTAGAGAAACAAAAATATTTATTTACCAGGTTGTTGAAGTGACCTGAAATTCCATACATTTCCTCTGGAATATATTGTAAAGGGTTAAATTCTGGAAACAAATCACATAGAAATAAATTACTTAAGATTGAAGATATCATATAGTATTTTTAAGAATTCTTAATATGCCACTCAGTTTAAAATGATAAACCTGACTTGGGAACAGACAGTTAAATAAGAAAATATTTCATTAATGGTTGTATGATTAATACATAGTAACAACTGATAGTGTTAATATCCTCATTATGATAAAATGATTATCCTTCACAAACAAATGATATAAGGATAAATATTTTGATATCAATTCATTTATTTAGAATAAATTTTTTTCTTCTCTTGAATGAAACATTAATACAAAGATGATGTAATATCTCTTAGAAGATCACTAACTGGAAACAATTGTAAATGTCAAATGATCGTTAACCAATGAAAAGAGCCAAAAATGAATGAGCAACATTTCACTCTCAAGATTTCAATATCAGCTCTTCTAACTGAAGTCCTTACTCTCTGCCATATGATTCTCTTTCTGGTGGCTCTGAGAGTTCAAGGTTAAATCAGACCATATAATTATATACTCTCTCATCAAAGTTTTCTTTTCTCATCATCACCTTTCTGCTTAACGGTGTGGTGATAATTTTGTAGTACACTACTTTTTGGTTACTCCATGGAGTGAAAGAAATAGTGAGATCTTAAAAGACTTTTCACTTTGACCTGACTGTTATTAGATGACTATGTTTTACAGTGACATTATTCATCATATCTAGCTCTCTTGATTTGGTAATTAAAAAAATGAAGAGGTTAAAAATTACCAGCTGAGCAATCAAAGTTGTGTGATGATGGAGAATGAGATTCACTGTCAGCCCATTCTTCTTGGGTTGATTCATGGCTTGGGTTTCTAAAATTAAAGAATTAAATGTAGGTTCTTACTGAAAATAAGAAAAACACTTTGTCATATTGTATATCCACAGTGAAGGAAACTTTTTCAAATTGCCATCACAAACCCTAGTGGGTTAATACCATTGTGAGTTAAGATAGGAGTAATAAGCTTTTTTCCCGCCTGGTTTCTGCCTTTTAATGATTGAGATAAGTATTGATTCATTACTGTCAACCCATACCAATTTTGAAAGATGTCTCTTATGTGACTAATCCTGGGTAGAGTAAGTGCATGTTGTTCCTAGGAACAAATATTCAAGCATATCACCCTTTTACCCATATGTCTTGCAAATATCACCAAAAAAATTTATCTTGCCCAAAAACACATTTACCGGTAACTTTTTAAAGATTTCTACTGCAGTGAATATCCTTGTTAAAGATGTACCTTGTGCTAAACTGTTGTACTGTTAAAAAGGTCAGGCATTATTTTTGGTACATTTTATGTTATGAAAGGCAGTACTTTCAAGTTACCTACTATTTTTTTTTACCTGTAAGAACTCACTGATCTGCCTTCTGTGGGAAAGGTCACTGTCACCTCTGATCCATTTTTTATGCCAAGGTCTAAGAGCTCTTTCAGACCTGTGCAGTCTTGAATCTCTTCGTCATTGACTCTTAGCAAGGCACCAGAGGTTGGTATATTGAGATCTCTCATGAGTTCATCTACAGTTGCAAACTGGGAGATTCTAACTCTCTTTGCTTCCTCACTGGGGAGGTGCACAGTCACATTTATGCGTAAATCACGAGCTTTTATGGCCTTTAAAACTGGCTTTCTTGATTGTAAGAAGATTTTGGTCAGGGGGCCTCTCCTTGCAATATGTTTCTCATCTAGCAGAAAGGAAAGGTCTTTGACATTCATCTTTGAAGCTACTTTTCCTCTCACTGACTCGGTGGAATCATGATGAGGATCAACCCAAAGAGTAAAGGGATCCCTGAAACTGGACTCTATCAATATTGGCTCCTCACTGGTAAGGACTTCAATAATGTCACCATTCTTTAAAGAGTAAGATCTACAAAGAACAAGAAAGAGGATATCACCATTATTATCATTAAATGTATTTCCAATCTACTTACAGGGAACAGGCTAAATAGTGTTAAATAAAACTAAATTTATCCTTTGGAAAGTTACTTTTAGGAAACAACAATTATGACTGTGTACATTTATGTATACTTAATAGGCCATTTTACGGTTGTGTACTGAGTTGCCAAGCCTTTGATTTGGAGTGAGGCTGAAGTTGACAATGTTGTGATAAAAATCAGTATCTAGTTAGCAATTGATAACAAAGTAATTTACATTTGCAAAGCAGTAAGATTTGTATCATAATAGGTCACCCTTAACTTCACTCCTGTTCAAAGGCTTGGCAACCCAGCACACAACTGTGAAATGAACCATTTACTCCCCCAATCAGGCTTTAATTTGAGGGTCAATTATTCTCATCATTGTCATTATTATTTTGTTCATTGTTCTTTTTTTCTTTCCTGTTAAAAGTTTAATCATTGAAATTTACAATTACCTTATGAACTTCCATTCATCAAGAACTTCTCCACCTTTAATCAAACAAGTTATACACCCGAGCTGGTCCCACAGTGTTCGGTTAATTTCCTCTCTGAGATCCTTGACAGTTGCCAACTTGAAATCAGTCAACAATACTTCGTGTCTTTTCTGCAATCGTGAATGCTTAGCAATCAGCACCATTGCCTCAGGCTTAAATTCCAATTCTATTTTCCCATTTGAATCAAGCATCCCATACTCAGTTTCATTTGACTTGCTAAAATATTTTAGCTTGCCACTCTCCCAAGAAGAACCTTCAATGACCAGTGGATATGACTGCTGAGCTTCAAGAGTCCAAACGCCAAGGAACTTGCCACTAAATGTAACGTCCACCTCCACAGCTTCAAACATAGAAAGAATTAAATTAAGTATTCATCTAAATCATGACCACAAAAGTATAAGTTATATCATTCAAAATGACACTATGTTGAGAAAATTGCTTCTTCTCTCCTGCTGCATATTTGTACACTTGTTTGTAAGCTGTTTTAGAAGATAAATCATTTTTGTAATGCAGTCAGGTAATAATTCTAGTTAAAGTCATCACCTTACAATTCAATTACTAACTGTCACTCAACCTAAAAAAAAAAGATTTCATAGTACAAACTTGCTCCCTACTGTATGATTTAACTGAAAATAATGTGGACTGATATGGCATTTAACACAATGCGAGTGAATGCTAATTGTTTAACGGCCCATTTGTACAATAACTCACCATAATAATTGTTATTTTGTACTTTAATATGAAATGCAGTTCCATTTTCCATCTCAACTAGGCCCATCTCAGGTGTACTTTCACAGAGACTTCCATTACTGACCAGCACTGAATAACCTGCCCTACTGTAACAGTTGGAAAGAGCAGACAAGTTTTCTGTTGGTTGTGAGGGTGGATCAATTCTCTCATTGGGCACCAATTCTGCAAATGGAATAAACAATGATAACAATAGTTATTTCCATAACCATATCATATTTTTGCACCTTAAATTTAATATCATGAGATATGTTGTAAATTAAGTGTTTGAAAAAGCTGACAGTCAGCAATTTTTTTGTAGTCCTAGTCAGGAAGCCATGTTGTATTCTCCTTTCCTCGTCATGGTTTACCATAATTCAAATTAACCAAGGTTTTCTTATACTGAGAGAAAATTATGTAAATTTGTCAACCAGTGGACCTGAGGTCCTGAGATGAAGTGCAGTCTCCTTAGACTCCTTAGCCTTAACACCCTCAAACCCATTGTTCTTCAAGGCGCCATTCTCGCTGCCTTGTTCCTTAAGCTTAGTATCAGATTCATTTCAATTCATTGTTTGGCTTCTAGCTTGAGCTTGAATTGCTTACCATGGCCAGTCCCTAGAGAGAATGAAGTGGGTTCCGCCATAGTTTCAACAGTGCGTTGCTGGGGACCCCTAGATGCTAAGATTTTAGCCTTCTCTGTAATCTGACAGAGCACGGTTCCCTCTGATGATCCCTGTTTGTTTGCTGCTTGGATGTTTTCCTCAGTCTGTTCCACTTGAAACTCACCTTTCTTACAGGAGTTTGTTGGTTTTGAACTCTCTTGCTCTAAGGAAAAATTGAAGCACCAGTTTGCATGGGGAAGAAGTCTCAATAGATGAAGTATTACGAAGTTTCCGCACAGCCCCATACTATTGTAAAACAAATCTGTTTTCCCAATGGGAATGTATTGTTTTTGTCATTGTTTTCTCTATTCAAGAACTGAATGCATAATGTAGTATGGGGTTGTGCAGAAATTTTACCTTTAAAAATTTAAAACTTTTCATCCCACTGAATCCTTTTGTTTGTGGCGTTACAACATATACTAATCAGATCAATAATAGTTTTAAAACCAGGATAAACATTATTCCAAATAATTTCAAGGCTGCGCCTCACGATAAAAGAAAAATCAGATTTCTAAGGAAAAAGCATATAAGCAAATAGCGTAACCTACGATCGACAACTTGGAAAGGTTTCGATTTTCTTAGTAATGAAGTACTTCAGGTTATAAAACTGGTAAGATCACAGGGTGAAACTGATACAAGCGCCGTTTTTGTCAAACCTAAATTGACTGAAGTGACGATACTTTCACTTTCCATCCCATCAAAGTGCTCCAGAATTTGAGCATCAGTCTTTACGCAGTTCGTCTTAGCCTCGTAGTTTCTTAACGACAGCTCTAGTTTTTCGGTTTCGCAGGAACTATGTTCATCGTTAAGGGGGAAAGGAAGAATATCGCTTTCTAGCTGATCCATACTGCTTCCGGGATGTATCAGAGCAAATCGTGAAGACGAGCTTCTTGACTCGATCAACCACCCAGCTGTCCAAACGAAGCTGTAACGTACAGGTCAGTGCAGACAAACTGAGTTCCTTGATTGAAACCGGGTCATTTTTAACAGCTATTAGAGCTGTCACTGTCTACATTTAGAAAATATTTCCAAGCTCCGGAAAAAAGGGCATTCCCCAGGCAGGAAATAGCAGGAAGAAGCACCAATGGTACCCAGGCTTTTATCAGTTTTGAGAAACGGAAGGAAAAATCTAGAAGACAACAAAGTGAGAGTTTTTCTTCTACGAAAACAATGCCTTTAAAATCGTCCGATTGACTTTGGAAAAATCATACCAATCTAGACGTTGTGAATGAACAATAATGATAACAATAATTAAAAATACCATTAAATATTAACACTTCGAAAATTTCCCCCTCTGCGGTTTCTGTCACAAGACCGGAACTAACAATAGAACAGGATATAAACTAGGTAAGTAAGTATTTATAATTTACTTGCATTGGGTACATAATTACAGCCTAAGACTGTAATAAAGTATCTCTTAATTTCTACTTTAGTCTTCCTTTCGGCCCTATGAAATACTAAATTACAATCACGCAAAAATATAAAACTAGTTAAAAATTTGCAAGTAGTCTCTAATCCTGACCTTCCACGGCCTAGCGGTTGTAACATTTCAGTTACACGGTACAATCTGGTTACTAGATTAGGTTGCAGTTAGGTTACTCCTAAATTCTCCCAGGACGTACACCGGATACCGACGTGATTGTCAATTATTCATTTGGGGAATTTTAGCATGGTCAGAGTGATAACTAATCAAGAAGTTTCAACCGTTATTCCGGAGATCTAGGCACATTTTCAGCCCTGTCCCTTAGAGATCTCGAATCCTTTCCGTTTTAAGACTGATGAATCAATCGAGCTGACTCGCTGTCCGGGATCTCGTTTCAATCCACTCTTCCTTTGTGTTTTCGTATATGATTTTGCTTCCGAAATCTCTATTCAGATTTCAAAATTTTCCCACATGTATGCTTTATGATGTTCGTTGAGTAGAGTTTGCTTTATTGATTGCAAGAAATGAGAGATTGTTTCCTCTTGAAGAGGAGTGTGAGTATGAGGAGTATGAGGAGTATGAGGAGTATGAGGAGTATGAGGAGTATGAGGAGTATGAGGAGTATGAGGAGTATGAGGAGTATGAGTAGTATGAGTCTTTTTCTTGTTCATCAAGAAAAAATGAGGAAAAAAAAAAAACACACCATACGTAAATCGACATGTATGTGTTCAAAGATAAAAGGAAACTCTGATAAGTTATATTATACCACCACTGAATCCATACCAATAAGACATTTTTATTGCTCAATCTCGTCAGGAGCTGTTACATAGAACAATCAATTTACAAAAAGTATTTTAAGCTGTTTAAATGGCTGAAAAATCTTCTTCCCCTTGCTCATTTGTTAAGGACAATGTGGGATCTTCCAGGTTATTATTTCACGTTTCATCCCCTTAACTAATTGAAATTGTCATGCAAGATGATTTGAACAGTTCTCGACAAAATTTTGCTTATTATTCCAACTGCGACTATTTTATTTTAGAGAAACTCCAATACTTTGACGCTTTTTCGAACAGCATTGCTGTATCCTTCATTAAACCGAAACCAAATAAGGCTTGGCTGTGATCGAGCAGACTGCGAGCTGGTTTTGTCTCCTGGAAAGAAAAAAGTTAAACAAGAGTGGAAGCTTCAGATTTTTAATTCCAAAAGCAGTGTCAAGCCTAGGTTTACATCTCAGAAGATATTACCTGTGTCTTTAGGTTTAACCTTCACTGGACGTCCAAAGAAGTCTAAGACAGGCTGAAAATAGGGAAGAGAATTGAACAAAGCATCATTTGTTTCACTGCGATAAGATCGTTTTGATAAAAGTAAGAAGACTGCAAACCAAGCCATTAGTCAGTCAATCAACCTAATAGTCAGATCAGCATAAAAAAATTCCTCCTCTCTTCAACAACCAGTTGGCGAGTCAGTCAGTCGGTCCATTACTTCCTGCTTATGTTCATCTGTCCATTGGTTAGTTCGTCAGAAATTCAATAGACCTAAAGTTTGCTTTCCTATCACAAGTTAGCCCACTCACAAGGGGGAAAGTTAACAGAGATTCCGGTACCTTTGTCTCTAGTGGTTTTGCTTTACTAGTATCCAGAGACAAAACAACTACAGGCTTCTTTAATTTTTCTTGTTCCAGCTTCTTGGAGTCACTGGTATTTATGGGAGGACTATATCTAGGGAAGAAAAATAACAATGGCACATACATGAAAATTATCTTCAAATCTTTATGTATACACCTGATTGATAAGTTTCTCCAGTGATGGACTAAACCTGAGCTACAAATAAATCAATCTTTCCAACTGAAATCCAGAGAAATGGAAATGCAAATTTTACTTTAAATTCAGCAAACAAAGCGGTAGTGGTGGGAACTCTAAAGAAAACAGATCTACAGTAACAGTTTGAATATTGAACTGTGGAATGGGAGTATAACATTGATAAGGAATTATCAAAATTATTTTTACTCCTCAAGCTTAAATACAAGTTGAAGGAGTTTCTTGCTGATTATTTCACTCCAGTCTTGTTTAGGTCAGCTTTTATTTCGAAAAAGATATACCGACATTCTCCTTTCCCTGCTGAGATTCCTTGCCACCAACCCCCCCTCCCCCCACTCCCATCTTCAACAGTACATGTGTATTAGCTGTTTCAAATCTCGTGGTCAATGGAGGATACTGCAATACAGTATTGACTTAACCACAGAAATGATGTTCAAGAAAGAAAAGAAAAAACACCAGTGTCTTATCACTGGTATTTATGAGGTAATCAAAACGGATTCGCAATCCTTACCTTTCATCCGCACGAGATTTAAAGGCTCTCTCAGCTCTTCTCATTTTTTCCAACTCAATCTGCATCACAAAGATCCCAAATGTATTAGTAAATTCTCTCAGAGATTTCGTTTAGAACACAAACTGTTGTGTTCCAGTTGCAAAGTGATGTTACAACAGCTTCCCCACCAAAGAAATGTTATTAGATGGACTTGACTTCCTTTTCCTGCAATACGTTACTTAATAAAACAAATAAGGAAATAAAAATGTTGTTTGACTGTCGACTCTCTCCATTGAAACTTCCTAACTTAATAACATAGAGCGTCCAGTTGAAGTTCTGTTGTCTTTGCTGTTACAAAAACCATACTGGAGACCAGTACTTGAAAGTAGAAAAGGAAAAAAAGAGAAGTAGTGTTACCTCTCGTGCTATGAGCTGTTTTATGGCATACGTCAACTGCCTGTGCCGAGGCAAACCAGGAAATTTTACAGCTTCTTCTACGTTTCTGTAGTACAAGAAAAGAAAAAGCATCGCACGTTTCAGCAGGGTTAGAGCAGAATTGGAGAGGAAATCAGAATCTTTATAACCTTCATGGTCTTTAAGGGGTTGTGGAGGTAACTGGGTCACCTTCTGCCCTGGGTTGAAGTGAAGTATGAACCCTCTAACTCCCATATCTGATTGTTAATTCTCCCCACTTGCTGCCACACCCAAGGTAACAACTTCTACCAGATAAGTTTGAGTACTCTCATTACCTATTTGCTTGATAATGTATGGATATTAAAGGAAGAGGTTACATGTTAATCACTTCTTGGAGTTAGAGGGTTCAGGGGAAGGCTTGCAAAATTGGATGTTAAGATTTCTCTATCCAAATAAAGGTTCTGTTTTCAACAATATTTTTTCAGGAGAAAAAAACCCTCGAGCCCAGGATGTAACTTCAATCAACTTAGCAGTGAACATATATCTAACTTTCAGCATGAAAGGAGTTCTATAAACACTTACGGATCTAAAACATATGTGTATTGTCCATCAAAATTCCTCTCTTGATGGAAAGTCACATTGTAGGCTATCATGGTATCAATGAGCTCTGCTAATTGTTTTTTCTCACTTGCTGAAAACAACTGAGTGTTAACCTGAAAAAAAAAGGCAACACAACTCAATATATCTCTTGATAATTTGGTTTTACCAACTGAGTTGATGATGTTAATTGGCCACCGTAAAGAGTTTCTAAAGCTGACATCTCAAGCGTATTTCTAATTTACATTATTAACTCAGTTAATAAAACCAAATTATCTTGTTATAACCTTTACTGAAGCAGCACCACAGTTTCTTTAGAAACTGATCCACTCTATTCAGTAGATCTCTCTTGGTTTTCATAATTCCTAGAATGATCTTGATGACTGAGAGGATCCTTTCCAAAACACACCCTTTATTGGCCTTACAATTACCTATTAGTGGGGGAGTAGGGTCCTAGGTCTTACCTTTTCTATTAAGTCTCAGAGAATTTTTCTGTTTTTGAACAAACTAAAAACAAATCCTGAAGAACAGGGTAATTTTCTCCTTTTACAACTCCACCACTGTCTAACAACTTTTCCCAACCTCCCCTTGTTTTTCCTCAGTGCCATTTGGGGAATCTGAACAGAACAAAGTAACCTAAAAATATTGTCATCCATATGTAACCAATCCCTTAAGAGTCTTAGGGGCATCATTAATGGCAATAATCTATGAGGTTTCCTTTTATGTATTTTTGTGTGTAATAAATATCATGATTTGATTTGATTTCAAGTGAACAACACAAATCATATGCTTACAGGTCTCAATGTGGGAGTGATTACTTCCAACATAAATGGAAGTAAGTCCAGACAGGCTATTCGTAGACTAATATTTTTCCTAATGTGTGGAGATGACTCATTCTTGATAGCATTTACAAGGTTCTTGGTCTTGGTTTCTTTAAGGTGGCTCTGAAAGTGAGCAATAAACAGGTCAACTGTCTTATTACTGTTTTATAAATGGATGATCTTGAAAAAATGGAATAGTGACTAGCCTTTGTCAAATGTTTACAATCAAACAGCTTTATTTCTGGAACAGGTGTCTGTTCTTAAAAGATTTACTGAAATATCAAAATTGTTTTTAAAAGAGTTACATTTGCATTACATCAAGTGTATCTAAAATGGGGCAGCAGATTATTAAAGTCTCACAATTGTCATTGAAACTCATGGGTATTCTCTTTTCTCAAGGTTTATTAAAACCATTTTTTTTAGTTTTCTACCTTAGAAACCACTTCTTAAAAGTTTCCTTTTGTATGCATGCCTCAAACAGACTACAGGGGGAGGGGGGGGGTAATGTTTCCTTCAACCCTCATGATCTCACAACTTACACTCCCGACTACAATTATAAAGGTTCTTCCAACTGTTCACTATTTGATAATTTTCTTAATTTCAATAATATGTGATAACAATTAAACTGAGGGCTGGATTGTGGTCATAAACAGTGTTATACACACTTCTGTTACCTCATATTGACTGCTGGGATAGCTAAGCTTTGAGTGTGATTGACTTGCACAAAACAAGTGAAATGCCACTGATATAAAAGGACTGTATCCCTGGAGAATGTAACTCTGGCGCCCTATCACCGCTTGCTCAATGAAGTCAGAGAATTCCAGCCACTCTGTTCCACAAACCACCTGTTAAAAGAAATAAGAAGCATTACTAATCCAACAGCATAGGATACCTCTATAACACAAGACACTTCCAACCCCCTTCCCCTTCCCCCACCCATGCTGCATTTTGTAAGTTTCCCTGACAATTTACAAGTACTCAGTTATTCCCATTGAAGGAAAAAAGCCATGAAACTAACATGACATGTCCAAAACCATGACACAAAGACATGACAAAAGTCCCATCTGAAGTCCACCATGTAAACCATAAGGTCATACCAACCTCATAGTTCTAGTCACAAATCAGGTAACAAATGGTATGGACTCCTTGGAGTCATTTCATTAATCATTCACAATGCCCTTGCCATTGTCAGTCAGTAAGTCAAATTTTTTCCACTTACCACTTCAAAGCTGGGATCTTTAAATTTCACTTGCAAATAATTCTCAAACAGCCCTGAATAATCACAAGAAATGATCCTTGGTTAGCATGTTTGTCTGTCGTACATCCATTTACTATGCAGTCACATTACCACCATCTTTAACCCTTAACATCAGTATCCATATTCTCCATACTCTTTCCCATGTTTCATTTGGTACTGACAAGGAGAATTCATGTGAAGATCAAAGCCTCTTAGGTTGGCAATCATTTCCTTTAATCTGATGATCTTAATGAATGATTTAGCAGTATTACTGTAGGGAGAAATTTGATGCTGGTCACTCTTAGGGTTTAAAGGGTTAAAGGTTTGCCAAACAGTCACACATGGAATACAAATACTCTCTAATAGCTCTCATTAGTATGTCAGTCACTATAAGAGACATCTAAAATACCTCACAAAAATTTCACTCAGCCAGAATTTTACATTCTATGACAAGCCTCAGAGGATATTATATCTAAGAACTGGGGAGGAAGAATCTACTTTCAATCAGAATGAAGAGAAATGAACGTTCATTAAATTCTAAAGAAAGTTTCCTTTGATAAATCTACTTTATTTCACTTTGAAATTGTGAAGGGGTAGCAGGGGAGGCTTTATATTCCAAGCCTCCCTTGGGCCACCTTTGCTGATAGAAAGTATACAACAGCAACCTACCTTGTGTTACTTTATCATACTGCCCATTTGACATGGCAGAATGAAGAACTGTGTGGAAACGACTTGCCAGTGATGTCATTCCTCTCTGCTCACCAACACTGCTCATATTTCCCTGAAACCCACCCAAGGGCATTCCTCTGTTATCTGCTAAACTTTTATGGTTTTCAATGTCTGCAATGTCTGCAAAATGACGTCTTTTTGGTTTGGGAAGTTGGAAGATTTCTTGCCAGATTGAGAACAGACTGCGATGAGAATCCTTCAGACCAATTTCCATAGCTTGGACATGCTGTAATCCTACTTGTCCATGCCTCTTTTGAATGAACTGCAAAGAGAAGACATGAGTCTAACATGGTCTTGAATAGAGGAGGGGCAAGTTAGGAGGCTGGAAAGTAATGCTGTATGATAGTGACGAGTGTTATCCCTTTGAGAGGTGTACATTAATTGCCGTTCCTGCAACTATGGCCCAGGAATAAGTTTTTCTTCATTAATTAAAAATATTGTTACAGGTACATGATGGAGAAAAAAAGATCTTTCCCACAGACTCACACAGCAAGTTTTGGTATGGTATCTATTCTCTAGTGCCCATGGTTGACCCAATGATAACTTGAACATTTTCAGTCTTGTAGTTTAGTTATTATTCATGTAGGAATACTTTCCTCCAGAGAGAAAAAGGGAAAGAAAAAAGGTAACCTTGAGGCATGGTATAAGTGGCTAACAAATAACATAATACCAGCATAAATGCTTTAACAGTCAAACACTAAAATAAATATTCTATTGTCTTTCCAGTTGGACTTTTTGCAAGTGTAAAATATTCCAAACAAGTATCAGTCTGGTGTAAACATCAGACTAAAACTGTTCGGAGAGTTTTACAATGCTTTTTTGAGAGAGCAGTTTGAGCATCCATTTTCACAATGATGCAGATACATGTAAAAAATTCTAGCAGAATATTTATAGGTCAAACAAAAATGTTTCATGTCTAACCTGCAGGGTGTTTAAACATGACCTGATGTCATTATCAGTTTTTTCACATAAAGATGTCAGTGTTGTCATGTCTGTATTAACTGATTCTTGTCTGGATATCTATACACATAGAGAAGATATATCATTATTGTGTAAAACAAGACTCCGAAGTTGATTATTTACTGTATGTTTCATACACAAGGTCAGACCAAGAGGCAAGTCAAGTCTACCAATCACATTAAACTTTACCTCACCTTCCTGTCTTTACTAACAGAAATTCTAACAATAATGATAGTGATGCATTTGTATGGTGTACTTACAAATTAGCATGCTCTAACTAATAAATAGATTCCATATTGCTGTGTATCTGTTGAGTAATGCATCATAGATGACTTTAAAAATGTTTACAAAATGAGTACAAAAAGTGGCGCATGAGGCTTAGCCAAGTGTGTCATTGATGTTCTTACCACATCTTGATGTCTTGATGATCTATTACTGTACAGACCCACAGCAACATTTATTTCATATGTTGTTAATGGTGGTATCCTCTATGCATTTTTCCTCCAATAGATCATTAGCAAAAATTGATTGACACAAACATCATTTTAAATCTTGTAACTATTCACTTTCAATCTAGTTTTCATTTCCTAATAGTATTCAGATAGGACATGACCCACTTGCATTAGCTGAGGCTTCAATAGATCATTAGCAAAATTGATCTGCACATAAATCATTCTAAATTTTGTCACTTATTCACTTTCAATTTATTTTCATTTCCTTGTAGTATTCAGATAGGATATGACCCACTTGCATTGGCTGAGGTTATCAGTGACCTCATGCCATTTGTTATCAGTTTTTATTTCAAAAAAATGCTAATAAACTCCTGAGCAGATACATCAAACAGGAAACTAAGTAATAACAAACAGTCATGTGTCTGTGGGAATACTAAAAGTGATTAAGAGTTGATAGTTAATAGTTTATAGTGTATATCACTTGATTGAGTTCCCTCTACAAGGATTTCTTGAAGATCAATCTAGGGACTTAACAGTTTACCTCCCATGAAAGACAGTGAAAGAATTTTCCTTACAATTCTGAAATGATATCAATATTACAGAGATGAGAATAAAGAAAAATGTCAATTAGGGGATTATTAGTTGATTCAATGCCAATTTTTCTAAACCAACATCATAAAAATTGTGTAGCAGACAGTCAGGAGAATTACTAATGAGATCTCAGGAGTGAAAGGCTTGAAAGATATTCAAATATCCACAAGACTGCTACACAAAGGCATTGTGAGATCCTTAATGATTTTAGGGTGAACCTTAGGACCTTGTAAAGAATCTTGAAAATCCTTAAAAATCAATCATGATTTGACATAGATTTGGAACCTATTTCTATCCAGGATTACCTCTAAAAGACGAGTGGCAAGGCGGCTGGGAATAGTGGGTGGAAATGTTACCACAAAGGCCACTTGACGTAACTGACGAAGAGCAGGCGCATATCTATAGGAAAACAAAATACATTTAATCATGCATGGTAGGTCAATCAGGATTTATTGTTGAAATAAAAGTATAATTCATGAGTTTAATGCCACTAATGGATAAGAGATCTGCCGGCTGAAAGTAGAGAGGAATGATTTAGTCTTGCGTAAACCTATCATAAAATGCTCTAATTTAGAGGAATAGGGGACTGCTTGTCAGCATAAGTACTCCAGGTTCCATAGTTGCTATGGAACCTGCTGAAAGAGCATGAGATAAACCCTGAGCAAGCTGAAAAATGTAGATTACAAGGTACTGGATCTATCAAAAATAATCTATTTATTTACAAGACAGTCACCGAGTCATTACAGTGCACAGATAGACCACATGTAAGGAGAATGTCCTTTTAAAATTAAAGGAGGACATGTCAACTCCAATGATCTGAAAGCTAATTCTGCTAGGGATGACAATTACATAGTTGGCTATTCATGGGAGTCTGGTGCATCATCATGGAGACAGTTAGTTTGATCAGTTCTTGTTACCCCTTTGATTGTCAGTGAACTGGAATCAGGCTATGTCTCTGACCAAAATGGAGCTTTCTCAAAAGCTGATTTCAGTGGTCTTTGATCATTTTTGTAAAAAAATTCTGCTCTACATCATTGTTGCGTTTTCAAGTTTATCTTATGAAGTATAGATGGAAAACAAAAAGCCCTTCTGTATACAAGACATGTAAAGCACACCCAACAAATTTTAATCCGAATAAATCAGATTAAAACTGTTGGGTGAGCTCTACAATGTTTTTATTTTTTTGTTTTTGAGACACAAGTCCAGGCATCTGTTTCTCACCACAATGCAGCAAAAGCTATTAAAAGTCTTCCTGTATCTAAAACATGGTAAGCATTACAAAAAAGTTCAATCTTTAAATAAATTAGCATGAGAGCTTTGGACAGTTTTCTTGTTTAACTAAATAAGTTCTCATGGGCTCCTTAGGATATTTTTTCTTTCTTATGATGATGGCTTTTGTGATTACTTTGGGTTTGGTTCCATAAGGTTTAATGAAAATGTGCCCTAAAGATCTAGCCCAGCAGTAAAGCATCAGTGTCATCTTGTGAAAAAAAGAAGTAACAAATAAACTTTCCTATTTTCCCAGGAATTTACAGTTAGAGAACCTTGTTTGCTGCAGGTTAAATCTATTAAATGTTTGTTCAACTTACTGATCATTACAAATACATATGATTGGCCGTGACAAAGGTCCACTTTTCTTCTTCTTTCTTCCTTTTTGACTGGGATCAGTATCTGTAAAGATAATTGCTTCATAATAACCTCTACAAAGCTGTGTCAGTAGATTAATCAGCTGCTCTGTGAGTCTGTCACAGCCAGTTGTTTAGACCTTAAATATTTTGTATATGAATGAGTTAAGTTTATTAAAACTGACTTGGGACACTCTTGAAAAGCACTTATAAGAACCTCTAAAAATTACAACTTCAAGTCATGATGAGTAGCACAATCACCATACCCACTTCTGTAACATGTATGGAAAATGTGAAAATTGCTAGTTTGGGACAAAATCACTTCTTTAGGTCTATTTTAAATTCACATTTACTATTACAACTGATTTATTTCAAACTATTTTATTTTTGTCACATTTGATTCAAATTTGTATTGTGGGTGTGGTCTTTTTCACAAATAATCAATTACGAGTTCACTGACACAGTAAAAAATAGAAATAATAACATTTTGTATTACATGGAGGCTAGTATCTCCCTAGTGAGATCAACTGGCACTCTAAAAACTGACTTTCTGCCTCTTTTTACAACTTGAAGATCACATCACCATTTTTCTCTTGGAAATTTAGCTCTCTTTTTTGCAATTCTTTTCATTATATTTTAGATTCCTTAGCCTATTCTTTTCCTGCTTTTTCCTCCTCCACTCTTTGATCCTCGCAAGCTTTTCTTCCTTTTCATTAACCATACCTCTTGTCAAGCGCACTTGAAGCGATATTTACAGATGGCTAAATCTCAGAAAAATTATTGAGCTTGAAGACCCCCGACCCTTGATAATGTCACAGAAACCAAAATAGGAAACGTTACCAAGCTATTTTCGACACGGAGAGACTCCGTTCTCAATATGGCGTCAACATGGTAAAAAGCGTAGCGACTTGGTCAAAAGCGAATATTTTGGATGTTTCTAAAGATATGGACCCAAAAACTTGGAAATGACAAGAGAAACTTATGAGCATTGAAGTGTAATCAATTTTGAAACCCAACTTTGCCGTGTTTGAAGTATAGTAGCGAAGGAGCAGGTAAGTTGATGAAAAATATTATTGCATAATTAGGTTTTACAAAACCGTAGCAACTCTTTTACACTGATATTTCTCCGTTTATAGTCAATCCTTTAGACTGATTTTTCGCTATTTTAGAACACCAAGTATGAGCATTTGGTTAATGTGTTATTGTTCCCACAGGATTCCAGTTTAGTCATTATGCAGACAACAACTTGGTGTACTTCCAAATTCTGAAACCCAGCATTACACAAAGGATACTTAAGAATGATGAATCTTTTCTATGCGTTTTAATAAACTTGAAATGTCAAAGTTTTGCTCAAATGTAGTGTTTAGTGTGTGTTATCATTAGGTGCAATTTGTTTGCTCAAACGAGCTTTCTTTTCAGTGAAAAATGTATTTAAAAAATTTTACCACTGAGATTGTGTTATGCGTTACAACCAAAATTGGCTCGATTTTTCATCTTTCACGGGTATTTTCTCAAAGACAGTAATGTGGTTTTCTGATTTTTTGCTTTTACTATAATCAATAAGAACAACTTTACCTGTAAGTAAAGATTTGGCTTCAATGAAAATGTAAAACAGAAGAAATCATTGAAAGTTTGCAGTCAACCCCCTATGGGCATGGTGATTGTGCTACTCATCTCATAGATTCATGACACATATTTCATGTAGATTACATGAGTGGTACTATGAATCCTCTCACAATATAATTTATTCCAGAACTTTGAAATTTGAAGGGAAGAAAACTTAAAAATGCATTCTTGTTACAAGGATGATGAAATTAATAAGTAAATGAAAGACTAAATTTAAAAGATTCAACATAATTTGCAGTATTGTAAAGAATAGACAAGTACCTGAATTCTTTTGCTTGACAACTGATAACAAGACATTTATAGCTGGCTGTTATAAGAAGAGCAGAGAACAATCTCAGTAAATAAGTGAAAATATATGATATCCGCTTTACGAAGCACTATGTAAATCTTAAAATGGAAATTTATGTAGCTGTTAATAATCATGAACGACATCAAACTAAGTAGATAAAACAAAGAAAGTACACATAGTTAACTTGGGGAATTTAAACTTACAGCTGGTGCTCCATCAATTTCATCAATTACTAAACAGTTTGGCTTTTCATTGCCTCCTAGTACAGATTTCATCTGGGTAGATGCTTCAAGGGTATTCCTGAAAATCTCTGGGGAGCGATCATCACTAAAACAGAACAATTTTACAAATATGTGTTCATTTAAGTTCAAGATGTGGTTGGGGTCTTTGTTCTGGCTTTAGGTGACACAATTCAATACTCAATACAAGTCAGAGAAGAATACACTGAGCAATTTTTGTAATTTGCTGCAGTCTAGAAATTACCATGAAGCAAGATCGTTTTTAGTATGCAAACAAGAAGCGTTTCAAAGCCTTTCAAAAACATTTGTTCAGAGTGTGAATCTCATGCAGCTACTGCAGGATGTTTTTAACATGTTTAGTTCCAGTAGCTGAACAACAATGCTAATTAAATGAGGCTCTAATCTGAGTTTCTGTTCTTGTACTATCTGGTGACTGCATTTTTGCATTTGCAAGGCAACCATTTTCCTTCAATAGTTGCCAAAAGGCAACTTGGAATTTTTTTTGAATTTCAAGCCCTGGTGGGGGCATAACAAAATAATTTGGTTGATCAACTGAGTCACAAATTACAAATATATACCTGTTTTAAGGAAAAAATGTTGTTGCCTGACAACTTTTAGTTCAAAAGGGAAATATCTTAACTATTTCCAACTTATGACATTTCAGTAAAAGGTGATGGAAAATCACAATTCTGCTTTGCTCTTGAACTGTCAGATAGATCTTTGTAGCTATAACAGTTCTCACCTTGCATTCATCTCAACGACATTGTATCCAGCATGCCGTGCAATAACATGAGATAGAGTTGTTTTACCAAGTCCTGGAGGACCACATAACAGTGCCACCTAAAATGTATTAGATTTTTTTATTGTTTACATAAAAGGATTGCTACAGTTCAATTTTTTCTGTTTTTCATGTAGTAATTCAGTCAGTTTGTTGGCTAAGTAAAAGTAAAAGGCAGTTTAGGACTAAATGCACCTACTGTTGTAAAGCTGAAAAGCATTTTTGGAAAAATACTGTCCACCATTTTTAAAACCACAACATACTTGGGGAAAGGTTTACGGATTTACACAACAACATAACATAGTACCTACAGCCTTCCTAGAAGGAAGGCACATTAGGCAGAATTATAGGTAATCAAACAATTCCAAGTACAACTTTAAAAAACTACAAAATGTGTGAATAAATTTACAAATTATGAATTTTTTTTGAGTCTTTGTTTTTCAATACATTCTATTCCAAACTATCCTCAAAACATTTGCCTCCATACCAACAATAGGCATATTGTCAGGTGATAATAACAAGCATTTAATTTCAATTTTCTACATTCCATTTCATCTTTTGGAACTCAGTGATTGAGCACATTGAACATGTATATTGTTGATCAGTAAATCATTCAGCTAGATAATTAGTCAGTCTGTCTAAATGTGAGAGACAATAAAATTACTACCTCTGGACATCACATTAATCCATACCTTGTGGACAGGCCGACCAGAGGCATCAACTTGCTAAAAGAGAAAATTTGTTGTGAGCAAGGGTTTATATTACCAACTGTGCTTTAACAAATGAAAATCAAGGAAACATAGGTAAATGAATATCATACAAATCCTTTACCAATACATAGCAAGTACAAAAATTCCAGGATAACCATTAAATTCTAACATATATTCTGAAGAAAATAAAATATAAAGTCGCCAGTGTCAAAAAAAAATCCTTGCAAGTAATAATGAATGACACTTCTTCAAAAACAAAGATACTCTTTTTTAACGGTGAATATTATATATTTATATATATTGAATATTATATATTTATATATTTATATATTGTATCATTGTCAACAACTTTGTTATTATTTAAACAATAATCATACCTATGCAGGGTTCAAAATAATTTTTGAGCTTTTAGCGTGAATCAGTCTAGGCTTTTGTCAAGGTTCATTTTTTCCCCGCTGTCAATAATAAATAAGCAGTCAGCACATGTATTACTCTTTTTCTCAAGAAACCTTTTTTATTTATAAAAAAATTTATATGTTTATGGTGTACCTATAGTATACTTATACTTGTTTATGTTTCCAAAAAGCTTTTGAAACATTTCTTGGCTGCTTTATTGCCTGATATAAAATGTTCACCATAACATGACAGCAACATTTACTTCAGTTTGACGACCAATAGGCATCATATTTTCTGTAAAATTCTAGTTCTTTGGTGAAAAATCGCTGGTAAGGGTGCTAAAAGTTTTGGTTGCCATCAGCAGCTAGTTGTTATATTGAACCCTGCCTATGGTAAAATCAATTTGACATGGAATTCTAAACAGTTTAATCATTTTTTGGGCTTGTATCAAGACACAAATACTGTATTTAGAACTGTTTGCAGTCTTGAGCTAAGTGTCTATCAGTGCTTCTACATCATGTGAAAACTCCTAATTCCTTGTTGAGATTCAATTGTAAATGAAACAATTTAAAAAAATTATATGGTCACCATAGGACAGAATGTTTCCCCCTCAAGTAAAAAATACTTTTCATGCAATATCATCAATGGTACTCACATTCCAGTCAGCTTCATCTTGGATTCCTGTAAACTGCTGTTTCTTGTTGTTTTTTGTAGAGTTAAAGGTCTTTTGTTTTGTTGCCTGGTCAGCTTTGACCTTGACTTTCTTGTCCTGCCCTTTTCCAAACACAGTTTTGTCCCAAAGTTTTAACCACTTTAAAAGTGTTCTATTTATGGCCTGGAGTGGAAAACACAAATATTGAGAAGTTTACACATTAAGCTAAATTGTTCATGTCTTACACTGTGTGATCTATTGGAGGAAAGACCCATAAATAACTTCACCATTATAAAATTTTCTTCCTTCATTTTGTTAAACAAATAGATGCTATGCCACCATTCAGTTCTGTAACAGAGCTGCGCCTAATGTGTCACTTTTTTGTTCTCACCACATTTTTACATCATCTGTGATCTATTACTGAGTAGTCACAGAGCAACATGGACACTAATGTTGAAACAGATTAAGAGAGGAAACCTCTGAGGAATGACTTGAGGAATGTTTTGAGTCAATGTCATTTAAATTTGCATCATTTTCCCACAAATTGTATATCAAATGTCCATACACTTGAGACTTTCCATCTATCAAGTTTTTTTTAAGTGGTACTCAAAAAACCCTTGCTTTCAGCTACAGCAAAATGTACTGTGAATTGATGTAATGACACATGTGATTAGTGCCGGTACAAGCATAAATGGGTTAAGTTTGGTCCATTATATCTCCTATACAAGCATAATAACCTTGTAACTGTTGTTAAGTTAAAGATTAAGTTTGGTTAGACATTAGTAACATGTAAGATCAAAAGGGCTATCATAGTACCTCGTGTGTTGTTGCTTGAGAGAGAGAGTTAGTGCGAGAGAGTTATCTGCGTAGTTAATTACTGTGTTCATTTGTGACTTCTATTCAGGTGTACAGAGAGGACAATCGCTAAACATATTTTTCTTTCCCCTTGTTGTTTTTGTTTTATTATTTGATTGATTATTGTTAGGTTTTTGTGCACTTGTCTTTTCTTGCATTGTAATGTAATAATTATTGTTTTAGCTTAGCTCTATGTAATGTTGCTTAGATTAAGTTTTTTTGGCTTGTGTTTTAGTTTGACGTGTTTGTCATCAGATTATTACTCTGAAATAAATTGCATTGGAATCTCGGTTACGTGTGTCTTGTGTCAAATTTAGTGCATTGATGTCCTTGTGAGAACTTTGAATTGTGACATCCCTATGGTGTAAACACCTGCATTTATAGACCTATCTTTGTTATTGTATGTTTTGAAACTGGCATCGATAACAAACATTTAAGAAAAGTTTAGATAAAATTGTTGATAACTTTTTTTCCTGAGGAATCACCTTAAAGCTTGGATGCTGTTATATTAAGATGTTACTCATTGTTCCAAGCAAGAAGACAGACTTTTGGAATTTGTGATCAAATTCTCTAACACTAAGCTATATATATATCTCATTGGTGCGCAGGCATTGGCAGTGTTAAAACATATTTTAGGAATTTGCAGATCCCAGCAGTATCCTGAATGCATGTCTCATATGAACTTCTATATCCCTGGCCCACCATTGGGGTCTCCAAAGCTCAGTGTTGAGCATCAGGAGGTGAAATCCTGAGGTCCTAAATTCAGTTCCTTATGGGAGAGTTTTTCAACAACCAAGCTATTAATTAAAATAGAGAACACACTACTCACATCATCACTGAGCAATTCTGTGAAAAATCGTGGGGTATACTTTTCAACCCATAAGGAATGTTGTGGAATACTGTGATGGTTGTCATGTCTGCTGGGTTCTTTCAGTTCAACTTCCTCAATGTTGGAATTACCATCATCAAGCATTCTAAAGTTAATAAAATCGAGACTTAATCTATGAATCACCAAGAATGTACATGTGCATGTACATGTAGGGGAAGCATACTGGGCAAACCATAGTTTGAGAACAATTTAATTGCATTGTCAAGTACAATTGTATCATTATCACTTAATCTTTAATGTTTTAACATGAAATAAAATATAAACAAAATATATTGCCCATTGGATTTACTTTTGAAACTCTCTCTAATTCCATTTTAAATTTTTCAGTTTCTGTAGTTATTCAATAGACTACCTTTGTAAAGATTCTGTTAGCTTCTCTGATTCCTCAATTGTCCTTCTCCGTCTCTGATAGAGCAAATAAGATGGATTAAACGATTAAAGCGCATTTTACAGTGGTATTTTATGAATTTCATTACATACCTTAGGCAAAAATACACTCCCTTGAAATTTAAGGGAAAAAACACAATCACAGAAAAAGTCACTTCCAGTCTATTTCTTAGTCTAAAATTACAGTGAAACATCTATTATGCATATACCCTTGGGACCTTGCCAAATGTCTGCTTCCCAGAGGTCCACTTTCCAATAATTGTCAAAGATTAACATTCAACAGTTACTCTGTACTGTGATAAAGTTCCATATTGCTAACGAAGCAATCCAGAGTTCAAGTTCACTACCTTTCATTACCAACTTTAATTTACTGGTAATAATGCAAAGACATGACAAAAACAGCAACAATAATATCTGCAGTACATTGACTCTTTCAATGTTTGTGTAAAAATTATGTGCAGCAGTCTGGTGCCTACTTAATAGAGGTTTTAAATGATACAAATTTGTCAAATACAATTAAATTTAGTGTCTGTGTCCACTTAATAGAGGTGGCAGCTGAATTGGGGTTGGTTATGAAAGGAAATATGAGTCATTAATTTTGGGACCCAGTTTAGTGTCCGCTTAATAGTGCTTAACTGGGGGTCTGCTTAGTGGAGGTTTTACTGTAATACTGTCCTAGTGATGGATATAAAGATATAACAAAGATGTATGATTTGATATTCCTATCTGAAAAAGAAACTTACAATGCACATACCTCTTCCTCCACACTTTCGCGTAGCACAGAAAATGGTACTGACAGCAACTGAAGCGAATTTCCTGTTCCCCTTCTAAAGAGTTTCTTTTTCAATCCCTGGAAAAGAGAGCAAAAAGTTGTTCTTTCTGTTTAAAAGAAGGAGGATTTACAGAAATATGGCGTGTGTTCAGTTGTATATTAAGTTTCAAAGTTGATCTTTATCATCTTCTCAGCCTTTTCAAGTACATGTATCCACAATGTTTCTGCAAAAAAAATTTAATGACTGCATATATCATTTGCAGTTTGCCTTACAATTGTTCATGAATGTAACAATTTTGCATTGAAATTAGTGTTTACTGCAGTATCCTTCCTCATTTTAAGAACAATTGGTAAAAGAAATTTCCAATCTGATAGGGCAATCCTTTCAGCTCTTGAACTTTCAAGAATTCCAAGGGAGTTTAGGCAGTATTTAGAGGTACTACTGGCAGTAAATTTTACTGGTTATTGCTTGGAAAGGAAAACAATTTCAGCCATAAGGGTGTATTTTATGACCAAAATTGCACAAATGCCACATGAAATTTGAGTAATGTGCTTCTGGAAAGGGACATTTTAGAGTAACCACATGTATTTAGGACATAATTTTCAAAAGAAACTGTGGTGCTGCATCAGAGGGAGAGTATAACAGAATAATTTAGTATTATCAACTGAGTCAATAATGTACATTGGCCACTGTAATGAGTTTCAAAGCTGACATCTTGAGCGTTAGCTCTGACATCAGCTTTGAAACTCTTCAAGGTGGCCAATGCATAATATTATTATCAACTCAATTGACAATACTAAATTACAACAAATATTTAGCTCAGACAACTCTGGTCAAATGTATCTATCCAAGCCTTATTGGGGGCTGTTATGTTTTGTGATTCAACTCTGTTGAGATGTGCAGTCACACCAAACTTTAAAGTACTGAGGGTCTCCTACAGCTGGCTTTTGAAAGCATTAGGTAGTACATATCTCTTAGCAGCCCCCATTGTTTTTTTTTTTGTCCTGGGGATTCTTCCATGCTTGCTGTAGCATTTGCATCACACCTACCACCACATGTACCTCTTATGCAACTTTCCAAGGCTCACTTAACACCTTAAACCCTATCATCAGTATCAATATTCCTCATACTCTTCCCTGTGCATTTTCTTTAGTAATGACAAGGAGAATTTGTTTAACAATCAAAGCTTGTTAGGTTAGCAATCATTTCCTTTAGTCTAATGATCTTGATAAAGGATCTAGCAGCATTACAGTAACAAGAAATTAGATGTTGGACAGTATACCTTGGATTCCAACCCATCAGATTTCTCTTCTCTCTCATGCCTGATTGACAGATAAAGCCTTTGGCCATCTGTTCTTGTTATGGAGACAGATTCACAGCTCATAGGGGGTCTTCGAAACACCTTCCTTCTCTCTGCTTTTGTTGAAGCAATTTCATTTAGTCTTCTGTCCATGGTGGCCACAAATTGAGACTGGTCTAAACTTGGTTGTAGCTCTCTGAGTGGACTTCGTATATTGGGAAGATGGTAATCTGCCTCATGACTTGCACCATATTTGCTGGGGCTGAGACGAGCCTTCTTTTTACAAGGAGCTAAAAAGATGTTAAGACAACAAAAGTCCAAGTCACAACTTATTTTCCCCTTTCCATTGTTCAATTTTTAAGTTGATATGGAATTTATTTGTAGGGGTGTGTTTTACGGGTTGTCTGGATTAAACAACAACATTTAGACACAGGTATGGGGTTTACAGCAGATAAGTTCTAAAGACAGTTTAGTTTTCTAAGACTGTTTAGCAGTTGCATTTTGTAAGAACTGATCCCAGTGGAACAGTTTGGATAGTACAGATTACAAATAATGCATCATACCATCAGTATCAAAGAAACCGTTTCAAAACCTTACATGTTGCAAGTTTCAAAAAAAAAAAAAGGACATTCTATATGGAAAGAGGGAAAGGAGGAATCACAGGCAGCGATAAAAGTTTTCCAATATTTGTAAAGAGTACTGCTGTTGTAACTACAGAACACTAACTGCATACTAGCTAATGTACAGACCTGAATCAAGAGGATGTGGTTCATCATCTTCATCATCCTCTAAGAGGGGCAGGAACATCTCATCACAATCTCGCTTTTTTGAGTTGGGTTGTTTGGTGAGTTTATTGATAGACTCACTATCCACATCTACTTCCTTGTAAACTGCTTCTTTGACATTATGAAAATTTAAGCCTTTTTTCGAAGATGGGGCAACGATTGTAACACAAAAACACATGAACAAGGGTAATAAAATAGGTCATCAAAGACTGATATAACCATCAATGACATTTCGTCGTTAATTTTGTATGTAGCTCAAATACTATTCCCCGTGCACCATCCTTATTATGGAACCAAAAACAGAGATTCCTTTACAAAGGGGAATGGGGCGTATTAGTTGGTTTGTTGTGTTTTGATTTTGGAGAATTTTCTCATGAATTACTGATGCAATTAGGCTGGCCGTGTCTCTTTAAGCGACGATAAAAACATACGAGCCCCAAGGTGTATCTAATTCGTTTACTGCTTGAAAGGTACAATTACCATTTCATTAGAAATTGTTCGATCGCAAAGATTCCATAGAATCCTCCACAGATTCCATCAGCTAACTGATCGATCGACATTTCAGTCAACTGTACGGAGTGATTGAAATCAGGAGCTCATGATACGATGGAACAAAAATTTATCCATTTCAAAAATTTAGCCCGATATAATACCCAACTCCGAGAAGTATGCCGACATTTCAACTTTCAAGGGAACCTCTTTCAATTCGTCCTCGACATATTCATTGCAGAAGAATCTCACCTTCTTCATCGAATTCTTCGAGCATGTCCAGTTCATCCGCGTAGCGAGATTCAAAATCATCCTCTTCATAGGGAATTTCCCACTCTTCCATGCTCATGGATTTCGCGATTCAAGGTTAACTTCTTGGATAATCAGTTCACAGTGCCATCTTGATCTTTCTTTACGCGGTTCCCGCCAAAGACGTACCTTGCAAGTACCACGTGATCTCCAGTGACGTCACTCGTGAAATCGAGGTTGGGGAATACCCCGGCGAGGCCTTTCGTTTTTGAAGGGGAGCTGAAATCTCTTTCTCTTTGGTGTTGTGTAAATTCCACTGACGTTTGTTGGAAACTGAAATTTCATTTAATCGCTATTATTCGTCCATCAGAGGGCTCTATAGCTAATGTTTTCTACCTGGTGAAAGACTGCGGGATATCCTGCAACTTTGGTAAAGGCGGAAGTGATTGAAACATTCTCCATGGAAAAAAAGCTGAACTTTGAGTTTCGAAGCTTTTTGCTTCAACTTGGAAAGGAATTGAAGTCACAAGACCTTGAACATTTAAAGTTTATTTTGACGCCTTACGTCTCATCCGCTGAGTGCGATAAAATGTCATTTTGTTCGTATTTTGAGGAATTGAAAAGAAGGTGTCATCTCAGTCCAACTAATTTTGGTGTCTTGAAAAATGGTCTCAACGAAATAGGGCGAGAAGATCTTGTGGAAAAAATAGTACTGAAAGAACTGTACTTTTCAGAGATTTCCAATCAAATTGGTGCACCGAACTTGGGAACTAATGGTTTGTATATAGAATTTTCTTAACATTTACATGCACATCATTTCTCATAAGCTACAGTATATGTATCAGAAGAACTTTGCATGATGATGCGCTTTACATTTGTTGTGGAACAGTTGACACAGGTTTCACTATTATCATATGTTATATTGATCTACGCACTACTGGATATAACTTGATCATTGATCCGACATTATTCATTACGCTCCTCTGTGAAAACTATTCCAAAATTGTTCATAATATTATCTAGTGGTAATATTATCATATTACATCTAGTTTATTGGGTTCAAGGATCAAAGGAATTTTTTGGGGGTTGGGTTGGGGACCCTGGCCCCTAAAGCTATTGTTTATTCTCCCAGTACCTTGTTTCTTGTACTGTACTTAATACTTGAATAAGTTAAAATAAATATTGGGATGCTCAGGCCACTAATCTACTAAATTATGATCGTGTTAAGAATTAGGGACCTTGATACAAGTTATTGCTTTTTGTCACTAAAAGCAGTCTATCAGTCTGGCATCTGTCACAGAGAGACAAGAAAACAATACTGTTACACTGCTGTGGACAGTGTTGCTTAGTATTTTGCCCAGATTTCTTTCTTTTAAGTTGGTTGAAACAATTCATCTTGCTCTAATTTATAGCTAATGTTTCCTACTAGTGGAGACTGGTTAAACAATTGTGACCGTGAAAGGCAAAACGGACACTGACGGTTATCCATTTGAACGGACAAACTGTTCATTTTAAAAAGATCTGTTCAAAGCGTTTGACAGACTGTTCAAACGCTTTGCATATCCATTCAAAATACATTAGTATCTGTTCAAAGTATTGCAACATCTGTTTGAACAGTTCTGACATCCATTCAAACGGTTTCAACATCTGTTTGAACAGTTTTCGCATCCATTCACCAACTAAAAATGTCCATTCTGAGACCTATGGCATCCATTTGAATGGTTTGACGTCCACTCGGTTCATTTGTCTGAAAGGAGAAAATTGCACTTGTTGTTTCTCCAGTTAGTCAGTATAGCAGTTGAAATGTCACAACCCATATCTATGTGACTAAATCGTGAGACAATTGATTAACTCAGCCATCATTTTAAACCATGATGACAAACACTTTCATGAGATATTCAGTAGTTTCAGACAATAACTAAAAACATTATTTTGATAAGAAATTGAAATAGTCTCCATTTTCGATCGTGAGAATAAAGGCCTTGAAATTGACAACAATGACAAATGAAATGAAATGAAAACAATGCACAGCAACATTACCCGTTCTATGATCAAGCCATTTGCTCGGAACGGTTTCCGAAACCATTTAAGTAATTTATTCATCTGTACAATTGGTAAACCAATCGTATGAATCAATAATATTTTCGAACGAACGAACGGCTAAGCTAACCATTTGAACAGCTAATCAAACTGGTTAAATAATTTATTGACCCATTCAAACGGTATGCCTGTCTGTTTGAAACTTTTACTCATCCATTCAAACGGCTGACCAAACAGTTCAAATAATTTATTCACCTATTCGAACAGTTAGGCAAACCATTTGAATGCTTCAAGGACCGTTCTTAACTGTTCGTCATCTGTGCATTTTTGTTGTTTGAATGGTTTTCCATTAGTGTCCATTTGCCTTTCTGGGTCACAATTTAAGTATAAGTTGTACACACATGAATTTGTCTCTGTCTGAGATCCTTAAAGCTTTTTTATGTACTGACTGCTTTTCAAGTTTCATCCACCTTGAACTAAGCAGTCTCTGGGTTGATGTAGCATTTTTTTTTTTTTTTTTTCAGATTCTGATATAGAGTTTGATGACACTGCTAATGGAAGACACAGTGGAAAGAACAGTCCTGATTGTAAGTGCGATTGAGTATTCACTGTATGAAGTAGAGTACTGGGTTAGGAGAGGAAAGAACATCCTACAAAGTGAGCACTTTGACCTCAAAGAGTGACCAGCATCTAATTTCTCCTTACAATATCACCCTGAATTAAACTTTAGGGTCACAAGATTAAAGGAAATGATCACCAACTAAAGAAGCTCTTCAATGTTTGAACAAATTCTCTTTTCAGCATCCTAGGAGAGGTAGGAGAGGTAAAATGATATGGAATATATACATACTTATGTTAGGGTGTAGAGGGTTAATGGTGGAGATCGAGGAGGAAGGAGGAGGAAGAAAAGTACTCTTTGTGATACTTGTACTGTTTGGTTATGATTAATTACTCTTTGAATAATGATTATTCTTATTTTGCAGTGCAATTGATGGAGAGAAAGAAAGAAAAGGCAAAGAAAACCCAAGCTGATTATTTGTTGAAAAGGGAAGAGGGCATGGAGGTCTCACATGATGGGTCCATTGACTTACACAGCAATGAACAACTGACAAGTGATGAAGCAGCTAGAGATGAAATCACAGAATCTAACACCACAAAAGAGGAGGTTAGTGATGTGGAGATGAAAAGCACCTTCAAACAATCTCCAAAGGGGCCTTGTGACGATAAGATCCTTTACCATAATGGTCCAGAGGAATCTGAAATTGGAAACGCTCCCATTAATAACAGTGGTTTACCTGATGGAAAAGTGCCTACTAGTAGCATGTCCTCAAGTAATCTGGATAGTGATGTTGTTACTGATGGTAATGAAAATGGAGAAGAATCTGCAGCAGAATCCAAGGCTGATGAAGAGAAATGTAAGAGTGCATGTAATGATATTGTCACACCTTAAACTCTGGATGAACTTTGAACTATTTCCACTGTGTTTATTTTTCCTTTTTAACAAGCAGAAAGTTGCATTTTGGTGAGCAACTGTAAGTTTTATTCAAAGATAATGGAGCACAACAGTCACAATTGGCTGTCTTTAAGTTATATAAATTACATCTATAATATAATTTTTGGAAGGTTATACATACACTATTTCTATTTATAAACACAGCAGTTAAACATAGGGCATGTGCAAAGGGATCAATTTCGGCCAGTGCTGCTCCAATTTCCTGCACAAAATTTCCAAGAGGATTAAAAGTAACAACCACTGTCACACCAAATATGTGAAAAAAAACAGTAATATGTTTATGTGAATTTATAAGCAAATGGTGTGTTTGTTGTGTTGATAAGGAAATGTCTTCAACTCTAAAGACAAAACTCTCTGGTTTGTAATCTTAATTTCAGTTGAAAAGAAAAGTCCTGTAGATGATAATGGTCCTGGAGCACGTCCTAAAGAGAAAAAAGTGAAAACTACCGGGCCATCTAAAACTGACCAAGGAAAGGCCATGGAGGTGGATGACAAAGGTACATTTGTATAACGTCCCCCCCCCCTCCCCCCCGAATCACTGAGGGTAATGCAGTTCTTTGCTTAAAAGATTTTTCACACTCAAAATTCTGTCAATTACTCTGAGTACACACTCCCTCTCTTTGCCTATTGTGTCAACTGGCGTGAAGAGAGGCTGCAAAGGACCTGAACTCTTGTGTGACTTGGCCAGCTTTATGATACAATGTCTCTGCTGAGACTGGAGCAAAACTGAAAGTGGACAGATTCTAACATTTTAAAATCAAGTTGATAAAAGGTTGTGGTTAAGTCAATAGAAAGTTGTGAGTTCAAATCAATGAATTTTGTCCCTGTTTATTTAACAATTGACACACTCAAGACTGACTTAATTAAAAAAAAAAAAAAAAAGGGGGGGTTGGAAAATTGATTACAGGCTCAATGATTCAATTTATTTTTTAGTTACAGGAACCAATCCCTATGGTACATTGTTTTTTGCAAATGAATCTACAGAAGAATATGAATTGGTTCCTCCTGATACCAAAAGCTCTAAAGAACCTACAGAAAGTGGGTATTCTAATCCATCATCTCCTGTTGGAACTGTTCATGAAGAAGGAAGTGGACCTGACACATTCATCAATGATAAAAGTGATGTAACATTAGATGAAGAACCTAAGGTACCCTTGTCTGGTTCAACCCATGGAACACCTGTCACTATGGAGCTCACTAAGGACTACCCCTCTGTAGATGGATTCTCCACTCCACCTTCAGACATTGGGATACCCACGTCCACTTCTGGTGAAAAAAGGCCTGTGACATATGATGAAGAACCACATGATCCAGCACCTGCCAGCATGGGGCGACCCAAGTGCTACCATCCACCTGATGTTTTTTCAACACCTCCACCTTCAGTTCATGGAGGTTCTATGGACTATGGCCTTGGTTTCTATGGCTCTGGTGCTCCACCTTTGGTTCATGGAGGTCCTATGGATAGTGGCTTTGCTTTCCCTGGCTCCAGTGCTCTAGTTCATGGAGGTGCTATGCACAGTGGCCTTGCTTTTCCTGGCTCCGGTGCTCATTCTCAGGCAGAACTGAGTGAAATTATTGCAGCATTAAACCCTTCTGCCCAACAACTTAGTTTTGAAAAACAAATGGCATTTCTTCAACAGATTTTAGCTATGCAAGGATATGTGAGTGGCACCAATCCATTCCCTAATCCAGGACAGCAATCACAGAATTACATGCCCAACAGTCAAACAGACTGGTCACAGGAGTTTGGCTGCTATCACAAGGCAGGTTATTCTGTGGTAGTAACTAATGGCCAGCTCACTGAAAGCACGTATGACAAGGGCATGGTCATGATGGAGAGTGGGACGCAGTTTCGTATTGTTGTTGGAAATGAAAATGATCATGGTAGGTGGTAACTTCAGCAGAAAAAACTGAATTTTAGTGTCATTATTGTGTATTATGTCACTCTACAGCAAGTGTCCAATGCATACAAACAGAGGAATCAAATTCCAATCTTGTCTAAGTTTAACTGAATACTTTCATAGTTTGCTAAAGCCCCTATTGTTCCTTTGGGGATATACCAAAATAAGTGTCCACTCTCCCTTAAAAATTTTTCTCTTCAGAAATTCTGATACACTATTATAATAAATCCTTCTTGTTTGGTTTTCTACTTGCACCTGTAGCTGCTGAGGTGGACATAACATTTGGTGGAATGTATCTTGGTCTTTGGGCATTAGAAGCTAAGCAGTTAATATCTCATAACCCTCTGGTGATTGAAGGTTCCTCCTGGGCTGATGGAAGGTTGAGGTTCTTTAGTAATGCAGATGACAACAAACCCAAACCCAATGCAGACTTCTATGGTGAAAACACAGAACTAAATGGTTTAATTGAGCTGGAGTTCAAACCTGAAGTTCACATATTGAAAATTTTTGCACAGCATGTGAGAGATCAAAGGGAAAAAAAGCTCATTCCAGTGTCAATAGCTCCTTCCAGTACAACAACTATTGGTGACTTAAAACAGGAGATCAGCAAAGAGTGGGATTCCAGGATCTCATGTCTGTTGAAAGGTGGCGAAATCTTAGATGAAGGAAAAACCATCAGGTGAAAGTTACATCAATTTAGGAAAAAAATGTTGTTATGACTATTTTACAGAGGCTTCAATCCTGGATCAATTTTGTACAAGCACAGTTAGTACTCATCTACATTCCTCTTTATCTCAACTACATTGGAGAAACACTTTGTTTTCTCTGGAAGACAAGGATATAACCTGTTCCTCTTGGACAGGATGCTTGAGGCTATCTTGGCACAGCAATGTGATATATTTTCTTGAGCAATTTGCTTTACCCTCTGGGGAACCAGTAAGGTAGGCTGGGTCCCTTCTCTCCCCCCCCCCTTCCCCCCTGGGTCTCATGATCTCAAACCCTCTGGCACCAGGCAGGGTTCTGGTTTTGGTTTTTTCACCAGCTTTGTAATTAACTGTTTCTGGGTATTTCACAGAAGTATTAATGCCAATTAAAATAATCATCCAATGAATATTGTTTTTTTGTCTTGCAAAAATCCATTTGATTATGACCACAGTAGCTGCCATCTGGTTTCTGGACTAAAACATAAACAAATACTGTACAGTGCTGCATACACACTTTTAGTACTGTAATATTGATGAGTAAACAAAATACTAATTAAAGGAAAATGTGCTTCATGCATACTGTTGGTACTGTTGTACTGATGAACACTGTTAGTACTGTAGTACTAATGAATAAGCAAAGAATAAGGAAATCTTTCCTAAAATGGGCAGCATATGATAATTTATAATTTAAACTTAAGCATATTTCTTTCCTTGCCTTTTTAAGGTCATATGCATTGAACAAAAATGAGGTGATTCAAGTTGTCAATGATACAGAGGAAATTAAGATTGAATCCAGTGGGATGGACCCGATCATCATGAGGCTGGATCCACAAAATTTTTCTTTGGATACTGTCAAAGATTTCATTGCAGAGAAAATCAAAATCCCACCTCATGAGCAACTTCTGGGTTTCAAGGGACAAGATATGGATATTGATGGCAAAACACTCACCTGTGCAATTTTAACATCAAAGAAGACACCTGAGTTGAAGGTTATCAAGGACAGGGATATTAACATTGATATCTTAAGACATGATGGAAGTGAAGTAAAAGTTGATATAAAATGGTCTGCCACAGTTCAGGAGCTAATGGATAGGCTGGTAGAAAGAGGCATCTGTGATAGTGGTGCTACGTTAAGTCTTGATAAGAACAAAAAGATATAAGTGGGGTGGGCAACAGGAAACTATTTGACTTGGGTTTGAAAGACAAAACCAAGATAGTTGTTTCAAATAGAGCTCGCAGCACTCACCGTGGATTTAGCATGAATTCTCTCAGTGGGTATGTTTAATATCTATTTGTTTCCTATTCTATTTGAAGAAAGAACCAAATTGTCCTTGATTCTTCTTTAGAAGTTGCATGTTGATAAATTTCTTATCATTCTGAGAAAGAATGTCAAAATTCAGGCTAACCAATGTGAATGTATGCCATAACCAGAGCATGCAGGATCAGGTGATTGGTACATGTAGACATCACTTTTTAATTTGTCAAATGTACATATATTTAATAAGCATAAATATCCAATTCTGTTATCTTCCTAGTCATAACCATTACAATTATTTCTTCAAATGTGATTAGTGCATTAGTTGCTTTATTTTTCACTAATCATTTTGTACAGTATAATCAAACAGTTAACCATAATCAGACACCTGTAATTGGACAGTTGAAGTAGCAAATCATACTAAGTCCACTCAGCCAAATCCACCAATCACAGAATTAATCATATTGACCATAGTAATGACCACTTATCCATTATTGAGCACTTTGCTTCTATTGCCATAATTATAGGGCTGAAATAAACTTCTCTGTGAAAACAGTATTTGATTGACAAATTGCCTTAAGTATTCAAAATTTTACATAATAATAGTTGAGCATTTGAAATCATTTAGATGAGAACTTGACTTGTCTGATGAACTTTTCTCCTAATTGATCAGGGGCCCAAGTCAAGTATTTGGAACGAATCGGGGATTTGGTGGTCTGGTCAAGCCAACAGTAGCTTGTCTAAGCATGAGAGGATTTCCAGATTCTGCGGGTAATTAGTATTCTTTGTATTGTTCAAATGCATGGTAATCATTATACATGAACATGTAGTTTCTGTAATGTTTGAGATTGAACCAAAGAAAATTGGGTTTGAACCCAAATGATGAAAGAAAACCATAATATAAACTCCTGTAAGAACTGCCTAATCTGCAAAGCCTTTCCTTCCCACAAAGCCACTGTCATGACATCTTCCATTGTACAACATCTGTACAATACATAGCAGCATGGCTTAAGTCTTTAGTAGTTTTAATGAATCAAGAAATGTGAAACAGATGGAAGGAGAGATATGTCATGTATGAGATTCAGTCATGAAAGAATAAAGGTGTTCCTAACATTTACAGGCACATATTTAAAAAATTAATTTTCTGTCACATCCCAGAAGCAAATATTTTCCAATATATTCTAAGTTAAAAGGCAGAAAAAGGGAATAGACTTGTTGCAAATAATGTTGACATGCTTGTTATTGCTAGAAGTGTTAACATGCATGTGTTTCTGGACTGAAGGACAATTTAATGGAAAGAGTTTGTCTCCCCAAGTCCCCTTCATTTTCCCTTCCCACACATATTTTGGTTGGCGGCCCTTAGTTTTTGCCATAATGGATTAGCACCCACCTACCACCTTCACTTACATGTAGTCTGTTACACATTTTTGACTGAACTTGAGTGAATTTATATTAAATGATTATTCAGGGAACCGTGCTGGAGGCAGTTGTGCAAGTGAAGCAGCATATGACTGTTCCCAAGAGGAAGGGGAGGTGTGTAGTGTCAACAGATTAATTCAGCAGACCATATTCAATTGTTTTATTTTTCTAGGAAAGTTAACATAAAAGTACATCCACTGTTGGGTTGTTGAAGAGGCTTTATTGGGCTGGACTGTTTGGGACATTTTGCTGTCCCTTTGTAGAGTATATGCAGACACTAACAAAACCTTACCAATACTCTAGAGGCTTGTTATTCTCAAGAAACTCCATTAATATCATCATCCATCTTACAGCTAGTTTTGTAAACCTTTTTCCATGCTAAGGTACTTATCAATGTTACCAATCACACTTCCACCCTAATATGGATTATGTATGGGTGTGTCTCCCTAATCTGGGACTGTGGGTTTCATTTGTCTTCTGGGACTGAGATGATTTGTTGCTCTGTTTAATGAATGAGAGATATTTGCTATGTCTATCTTCATTCATTTTAACATTATTCATGTCTTATAAATGTACAGGTTGGTATTGCCATGCTTTATGGAGATGAAGAAAGTGTTTTCAGAAACTTCTCGCTTGATAATTATGAGAAAAAGTTTTCCAAGGAGAAGGCTGTTACCCTTACAATTCTGCTGAAAGCTAAAAGGTAGCAGTCAAAGTACTTGTCAAGTTAATTTGAATTGCCTTTTTAGACCTTCTGAGGTTGGGGCCTTTACTTTAAACATGACTTTGTACTTAAACTGAACCATCTTGAACATAAACTTTACCCAAACTGAAAAGCTCAGGACAATGTAGTCACCTCACTTTTTTTTTCTAATTTTTTAGATAAGAGAGAATAAAAACTTTTGCTGGTTTGCACTTCGTTTGGAAGAAATTATGATCATGCAAAAAGTGTTCCTTTTTCTGAAGGCATTCCTTGGAAGTCTTTCATGTATCAGAAACTGATTTAAAAAAAAAAAGAGCTACAACATTTTGCCAGGAAAGAGGATTTGTCACATAGATCATTTCTTATAAATGAAGCACAAACCAGTAAAAAAGCTCAGAGTCACATTAGTCTACTAGGCAAGTATGAGTCATCTATAAAAAATTCATTTTCATCTGTAGCACCATGAAAAGGACTTAAAAAAAGGATTGGGCAATCATTGCATGTTTCTACATTATATTTGTAAACTTGATCCATTCATTTATTTTTGTCCATCATTTTTTGGCAACAATTTTTCTTTTGAGTATATAAGTGTTGTATTTAAAAAAATACATCTATCCACTGAACAGATTCTTTTTTCTCATTAAATGCAGTATGGGGGCCACAGGGGGTGAAACCTCTTCACAGCCTCACCTTCCATCAGGAGCTTGCTCAGGAGCCACAGGTCCAAAGTCCACTCCATGTCCACCTCCAGTGCCTGAGTGAAGATGTTGCTAACATATTAAGGAGCCTTTTGAGGGGCTGTGCTACATAGTGATTCCTCAGGCAGCTGTAAGGCTGTCAAAATGTAGATGTAATGTGTCAGTCAAAGTAAACCCAACCCCCTGCCATTGTGAGATATGTGGGGCTTTGGTAGGGATTCTTTAAGTTACTGGCAGCCCTTCATGTCTTGAGTAGATAGGGAATCATACATTTATGTCACCTGTAGTCTGGAAAATTGAATACATTTATGTCTCTACCCTGCAGTCTTAGATGGAAAATTGAAAAATGGTGCTGTAATGTATTATAAGTTACATTGAATATGTGCATTAAACTGAAGCAAACTGACATTAATTGTAAGTAGTTTCATAAAAGGAAAACAATTTAAGTTAGATATTTTCAAAAAAAAATAGCTTGTCAGGGTTTGGCTAATCAGAAAATACTATATAGGGGGAGTTTACTTTTACTGGTGTATTAATATAACTTTATTTTGCCATGACAACTACCATAAAGCTGAGCTATGCATTGTGTGCATTCAGTGGCTTAGAGTATAGCATGGTAAATACTTACTTAGTCAACCTCTGCCATGTTGGTAATTAATATTCCTGTGGGTGAAACTGAAAGCTGAAGCTAGCTGCAGAATGAACTCTTATTGGAGTTCCTAGGCTCTGAGTATAGTTACTATAATATTGACTAGATCTTGAGATTGTTGTCACATACAACAGTGGTAGATATTATTATTATTATTATTATTATTATTACTACTATTTTTTTTTAGTTGGGCTTAGTAATCTGATGATGTGGTTCAAATAACTTTCTAAGCTTTGATGTACAACTTGATCTGCATCCATCACTAAATATCAAGAATGTCCCACTCCTTGATGTTATGTACTGCATTTAGGAGAAGTTATATTATAACAATGATCAATTAAGGCTGTGAAGTAAACTGCTCATAACTTATTAAGCAAATTCTGCTGACTGTGTTAAGTGGAAGTATTAGTCCAGGGAACAGCAGATTTAAAATTAGTAACTTGCAGGTAAAATCTTGAAACGTTAAAAAAATCAAAGGTTGGGATCAATATGAGATAATTGGTTTTATGAACTGAAATGATAGTGTAAATTGGTCTCCTTAAAGGGTTTTTTGAGCATGAGTCCTTTGTCAGAGCAAATGAGCATAATATTGTGGTTACATGAAAAAACCATTAACTTAAAAAAAAATTTGTGACCATGGCAGTAATTAGCAGAAAGATGGTAGATATTTAGTTTATTAAGAAATATGTTAGGTAGTGAGTTTTATGGTGATTCTAGATAGTATGTTTTATGGAACAAACTTTTTGTTATTGTTTCAATAATAATGAGTTTTGTTGTTTTTGACATTATTTGTAACAGAGTAGAATGTGTTATAGCTAGAGGCTGAGTACAGGAGTACAGTGGCTTGGTTGGCTTGGTTTGCTGTCTTCAATTTTTTCCAAAACATTTCAAAAATTACTGTACATGGATTGGGTTATGCAGCCCATAGTCAGTTGGCATACATTGTTGTTACAGAAGCCACACTCAAATAGTGGTAGTCCAGCAGTTTTCTAACTAGTTTAGTATGACAGATTTGATTGTGTGGGAAATTTGAAGCCCAGTTGTCATGCAATCACAAATTTGGTCTTTCTTGTGTTTAATAGACATGCCAAGTTCGTGGAAAACTAAGACAGCAGTGCTGATTCGTGGCTCTTATTTTCAGCTGTATGTTTGAGTGTCCTCAGGGTTAAGGTTGAATGCTCTTATGTATTTTAGAAAATAAATGGTATTGTTTATATGTAGTTGTTTTGAACAAATGGGAATATCACTAAATACTAGGTGATGTGCTTCTGTATCACAAACATAGAAATCAGTAGAGAGGCAGTCTTGCATCATACTTTTGTTCATGCCAGCTCACTTAGTAAAAGCAATTTAACATCACCAGACTGTTGTGTGAGCTGTTCGTAGGTTTTTCTAGTGCAAGTAAAAGTACAGTCGTGTTAGGTACTAAAGATATCACCTGGGGATTTGAGTTCAGTTTCTCAATTGCCAAGCTTTTTAAGGCATGATGTGCTTCATTTGTACACCTAGAAGCCATTTTCCTTCCCTCCCATCCCTTCCAGTTGTTCATTGTGGTGGTGGTATTTCTTATCTGTTCTAGTTTTCTGTATCAGAAAGCCTCTCTATTTACAGTATATGTAAGTAGCAATTTGATTATTAAGTAAACTGAACCTTTCTTAAATAAATGAAAAAATTAGTTGATTAGTAAACTTGACTTGATAAAGGCTCTCTTTGTCTCAAATATTGCTTGTAGTCATACTATGTTGTTTAATTTTATAAATTGATATTAAGCCCTACTAGGAATTTAACTTTTAAATAGAAAATGAAAAACTAACTTAAAGCAAAGGAAAACATTTCACGCTCATAGAGTGGGGCTGAGATCTATATTGTTACTATCGACCAAAGATAGCGGTTGTACTGTGTGCACTTTACTGTGATCATTGGAAAATATCAACTTTGCTAAACACAGAGCGCTCTTAAAGAGAAACAGTGCAAACTTTTGTTGCTGAAAGTCATCAAAAAAGTGAGTTGAACGGAAAAACGGAAGTCGTCGAACCGGAAGTGAACTATTATACGCCCTGTACTTGCAATATGGCGGAGTTAAGAGTCGCGTTACGAACCTTTTCGATGGCTCGCCTTTCTAGGAAAGCTTTCACGATAGATAAGTGGTAAGTTATGAATGACTCGTAAGAGAATCCACAAGATGACATGATTAAAGTACGTTTGGAAAAGATTGTGGTTATCGAGAGTTTTAAGAAGAGATTCAAACGCGGAATTATTTTGACGCAATTAATATGGCGAACTTGAGAACGAAATCGCTGTAAAAGTCGCTTTCCTCAAAATCAGACCATTCGAATATCAATGCTTTTCACTGGCTCTATTAAAAGAGAAGAGCATTCTGTGTTTTACCTCACGATGCTAACCTTTGTTTGCTTAAGCATGTTACTTGGAAATGTAGGCATCGCGATAGTTTTGTTAAGGAGCCAAAATCAAGTCGTAATCCAGCAGAAACCAGCTTGATCGGAAAAAAGAGACTGGCGCTCGCCCGTTCAAGTGTCATTAACACTATATATCCAAGTGGCAATGGCTGCTAGATTTGTACAAGTGGTTGTATGGATGTTTACGATTTAATTAAGCAATTGGTCATATACATCTGTTGGTTATTAGTGAACACTTAACATGTAAGTTAGACACATTATTTTCTGCTTGTTAGGTTGATTTTCACCCACCGCTTCCTCCCCTTTCCTTAAATAAATTTTAACTGCAGGAAGTAACCAGGGAATGAACTGCAGACCTTTCACTTGTACCTATCACCTTGGCATTCTTGGCGGGTACCTTCCGATCTTTTACAATGTAAGTTACCCACAACACAGTTGGGTCATGAGGGGAGGTAGGGCTTCTTGCTCTGCTGGGTAAGTTTGCCAACGTGGCTGATATATTCACTTCAGTTGTCAGTCTAACTGCCTGATGGTTTGGGTCTCATATCATTACCTTGGGATTTTTCTGTCACATGGACTAGCTCTTGCTGAGAGATTGTGTCTGCTAATATCCCCACTTAGTGTCTTTGCTTTGCGGTTTGTGTAGTCTGTGTATGCTAACCACACAATCCAGTTTTAAAGGTTGCACTATTACCACCATGCTTGCAGTTATCTTTTTTCAATTTTAAGAAATGTTTTGTTTTTTAGGATTTGATGGTTTGTGAAATTTCATACAATTGATACTACAGGCGGCCCAAGCTCCAGCTGTTAGATGATCATCTTGCGTAATAAGAGTCATGGTGAAATTATAAGAGTTTGTATAGGGATATTTACAACTACTCTTAAGAATTAAAAATATAGTCAAACTCTCAATAAATACACTTCACCTTACTTCCGTGTGCATCACTTGTTATCTAGCTTACTATGTTTAAAAGAACCCATTTTAGCTAGTTATCCATTTCTAGGGTTACTATATAAGATGGCTTCTCTAACCATTGATGCACTGTGGACGTAAGGTGAGGTATTTTTAGCAAGAATTTGACTGTAATTTTTTATTCCTAGGAGTGATCATAAATGTTCCCATACAAACTCTTTTAATTTTGCCATGACTCTTATTTCACAAGATGATCATCTTACAGCTGGAACTTGGGCCACCTGTGTTGAGACTTATAGTTTCTAAGCCTGTGTACATATATTACTGTGTTACTTTTATTTTCAAATGAGCATGTATGTATGCATGATAATTTCTTGGGAAACTGAAAGATCTAACAAAGATTTCATAGTATAGTGCTGTATTGTATGAAAACAAAAGAAAGAAAATTTTTACCAAAATAGTTATTCTTGCTTACCAGATATGGCAATAACATGTACTCATGAATATAAAGACAGAAAATTCTAATTAATTTATAATTGTCCCATGACACACTCAAGGAAGCAGAGGAGTAGAAAGAAAGAGAAGAAAATGAAGGAGAAAAATGATCATTTTCTAAAAAGGGAACAGTTGTCTATGCAGTCACAGTTATCTTGGTCAGAAAGCAAAGTATTAGAAGAGCTGATGTTGTACTCCATCAGCTCATGGATAACACAGAGAGCATGGAAGTCCCACATGTTAGGCCTGAAGAATCAGCCAGTAGTGAACAGACAGAAATTTTTGATGTGGGAAAGACTAAAGATAGTGTAGTGGAATCAAAAACTAAAGAATCAGAGCTGGGAGATGTAGAGACAACAACTCTATCTGGAACATCTCAAAAGGAGCCTTGTGAGGAAGTCTTAAATTCTAAGAACCAAGCAGATTTGAGCAATGGGAAAGGTAATTCAGTCCTAACTGAGACGACAAATCCTCCGGTGAATGATAATTCATCTGAGAGCAGGGAATTTGAAGATGGTGAGGGAAATGTTGCAGATTCAGTGGTAGATAATCAGGAGAGAAGCCAAGAAGGTACATTACTTCAGCCATCTTTGAAAGGTGTTAAATAGTGTATGTAGGGCTTAGCTGTTCACTACAATGTTAGATGATTAATACAAAAAATGTTCTTAAGGGGTGCTAGCTCTTTTTAAACTAATGAATTAATGTGATTTTATTTATTGTTAATGAGTGTTTTCACTGACATTTTTCACAGTAAAAAGTGTTGTTGTAGCTCCAACTTTCTCTCTGCTTTAGATGCATTTCTTTGACAGTTTCAATTTAGTTTAATTTTCCTAACATGCTAAAAATGTGCATTCTAGAAACCCTCTGGGCAGAATTATCCTACTGTATCAGAAACAAATTATACAAGTTTATGTTTCTATGTTCAATAAGTGAGCGTAAAATCACCATTTGTTTCAATCTTTGCACATACATGGTGCATCCAATACTGCTGGTCCTAGCATCGAGTGAAATAGGGGAACACTTAGGATGTATGAACCCAACAATCATTACCTTACCCATCACATCAAATATTGCTCTCACATTTGTCTCTGCCACACACTCATGACACACTACTTTATAGTTTTCTTGTTTATTTTATTTCTATTTTTTTCATTTTCTTTTTTAGACAATAGGCTAAGTATTGCCTAAGTTTTGGTCATTATTTAGTGTATATATAATCAGATTGTGAAAGCCTGTAACAAAAGCCAAAGATGAGGTTAAACCTGTCTTCATTACTAGCCAAAATTAAATATAATCTACTTTTGTGAAATAAACTTACAGTGTATATGTGCATCATGAGGGGCTTTTAAATTATTGCTCATAGGTGAAGGGCAAGATCCAGGCACTTGTGATGATGCAGGAGCACAATCAAAAGACAAAACACTCAAAATTACAGAGACGTTGGAAAACAACAGAGAAAATGTTAGCAACTTAGACAGACAAGGTAAGGAGAAAACTAATGTCTTGTCTGAAGCCCTTTCACTCCCTGGAGTGACCAACAAGGAATTTCTTCTTTATTTACGATATCTATACATTCTCAATTTTCTGTGAAAATGTGTACTGGCAGCTTGCATTATGATATGTCATATTACTTCATTATAAAATGTATTTTGGTTATGGTTGAAATATAGACCCTGTACAGTTAATGTATTAACAGAACCATGCACTATGTCAACAGATCCATTCATTTTAGTCTGGTACTCATTATTTTTTAAGAGATGAGTCCCATTGACTCACTAATGGAAATTTCTAACAAGCACTGCCTCAGTGCAGGTATTTTCAATTTCAAGGGTTTTTGTTCCTTAATGTGAATAACTATGCTATATTTGTTAAAATATACATTTTATTTGAATGTCCTTCTTTAAATACAGCAAAGGGGGAGTCTGCACCATCATCTCCAGTAGAATGCTATACCAGTGAGTCTTCTTTATACTCTGATTCTGATGGTGAGAATGCTGGATCATTGAAGAAAGAATCAAAGTTGCTCTCACGTGGGTCTGTGCAGGGAGCAAGTGCCAGTGAAGAGCTGCTTGAATGCAACATGACAAACACAGAGAAACAGAGGGTTTCTCTAGATGAAACTCTAGAGTCAGTGAAAGATGGCTTGAACCATTCTGAAGCATCTCAAAAGGATCTGAGTGGTGACAAAGTCGTCCATTGTAATAACACGGAGGAAATGAGCACTAAAAGAGACGACAACACTGGTGTACCTATCCCAGATATTGGTGTTATCACTGATAGTAAGGAAGGTAGCAAGGGAAATGTTGAAGAGTCCAAAGAGCAAGATGTGGAAACTACAACCAAAGGAGGTATGAAAAAAATGCTTACTCTAGAATTGGGGAGGAGGGAGGGCCTCTTTAGAAGTTTGGGTTGAAGTGAACTGCTTGTGGTGAACAATTTTTAATTGTAAAACCCTCCATATTTAATCAAACAAGTGCCTTGTTATCAGTCTAATGAAGCTTATGGCTATCTGTTGTGTAAAATCTAACTCTACAGAACCAGTGCTTGCAAGTGTAGAAATGACAACCTGTCCTGAAGCATCTCAAAAGAATCCCAGTGGTGATGAAGTGGTAGAATATAATGACCTGGAGAATTTGAGCACTGATAAATGTGGAACTTGTGTCCCTACAGCAATGCCTCCTAACATGTCCTCAGTTCCTCCAGAAGCTGGTGATATCACCATTAGTAAGGAAGATAACAAGGGAAACTTTGAGAAGTCCAATGTGCATGATAAGGAAACTGCAACCAAAGAAGGTATCAATGAAAAATGAATACCATAGAGTCGGGGGGGGGGGCTCTTTAGAAGTTTGGGTTGAAGTGTACTGTTCATGGTGAACAATTTTTAATTGTAAAACCCTCCATATTTAAACAAACAAGTGCCTTGTTATCAGTCTAATGAAACTTATGGCTATCTGTTGTGTAAAATCTAACTCTACAGAACCAGTGCTTGCAAGTGTAGAAATGACAACCTGTCCTGAAGCATCTCAAAAGAATCCCAGTGGTGATGAAGTGGTAGAATGTAATGACCTGGAGAATTTGAGCACTGATAAATGTGAAACTGATGTCCCTACAGCAATGCCTCCTAACATGTCCTCAATTCCTCCACAAGCTGGTGTTATCACCATTAGTAAGGAAGATAACAAGGGAAACTTTGAGAAGTCCAATGTGCATGATAAGGAAACTGCAACCAAAGAAGGTATCATTGAAAAATGAATACCTTAGAGTCTGGGGGGGGGCTCTTTAGAAGTTTGGGTTGAAGTGAACTGTTCTTGGTGAACAATTTTTAATTGTTAAACCCTCCATATTTAAACAAACAAGTGCCTTGTTATCAGTCTAATGAAACTTATGGCTATCTGTTGTGTAAAATCTAACTCTACAGAACCAGTGCTTGCAAGTGTAGAAATGACAACCTGTCCTGAAGCATCTCAAAAGAATCCCAGTGGTGATGAAGTGGTAGAATGTAATGACCTGGAGAATTTGAGCACTGATAAATGTGGAACTGGTGTCCCTACAACAATGCCTCCTAACATGTCCTCAGTTCCTCCAGAAGCTGGTGATATCACCATTAGTAAGGAAGATAACAAGGGAAACTTTGAGAAGTCCAATGTGCATGATAAGGAAACTGCAACCAAAGAAGGTATCAATGAAAAATGAATACCTTAGAGTCGGTGGGGGGGGGGGGCTTTTTAGAAGTTTGGGTTGACATTAACTGCTTAAACAACTTTTAATTCTGACCTTCTCCATATTTAAACAAACAAGAGGAGAGTTACACTTACTTTCAAAGCTTCTGTAACATATCCCATTACCTTGTACAGCATTGTATTGTGATATATTATTTCTTCTGGGCTTAATCAGCTTGTATTGTGTATCAGTGTTTTTTTTGGTACTCCTAGGAAAGGCAGAATTAGATTTTAATTGTAGATACATATTCAAGACGGACTCTCACTCCCAAGATTTCATGTAGTAATCCTCCTCACTGTCTGTCATAAATGTACAGTTTGTGTGACATTAGTTCAGAGAATTTGTTATTGGATCAACTAATAGTCTCCTGATAGGAATTTTCTGTATTTTCATCACTTGTCTAATTGACATTGTATTAATGAGTCATATAAATTCACTTAGAATTTTTATGAAAATGTTATGTGTTAATTTGAATTCTCAAAATTTCTGAATTTTCAGTTGCAGAAAAATCAGAAGTCACCAATGAAGTGACAACTACAAGCACAACAGGTATGAAAACTACATAATTATGAAATATAATATTATTAATTGTATAGTGACTTTTAATCCTGCAAAGTGTTTTTACCACAATTTGGGGGTACTGTCATAATCTGAATGGCCAATTTGCTGTTGTTGATGATAGTACAAACAATGCTGCACGTAGAAATGTGTCAAGCAATGCCTTTATTACATGTAGCTCTCAAACATGGATGGCTGTTAAATTTTACAGCTGCATTCTGTGAGTCTACAACATTTTGACCACAATGATGACAAATATCATTGTCAATAACAGTACAGACCATGCTAAACCACTAATGATTTGTTAACCATCTCTGATGAGAATGTTATGTTGATCCAAACCCTCAAAAAAGTATATACATTCATCTTAACTCTTTAACTCCCATGAATGACCAAAACAGAATTTCTCCTCACAATATCAATACAATATCAACCAAATAAAAAATTAGTTGATCCAATACTAAATTCTCTGAACTAACATCATAATAATTGTATGGTTTAAAGTAAGGGGAATTACAAATTTGATCTGGGAGTTAAAGGGTTAAGTCAGTCTTCTTGGAAGAGACAGCTAGAGATCCTATGTTCATTGAGTGAGATGTGGTTCTCTGAATTTCATGTTGCAGAAACAGACCCACATGGTGTAATATCTGTTATGAACAACCTGGATGAACAAATAATACTTCCTCCTGAAAAGGAAAAGTCTGTTCGACAAATTGAAAGCACCAATTCTAAAGGATTATCTCCTGTCGAAAGCAAGTCAGAATTGAATAGTTTTGATGGAGATAAAAGCCCCGAAGCATTCATCCAATCTCAAATTACAGAAACAATCATTGAAGGAACATCCTCCACAATCAATTCAAAAGACAGTGAAATGCTTCCAGCTGGAATTGGAAATGTAAAAACACAACTAAAAGTAAGTGAAGATTCTGAGGAGTCCTGTCCTGTGGAAAAAACAAGTGAATCTGATGTTAACAAAGGCATTGTTTCAGAGGAAGAGGAAAGTGCCAGTGTAGGGTCTCAAGAGTTCAACCTCCTGTCAAGTATTCTCTCTTCAGATCATGGGGAATCTGAGTCCACTGGACAGGGTATTATCAGAATCTCCAATGCATCAATTGAGGAAATTGGGTCAGCATTGGGTCAGATATTTCAAATGATCGCCTCAAGGGAGGGTGGAGCCTCATCTGGCGCCTCATCAGATGAAGAAGACCAAATTTCATGGCGACCTGAACCATACCGCAAAGCAGGCTATTCTGTGGTGATCAGCAACAGCAAGCTCTGTGAAAGCACTGAGGAGAAAGCAGTGGTCACAATGGAGAGTGGAACAGAGTTTTTCATATCAATTGGAAATAACAATGATCGTGGTAGGTAAATAATGGGCAAATGTTTTGTCATTCTCCATGGGCACCTCCTCTAGGAGGTTTTTTTTCAAGTGGGAGCCTTTTCCCCTTCCCTGGCTTTACTGGATTAGTACTTTTACATGACAAAGGATGTGGATATTGATTTTGGCTATCACCCTCACTCAGCCTGAAAAAAATACTGCTAGTAGATCCCAATTATGTATCATTACAGCTGAAGAAACCAATTTGTTCCTTTTCGAGTTGCAACTAACGATTTTGAGATCCATGTATTTGATTGTTTATTAACAATCCTTGATGATTAAGTTGGGACAAATAACTTCCCTGAACAACTTTGCTTCTGTGTATAACCTAAGGATCATACTTATGCAGACTTAGCAATGTTATATATCAACAGAAAAAAACAAATCATAACAAGTCACATTTTTGGCAAAAATTGAGGTAGTGCTATGTTCAGTTAAATCTTTCACTCCCAAGATCTCATTTATTTTAATTAGTAATTCTCCTTACTGTCTAACAGACATCTTGTTATAATGTGAATTTGGAGAATTTGGTATTGGATCAACTAATAATCTCCTAATTGATATTTTTCTTCATTCTCATAACTCACGTGCTTGATATTGTATTGATGTTGTAAGAAGAAATTCTGTCCTGGTCGCTCATAGGAGTTAAGTGTCAAGAGCACCCTAGGAATACATGCTTCATGTCTGATCCTAAATTTGAAATAAACACCTAAGGTGCTTAGTCAAGAATCTGTGGTATTCTTATAATTGGTGCATGTAGGAAAGATACACAGAGTGTAGACTATTACACTTTTAAGCAAAAAGCTTTACAGTAACACTGAAATTGAGGGACAATAATAAGCATTAAAAAGTATTTTTGGGCATTGTCAGATATTTCTTAAACTCCACTATAAATTATTGTGTACTAAAGAAGTTTAATTTGTTCAATTTCTTTCTCTTAACTGTAGCTGCTGAGGTAGACATCACATTTGGTGGAATATACCTTGGTGTTTGGTTGGTGGAGGCAAAGCAGTCACTATCTAATCCACTGATTATTGAAGGCTGTACTTGGGCAGCAGGTCGTTTCAAATTCTTCAGTGCTTCAGATAAGAAGAAACTACAGCCTAATGCTGATATCTATGGTGAGAGAGCAGAAGTAGATGGTTTGATTGAGCTGAAATTCAAGCCTGAAGCTGATACCATGAAAATGTTTGTGCATCATGTGCGAGAACAAGGAAGTTATCGTCTTGTTCCAGTAACAGTGGCTGATCCTAGGACAGCAACTATTGCTGACTTGAAACAAGAAATTAAAGGAAGTTGGGGATCCAGTATCTCCTGCCTGTTGAAAGGGGGCCAGGTTTTACAAGAAGAAGAAACCATCAGGTACAGTCTTTTACCTTATGTAGAGTGTGCCAGGAGTGATCAATTAAGATAAGTTATTTTAATCTTGCATAGATGGTTTTTTGGATGGACATGGTCTGTAAATTGACTTGGTGTCTCAGACTTGCATAAGTGTATCCCAGGCTATAATTTAACCAGTATATCTTAGTGAAACAGGGTTGTTTCTGATATCTTTATTAGAAGTTTACTATATAAATGTTCCACATCATGCTGTGTTGTTTCCCAAGCATTGCCTTATAGCCATTGCCAGGAAACTTAAAGCTCTCATGAAAATTATTAGTACTAAAACTTAGCTTGTTTTGTTTCTTAAGCTCTTATGACTTGGGTGAAAATGAAGTGATTGAGGTTGTTAATGCTACAGAGGAACTGACTATTGAAGCAGTTGGGAGAGACCCAATCACTCTGATGGTGGATCCCAAAAATATTTCTGTGAAAGCTCTTAAAGAATTCATCACAGCACGATTCAAAATACCAGTAGACCAACAGCTTCTCCAGTTCAAAGAACAGGATGGTGTTGTAGACTCCAAGTCAATCACCCATATGCTTCTTACGTCAAGGAAGACACCAGTGCTGGTGGTTAGCAGAGAAGAACCTGGGTATGTTACATTTTTGTCATATTAATCAACACCTCTCTGTGAGAGGAATTGCTGGGAAAATGCTTCTTAATCCTTTACACCCTAATATTAGTATGCATATTCTCTATACTGTTTTCTAAACAAATCTTATGGTGCTGACATGGAAAATTTGTCTATCAATCAATAAAATATTTAGCAGGTAATTTAGTGTTAACAACTGGGTTGAAAACGTAAATTAGCCACCGTAAAGGGTAAAAAAGCTGACGTTTCGAGCGTTAGCCCTTCGTCAGAGCGATTAGAGGAATTGTGGGTTGTGTGTGGATTTATATGTAGGAAGTGGAGCTACGCCATTGGTGGGAATGTGGTGACGAGAAAACAGGAATAAATTAGTTTCATTCAACTAATTTATTCCTGTTTTCTCGTCACCACATTCCCACCAATGGCGTAGCTCCACTTCCTACATATAAATCCACACACAACCCACAATTCCTCTAATCGCTCTGACGAAGGGCTAACGCTCGAAACGTCAGCTTTTTTACCCTTTACGGTGGCTAATTTACGTTTTCAACCCAGTTGTTAACACTAAATTACCTGCTATACTCTCCCACCGACGCAGCACCACAGTTTCTTTAGAAACTTACCCCTTTAATAAAATATTTAGTTGGTGATCATTTCCTTTGTTCTCATGACCTTACTGTGTGGCACAGGGGTTATACCGTTGGGAGAAATTAGGAACTAGTCATTCTCAGTGTTGTTGCCAGATGACAATTGGACTTGGCTGATTCGTTTTTTTTAAACAACTTTATTCACTCATGTTACTCCAAACTCCTGAACTCAACTTGTTTTTTATCTCACACATGAGCACATGGCCCATGGCAACGAGCCGACCTGTCAATTCACATAGCAACACAAAGTAAAACAATTGTTTGTTTGATGCTTGCTGATTGATTTACTCCATATATTCCTTGTCGCTCAAAGAACTGAAGACTCTAGAGGATTGGACACCAGAGCAACATCTTGCGAAGGTAGTCATTAACAGTTAACACTTATTCATTAAAGTAGAGGTAAATAGTGGTAGATATTTATCAAGAAGCAAAGCCTGAAGGTAAGTATCTGCCACTTTTACTGAAACTGAGGTTAAAAAATTCTGTAATCATACTCGTAATTGACAAATCAGACTCCTGCTTCACAGTCATCCAATTTTGTTGATCACTTGCATGATTACAGACCCAAATTGGACTCCACCCGGTCCTATTGCCATCAATTTCATTATCAATTTCATTTACATGATCACAATTACAGATCAAGGGAGCCGAGCTGAAGACAGCTGTAAACTGAATGAGGAATCTAATGACTCAGGAGACAATGACCAGGTAGCTACTATTTGTGAATTTATCAATAACACCATGAGATTGTATTGATTTAGGTACCTTCCCTTAAGAAAGTTATTACATTATCATGCCCAGATAAAAAAAGGTACCAGCTTATGAATTTTGTAATGTATGGAGCCTTTAAAAAAGTGTCTTATAACAAAGTGATATTTGCTTTTTCACATATTTACACAGAATGGTGTTGCTATTCTTTATGGAAATAAAGAAAGTGTTTACAAACATTTTCGAGAAGATGCAATGGACCGAAAGTTTTCAAGGAAGAAGGCTGTCACACTTTTTATTCAGCTGAAAGATAAGAGGTAGTATACTTTTAGGAGATTTTCACATTTCTGATATATTTGTATGAGGACTGTAAAGCTTTCCAGGTGATTGCAGGACCGCAAATGATCCTAATGGAAACAGCTGATGATCTTGTTAAAAATTTAGGAATGGTGTTTGTTTTTCTTTTGAAGATCTGCAAACAGCTATTACATTGCAAATCCAAAGTCAAAACCATGAATAAATGAAATTAACGAAAGAAAGGTTAAAGAACAATAAATTAAGAGATAAATTAAAGAAGATGGGTATTAGGAATATATTGAATTGTAATATGAAAGATAGCTATGATTATTAGTAGGACTGATTCTACTTTTTTATAAATTACAGCAAGAAAGCTGCAAATGCTAAAACCAAACCTGAGCCCAAGCCCTTTGAGCAGCCAGGAACCAGTTCGTCGAGACCAAAAGGATGCACGTCTTCTCTTTACCCACCTGAAACACCTGACTGAAATCCTGATATGTTGCTGGACTATCATTTAACCCCCTACCTCCTAGAATTAATTGACATTTAGGTCCCTATGGTATCAATGCATCATTCAGCAAGCAAACAAGTGATGAGAATATATACCTTAATATAATTGCACATTCTCCTAACCCTTTCACTTGCATGTGTAACCAAGATAAAATTTCTCCTAAAAATGTAGTCACAATATCAAGCAGACATGTGTTGAGAATAATGAAAAATATGAATAAGGGGATTATTAGTTGATCCAAAATCAAATTCTCAGAACTAACATCGTCAGAAATATATAGTGGACCGTTAGGAGAATTACTAATGAGATCGTGGGAGTGAAAGGGTTCATCAGTTTACAAGAAAGTTTATGGGCGCTAAAGTGAGAATTATGAAGTAGATCACAGAAGTTAAAATGTGACCATGAAGTACTGTTATTTGATACAATATAACCACTAGTATGATAATTGTTAGGAATGGAAGACTGTTAATCAAAATATTTACTTTTAAGCTTATGGTGACCTAACAATGTTTTAAACGTGATTTTGTATTTTTAGCAAAGTTTAAACTAGAAATGATTTTTAAGAACTCCAGTTTGGTGAGAGATAAAAACAATTGCAATTAATTGTATTAATCTAGGATTCTCCAAGTTTATATAATAGTAAAAAAGTGGTTTAGTGTGAATGGAAACAGTTTTCCTACTCTGATCAGATATCTTTAGAGCGCTCAAAAACCCTAGTTCGTCTCCCCCCCCCTCACCACCACCCACCACCACTTTGAAGTCAAACGATTCTAACACATATTGATCAAAGGATCGAAGATTGAAGTTGTGGGCGTGGCATACCCATAGATACTATTATATGAATGTTATGGGAGAGTTTTTCCTTTTTTAGCTTGTCAGAGTGTTGGGGAATTGAACCAGCCACCTCTTTGGGTAAAGGTAGTGAAGTTTTTGCAAGCAGTGTTGCAAAACCCTTCAAATTCAATTTCTTTAAGTTAAAGATTACTGTAAACTGCCTACAACCGAAGTTTTGTTACAGAGCTCAAAAAAGCTGTGATTGCGAAACACATTTTACTCGTCATTGCTGTAGTTAATTTTAAGCCCATCCAAATGCGTGTTATAGAGTTGTTTGAGCCCAGGGCCGATAAGCGATAGAGTAAGGGAAATGAGCCCCTTTATACAAGCAAAAACCTGTATTGGTAGCCCAGCCAGACATCTGGCCCTGATTTGAAGACTGGATAACCCTATCACCTGGAGAAATCTGTATCAAGTGGATAGCGCAGAGCGTTTTGTCAGTAAGCATGTGCTGGATAGAAATTTATGCACTGAATAGCGTCAACTGCCCTTTGAACAACTGGGCCTCATAACTTAAAATAATCATTGAAATTGTTGGTTGGTAAAAGTTGTTTTCAATGCAGATAAAGATCGTTTACAAGCTCCAATAGATATGTAAATTTAAAGTAGACTGATTAAACTAAATTTAAAAGGTGATTGAGCAATAAAGACTGTTGATGTTAGTAAAGTCGACCAACTTAGGTTTAAACCTTGTTTCGTTTTCAGTTTCTTTAGTACGCATCTTCTGCAATTAGAACACAAAAATCAAAAGCAAGACAAAGCGAAACACGCAGGTCAAAATGCAACCGGCGAAAACATCCCATAGAAACGTAAAAAGAAGTGATCGAAAATTAATCAAAAATTTGGTGAAGAGTTGATCGATTTGATATTTGGTGCAGTTTCGGTATTTAAAAAAGGTGGGATTGGGAAAAATTCTAGAACGCCTACAGGGGTGAAAATGTCAGACATCCCTTATTTGTCGCGAGACCGCTTAAAGTTTACAATCTCAGACGCGAACGCTGTCGACGTTGCTGATCCTAGAGTATCTAGGACACTCTTATTAATGGAGCAGATGGAGCAAAGGTCTTCGCTCACTAAAGGGTTCTCTGTCGGTTAGCGGTATACCTACCATAGGACCGTAAAATGGGAGAGTCTGCCATTCGGATACTTGTAAAGGACCCAGACCCCTTTTCTTCCCCACACCTCTCCATTCTTCGTGCAAAATAGATTAAAACCTACAGTAACTAATAAGTACTGAGTGGTGAGGGAAAGCTATGTCTTTGGCAGCCATCTTTATCAATTAAGACCGAACGCGCATTCCCCAGAAAAACATACCAGATGGTGACCGCAACTGAACTTTTTGCTATTCTAACCCGTAAGGTGTGACTCCAAATTACCAAATTGCAAGTTTCTAGTTCGTCATTGTAATCCTCTTTTGCGGCGAAAAAAACAGATATTTCATTGGCCATGGACTGTACTGTCTTTGCAAGTTCTCCACTTCTGCGGTGCTGGATACTCACGGCTTTAAGTTTTTCACATCAGCTTAGATATTTGTCTGTGAACTGAATGTTCAGGAGTGTTCTAATTGGGAGGGCCGGTTTGACGGAAACACTTCAACTTTGACTAAATTCTCAGAAACCTCATCTATCAGCGAGTTATGAGTCTACATACCTCTCAGAACTAAACCATAGAGACCATACTTTTAATCATCTATTTTTTAATTTGTCATTTGTGAGCTAGTGTAAATTCTATTTACATTAATAAAGACACGAATCCAAACTGTGTAAATCGAATTACCCTTACAGTGAACATGAAGGAGTCCACTGGTAAAAAGAATATGTTATGTGCAACTCACGGGTCACAGTTTACCATCCGTGTTATTTTATACTTTAAAACTCAGGAGTGTTTTTCTTTTTACCTTCGCTAGGAGTTTTCACGGAAAACCAATGAGTTCAAGTGAGCTATGAAAGGTACAGTGTAAATTGACAATTGAATTCACCGCTATCTTTGTCGCCTTTTAGCAACTTCTTTCATCAATGGCAATAAATTGGCTTACTTGAAAATATCTCACCTTTCAATTTGCCAAATGATTTCGATGTTTGTTCGACATTTGAATCACACACGTTAAAAATTAATTCAGTCCAGTGATCAATTCGACCATTGCAGAAAATGATTTATCTGAACTCACTAGCCCTCACTCACTAGTTCGTCTCTGGTTAATGTTACCCTTTTAACTCCCATGAGTGACCAAGACAGAATTTCTCCTTACAATATCAATACAATACCGAACTGACAAGTGATGAGAATGAAGAAAAATATAAATAAGAGGATTATTAGTTGATCCAATACCAAATTCTTCAAACTAGCATCACAAGAACTGTATGGTAGACAGTAAGGAGAATTACTTAAGAGATCTTGGGAGTTAAAGGCTTGGAGTGACAGTATGTATACCCGAGTCATGCTCTCGAGAAGTCTATTTAATAGACACGTTTTGTGAAAGTTAAGTGTTAGCGTGCAGTGAGAAGAGTACAGGTGCAAAATGAGATGTGAATTGAACCCTCAGATGAACAATAGTCGGAAAATTCTCAGTCCAAGTTCACACTTCAGACGTGCCACTTGCTTGTAGATTGAGCCTTGCCTCTGACCGGGCGGAGCCTCGATCCATTCCGTCCATGGATCCTGTGTCGGCAGGTTCCACGAATCTCAGTTTCTGCTTCTGGGGTTTCGATTCACTGTCCCCGCTCGCTACGCTTGCGTTGTCGTCATCCGAGTCGAGATCGTCCTCCGACTGATCGTCGTCGTCATCATCCGAAGATTTACCTGATTGGTCGTCCTCGTTCTGGGAGGCTTCCTCTTCCAGTCTTTTCTCTTCGCGGTAATAAATGAGCTTCCTTAAAAGCTCGTTTTCATCGTGCTTTGCCATTAAATCATCAAGAACGGGAATGCTATCACAAATGTCGTTTTCCGTAAAGTCTTCGTCTGTTTCCAAAACCAGCATCATCACAATTTTTTTCTTCTTGTTTGTATTTTCCGGTTCAAACCAGTTTGTTTGCCTTATGTCCTCCATGCAGATGTTTCTCAAAGCGTACTGAACATTTTCTGAGATTTCCTCGATGCTGTCCAAGTTCAGCTCAAACTGGTTCTTTGGTTCTTTGTAGTTGGGTTTAATCGCAGGGCCAACCTGTTTACCAACGGTACGCTTGAAGGTGTGTAACATGAAGTCGAGAATTTCATGTTCGTTGGACTGTATGGACGAATCATTGGACACTTCGCTCAGTGCGTCATTTAAGATGCCGATGAAAACGTTCATGAGAACAAATAAGACCGTCACCACGTACAAGAAGAAGAACACGGGACCAAGAATTCGGCTCGAACTTGTCAAAGAACCGAAGTCAAAACTTCCCAACGTCATGGACATCATGCTTCCCAAAGTCTTTGGGAATGACGCATAGTCTTCATTATCGATTCCAAACACCACAAACGCAAACTGCGAAAAAGCCAAGAACAGTATGAAGAACAACAGCATGAACGACGACAGAGGTTTACTAGCAAGTTTAATGGTTATCATCAGGGTGGAAACGCGTCGGTTGAATTTCAACAGACGGAGGAATTTTAATACTGAGAAGAACACTGCCATGGCTGTTGTGGCGGACACCCATTCATCCAAGAATGCCACGTACTGAAAGCTTACAAACTTGTCTGGTGTATCTTGCATGCTGCGAAGACTGTATTTGGTGAGGGCCAGACGCGCGAAATAAAGCCCCACTGCTGACAACGAAAATCCAAGAACTAACAGCTCTGGATAGTTCCACGGGTCTTTGAAATACTCTCGTCGCTCAGCCCTGTATTTCTTGACCTGCCTATAGAGAAAGTAAAGCAGAAACGCCATGTAGCCTAATTCGCAGGCCATTACAAACACCATTTCTGGCCCTACATAGCGGTAGAGTCGGATTGTTTGAATTCTAGGGCTCAAATGGTACCCTCCTGATGGAAGAATCTCGGTTAGCAGAGTAACGACACAGAAGAAGTTCGTCTCAGCATTGTAAATCGCGAATTCTGCAAAGATTGCTCTGGTATACCGGTCTATCCAGCCTAAGGAAGAGAGTTCTTTGGCTATCTCTTCGGCTTCATCTCGTTTGGCTCCAAAGTCTGCCACGTAACCTGAAAGGAAGTTCCAATAATAACTTTACTTAATATAACTCTGACATTTATTGTATCTTTTCACAAAGCACTATCCCTCACTCTGTTCCTCTTGCATCTGCGCTTTAAAAATTACTGATATGTGGTGTCTTTTTCGTACTCAAATGTGAGAAAAGTTCAGTATTGTTTGCTTAACTCTTCAAAAGATGACATGATATCGTGTCCCTAAGGTAGTATGCACGTTGTGTGGAAGGGGTCCTTTTTTACAGTCTAGTCTTAACAATTGCTCGCTGTTAGATCAGAAGTCATTCGCCTGTTGCCACAGTACTGGTCTAAAAACTCTTTTTCTCACCTACTACTATAAAACAGTGACGGCCATTTCTCATTCGATAACGTTTGGTAGTTGAGAGTCTGTAGACTTACTATAATAACAATTTTGCACATTTCGATAGAAAAAGGCAGTAAACAAAAACGTTTTATAGATGAAGACTATTGCGTCTTTCTGGCTTCTTGTTCTATCTTTAACTGCAATGTCCTTGGCGTCTAAGGGGAACAGTAGTCCAATTAGGTGTGTATGCGTTTCAGTTTTACCATATCGACAATAATTGACTCACCTCCTCCCAGGTAAGTAGCAAATTTTCCCCAGTAAGGAGTTCCCTTTAGTTTCCATTGCGTCTGATAGGTCCATGGGGTCTCCTTCATTTCCTCAGTGCTTGTATTGGATGGCACTGGCACCCAGCCTTCCTCGTAATATTCTTTATCTTCATAGTCCCAATCATAGGCTAAGTTGCATTGGTCGAACAGAGCACGGAATGTCGGAAGCAAGCTGCATTTGTCTGAAACATGTGAACTCGATAAGAAAATGGAAGAGAAATGATAAAAACTGTCCTTCCGTCCATCAGTCAGTCAATCAGTCAGTCAGTCAGTCAGTCAGTCGGCGAGTCACTCATTTCGCCAGCTCATCTGTCTGTCAACCATTTACTTGGTAAGCCATTTAATCAGCCGCACAATCAGGTAGTAGTCATTCAGTTAGTTTGTTCAGTCTGTGAATCGGTAAGAAAGTCCGTCCGTCCGCTTGTCAACAGTTCATCAATCAACCAGTCCTGCCATCCAGGAAGTCCGTGACTTAATCTCTCGTCGGCTGGTCAGAGTCGAACACTTAATGAGTCGGCCGTTAGTATAATACGTAAGTCCATCAATCTATTCGCCTATCTCTCCGTACGTCATTCAGTCAGTCATTGTGTCGTTCAGCTGGTCAATCGGTCGGTTGATCGGTCAGTCGGGAAGCCATTATGTCCGTTAATTAGTCATTCAGGCATTATATCGGTCAGTCTGTCGGTCAATCGGTCAGTCGGTAAGCCATTAGGTTAGTCAATTAGTAAGTCGGTCATTACATCGGTCAGTCTGTCAATCGGTCGGTCGGTCAGTCGGTCAGTCGGTAAGCCATTATGTCAGTCAATAAGTCAGTCAGTCAGTCATTACATCGGTCAGTCTGTCAGTCAGTCAGTCGGTCAGTCGGTTATACAATCTTTAACCTCTGAGAACTGAAACTGACTTACTTTTCTGTATCCTGAGTTGGCGAAGTCTTGGCGTTCCTATAAGATACGCCGTGCTATGATCAGCGACAAACTTGCCTTCGTAGCTAAACAACACCAAGGACGAACCATCATTATATTTGCTGCCAGTTGTTTTCGTGCTCACAACCTTTTTATGTTTCGTTCTTTTTGTATCACTGTTGGTAGCTTCTTCATTCACAATGTCTTTGTTATCAATTGCAACGGGGCCATACCAGTACCGTGGCATCAGAGTAGGGATGAACGTTTGCTGAGCCCACTCCCAGTAAGATCGATAATCTGATACCTGATGTGGAATGAGAGGATGTTTGGCACCAGTCACTTCTTATTGCCCGTGGAGGGGGGGGGGAGGATTTTGGGGGATCGGTCGCCGCCAACATAGTATAAAAGGGGGAATATAGAAAATTGACTGCTAATTAACCGCCAATGAGAAGGAAGGGGGGGGGGCGGGGCGGGGCGGATCATAAGAACATTAAAGAGCCTTAGGGGAGGATCAAGTAGATATTATCGAGACACAACTATTTAATTAATGACCGGTTCCTTACTTCTTAGGTTGATCTCGTAAGATTGATTTAACCTTTTACACCCTTACATCAGTGTGCACATTCTCTATACTGTTTTCTATAAATTTGTTAAGGTTCTGACAGGGAGAATTTTCTGTAACAATCAAGAACTTTTTTATCTGTTGATCGTTTCCTTTATTCACGTGACCTACATGTGTGATTCAGGGGTGATATTGTGAGGAGAGGTTACATGCTAGACACTATCAGAGGACGAAGGGCTGATGAGCATGACCCCCTCTTTGACAGGAAATTGGACAATTTGTATAGGTAATCACATGATTTCGAGTGCAATTTGGAATAAATAAGCACAAGTAAATTTTTTTAAAGACTAACAAAATTGCACGAGCCCGTAGGGCGAGTGCAATTTGTGGTCTTTGAAAAAATTAACAAGTGCTTGTTTATTCCAAATTGCACGAGAAAAATCATGTGATTATGTGTTAATAATATACATGGAAAAATACGAGATGGCTTATCATAATTAAACATAAGCAAAGCGCGCGCATCAAGTGCAAAAAATAATTTATTCAAACCGTGCGTTCGGTCAAAACAACCGCGTAGGATCAAAACAATAATAGGCAATGATATCTTCACATCTTTAAGGTGCAAGAAAGTTCAAAGTCCGGCTAAACAGTTCAAGGAATAGTTCAGTCTGTGTCCGAAGCACTTTCGATGAAATGGAATTGTTGTTTCCGAGGTTTAACTATGACCGTTTTTAATTTCGGCGTTGGATCGCTCGAGCAAAGTGTTAAGCTGGGTCGGCTCGTAATTTTCGATTTCCTTGGCAATTCCCTTCTCTACACACCACTTTTTCCAAACTGACAACCACAAAGCAGAGCTTTTTATAGTGTTTTCGTTGTTTAAGCTGTTTTTCAGCTACGGCGGCGAAAAAAAAACCCACTTAAAACGCCGGCCATTGTTTCGTTTGCAAATTTTCAAATTTTGTTGCTACATCCAAGGCTCGCATTTGATTGGCTATCTGTGAGTTTCTATGATTATTGACCAATCAGAATGTCTGATTTGTTTCTTTCTTTGCACTGAATTAACCCTCTTCTGCACTGAATTACCTGAAAACTGCATTTATCTTAACCAATCAGAACTGAGTAATTTTTCCATGTATAATATTAACAATAAAACAGCCTGGCATTTCCCCAAATTGGTACTTTGGATTATGGACACTAGATTGGTCCAGAAAGCTCGCGCTATTTTCTCAACCAATACGATTCAGAAACCAAACACAACTTGGTTACCCGCGTTTTCCCGCGCTTTAGGCAGTTCGCCTGTTTTTACTTTGAATTCTAATTGACTGCTCTTGAAACTTTCCTTTCGTCTGATTGGCTGTTGCGATAACTTTGGCTATGGTTTTATGACACTTGATCGAAAAGCGCTATAAAAAAAATAATTGTAAAAATTGCATGAGGCAACAAAACAACAATGACACCAGACCATCAAGCTGTTAACGTACAGCAACTTAAAGACACTAAAAGTAAGTAAAAAAAAAAGGCTAATTATTTTTACCTCGTCAAATGCACCAAGCCCTGTGTATTTCCCATCCTCAAATATGTTTCTCATAGCACTTGTCACTTGGAAGCCCATCGGGTCCCGGCTGCCATAAGCCACAACCAGTAACACGCTAAGGAAAACGAAGTATTGAACAATTTCACGTATGATCACCTTCATGGCTTTTTGCTTAACCTTGAGTCGACGGGCATATTCAAGCTTTTCTTCGTTAGGTGGTTTATCAACAAAGCCAATTTTTCTCAGAGTTTTCTCCTCTTCGCTGTTTTGTGTTTTGTTATGAATTGTTTCCTCGTCGGGGTTTAATTCGTTGGCTTCCTGTTCATTTTCTTCTTCTGCCTTGTTGGGATCTTTGATCACCACTGCAAAGAACATGGCAGCTGCGAAAACCTAAAAGCAAACGAACAAAACAGAATAGGTGATGGACGATTTTCACTTTATTGCCGAAAAATTTCCCTTTAATTTGAATCGATTGCTTTCTTTCTGCCGTTGCTTCACACGTTCAATACTTTGTATAAGTTCTTCTCAACCAATCAGATACAAACTTGAGCCAATTACGACTTGGTGGCGTGCATTTTCCCGTGCTTTAAGAAGTTTTGATGTTTTTACTTTGAGTCCTCATTGGCTCTTAAAGGTATTTTCCTCTCTTTTGATTGGCTGTTTTGATTAATTTGGTTTTGGGTTTACGACGCTCAATCGAAAAGCGCTCTATGTGTCACCATTTTCTACTAGCTCATAGTTCATGTACTTTAACTTCAATTTTTCTTTTCAGTGTTACTTCAGTCCTGGCTGCGCTATAGAAGGTAGATAAATGCTGTTTCAATCCGATTGCACTTAGCAATGCATAGCAAAAACTTTGAATGCATATGCCTTTCACCACATTTTTGAAGGAAATATCGACCAAAACAACTAGCTAAAGTCACAGTCCAGACCTGACGTTGAGAACTAACTAATAACGGAAGGTCCTGAAGGAATAGAAGCTCACCTTAAGAGGCTGTGAAATGAGTACGTCTTGCCAAAACGAAATCATCATCGACGACAACCAGCCTGCAGATTTTTCTTTTCCGAACGTCAGCCCGTAAAACACAGTAAAAGTTGCTGAAACTGTACAGGAGACAAAAACCAAGACGTAGGAGATATAGATAAAAAAATGTGGAAGAGTCTTTTTCTTCTTCTTTTTGTTTTCCTTTTTCTTCTCGTCGTCCTCTTTTTCAGCGGCTTCCGCCTCTTTGCTGGTTTGGTTTGCTTTCTCGCCGGATAGTTCATATTTTGGGCTTTGTCCGTGAGGATCCTGGTCTTTGTCAAGGCCTTTCTTGGCTTCTGCTGGCCGCGCCTTGCGGAAAAATGTCACAATCAACACGTTGACTGGAAGTACGACTAAGCTGCTGGTAATACCGATGGAAAGTTGTTTTATAGAAAAACTGAAAGGCCCGATGTGAACAGACGTCCCACTTGAAGACTCGGTTCCCACTTGATAAAACATCGCGTTAGCAAGCATCGTGCAGAGTAAGATTGATAAACAACAGGAGAGACGCTGCACTCGTGTGAAATTACTTTTCGCCGGGCGTGTGACGACGGAGAACCACAGATGCCCGTCTGTCAAATTCTTCCGAGCTTCAGTAGAGAATAGCAGATTGAAGCTGGTGAGCTCCTCTTTACTGGCTGGGGTCAGTACGCGCTCAACGCATCCATCATCTTCCTCCACGGCTAGCCAGCGATCGCAAATAAACCAGGTCTTGATATCACTTTGTACATCATGTACCATGACCCTAAGAAGGTACCAAGACGGATCATCGCCAGTGTTGTCGTGCCAAATTCTCAAAGTCTTCAGCTTTCCTAAGCACCGAGGCACGCTCAATAAAAAGTAATCCACATTTCCGCGACAAAACTTTCTCCGGCCGGGTTCCGTGTCTTTTAAGCGACGAGGAGAGGTTTCGTCTAGACCACCAGTTAGCACCATACGAACCTCGGATGATGTTCCTGCATGACTCGAGTATCCCGTGTAAACTACCACCTCGTACATGTACGTGTCACGCGGGTCGTTGTCTGGTAGAGGAGCGACTCCAACCTGCGAAAATTAACGAAAACAAAACAAGACAATCATTAGCAGTGAAGTAAGGAAAATGGCTAAGAAGCCCACGAAAAAATCGTTTTTCTCTTCCTTTCGCCGCCTGGCTTCTATTCGTCATTGACCATGTTTAATAAGGGAGCATAAACGAGTTAAGAATACCCTACTTTGTGCTGGTGTACAGTTATCATTATATACTCAGTGAGCTGAACTTTCTTACTTTTTTCATAAATCTACGGATTTACTTATTTCCTCTACAAAAAGATTAAAGACGGTAATTGTAAAAAATACACTTATCATATGATTGGCAAGGTAGTCCTGAGGTGAATCCGAGCTTTCTGATTGGTTCTTAAACTGATTGGTCGAAGTGCCATATGATAAATTACTTACTTAACTTGCTTGCTCGAGCCATGCTGGGGAATATTGGCCCTCGGTCATTCTTGTGGGGACCTCGCTGAGCTCGGTCCGTGCTGCAACGACCTCGGGCCAATATTCCTCAGTACGGCCCCCGAGCTTGGTTAGTAAGAAGTTATTATGTATGGCGAAAGATGAAACGAAAGAAATCTGTGAGGATCCGGAAACGAATGTGTTTGTGGTAAAATGAGAAAAAAAGCGGTCTCTGCCTTCTCAATTGCGGCAATATATGCATTTTCACCATTCGAACCCTATGATCGCAAAATCAAATAATAAGCTAAAAGCTCATAATATGAAATGGGACAAGTACAAAAAAATTATTAGATGATATAGAATCTCATGTTTGTTGCTGCGCTGTACTAGTATGATATTTAGAAGCCGAGGAGAGCTAAGAGGAACTGTGGGTTGTGTATGTAGATATATGATGTACCGTGTCTGTCTGTTTATGTGAATTATGTTTGTTTATGAAAAATGTATGTAACTTTGAATTAATAAAAATTAATAAAATACAAAAAAAAAAACAAAAAAAAAAACCATTCGAACCCTAAGAGTAAACAAGCATCTAATTTCTCCTTACAATATCACCACTGAATCACTCGTTAAGATCACGAGAATAAAGGAAATAATCACCAACTAAAGAAACTCTTGATTCTTAAACAAATTCTCCTTACCAGCACCTCAGGAAATGTACGGCGAACAGTATGGAGAATATGCATACTGATGTTGGGGTTTAAAGGGTAAAGATCAGAATAACCTCACAATACAGTACAGCGCTCTACGTTCTAAATTTCTTTTTAAAATTGAACAACATTTAGTAGAATGAACCAATAAAACGTTAAAAAAGCGCAAAGTGATTATTAGTTACATCATCAAGAGTTAATAAACAGCGAGGTACCTTTTCCAAGTCTTTTCTGTCCGCTCGTCTCGCCCATAAAACTAGAAGGAAATACAGACCGAATATACCACACACCACTGAGAATACCAAAGGGTTATTGAGCAGCTCTGCCAAAGAGACTTTATCCCAGTCGATTTTGTTGGGTGGCACGAAAAAGTCACTTGCGAAAGATGTCAGATGGTTGCACCGACAGTGTCGTTCCGTTGGAGTCGTTAGCGGACCAGCCTTGACGTGGAAGAAATCGCATTACAACAAATCAAACCAATTTTTATTCAAGTCGAATTTCAAGCTACAGTGTGGGGTCGATAAACTCTATTGTCTGCAATTTCTTTAATTGAGGTTAACATTTGAGAATCTATTCCTCACGTATAATCTACATGCCGCATACGATTTCACATATTTCGCATACTTCGTCAACTCCCAGACGGGGGAGGGGGTGGGGGGAATGGCATATCAGAGTGGGGAGCTTCTTTGAGACAAGAGCATGTCTTCACTAATTTTTTAAACGGAAACATAATAATCATTACCTTGCAACCATCGTAATCCCATGTCTTATTGATAGTGTTGTAGTATTTGCAAGTACTTTCAAATATTGTGATGTTCAGCTTGTTTTCCGCGGGGGGCTTTTCATCGCCATTTTGTTGAACAGATCCATTGTAGTAAAAGCCGAAGAACCAGATACCGCTAGCCGTTTGGTTCAAAGCATCGTTGTCCAAGAACATTTGATGAAGTTGCGGATCAGACTGCGCATCAGTTGAATTTTCGCTCGACGCAGTCTCCTCAGACTCGTTCCTAAACAGATTGTTCGGTATAGTTTGACGAAAGTCGTAGTCAGTTGTTGATGGTTTGGATCCTCTCTTGCAGAATATCACAGTTTGTGTGCCATTATGCTCTGGGACAGCCCACACGTATATTGCACTTTTATTGTTCGTCACGTTTAACTCCATCATAAGCATATCACTCATTTTGATGGTGTATGTTTCAGGCTTTGCCAAGCCATTTTTCGCCGGAACAAAAATATCCATGTATAAGGTGAGGTTAGAGATGTTCTTAGGATTTCCACTTTCATCTTTGAGTTCTAATTGAGTGACCCCGCTGTCAACCTTTCCAGCGGATTTACCATAGGGACTGCCACTGAAAGAGGACATCTGTAAAAGATCGAGAAAATTTTGATAATCATTATCATTCTCGTACGAAATCTTCATTGCAAATATCTTAGCTGATGTCGTTGCGTTGTAGAGTCGAAAAACATTGAGACCAAGAGCTTTTTGCGAACTGCGGATTGTGATTTCCGCGATTTGGTTGCGTGCGGCATGGCTACTAAGATTTTCCAAAATGGCAGATACCATAGCAAAGTTTTTAACGCATTTTAAGCAAATTTTTGAAAAGTTTGGTTACTTAAAATCAAGAATCGTCATAATTAGTAAACCTTTCATGCACAATTTGTCTCTAAAAAATGAAAATGGAACGGTTTCCTGGGATGAGTCCCTCTTTCCCTGTATTATTCAGTTTTGAGGTTGGTGTCATCTACTATCATCCTCAAAATCTTTTGAATACAACTTTAGCACATACTTGCATCTGAACTGGTTCAGACGAGTTCTTATCGACAGCCGCGCCGAGATTCTTGATTTTACTTCCGCCAGCTTCAACCCCCTTCACGTTGCTCATGCTCTCTTTCTTTGCCTTAAGACTGAGATCTGCACTCTCCACTTTGAACTCTTCGCCAGTAATCAAAGAGTTACCAGCAGTAGATAAAATCACGTTAGTAACTTCAAGTGTCTTTTGCTTGGCCTTCTCGTCCTCGTCATCACCCTGTGGTAAAGAAATCCATTTTTAGAATGCTTCATGTGCGCCCGTTTTAAGAGTCAGCACTCTATCATTGTGTCGTTATTGTCAATGATATTTAGCTTGCATATTTTCCAGCAATTATTATAATTATGTTACATCCATGTCACCATCTCAATTTTGATTGGTTAAAAGTACGAAGCCATGTCTCACTGTCCTTATATTATACCTATGGACGATAGTTTTGATTTATGTGGGAGGGATTTACAGACAATATTTTCAAAGCAAGTAGAGTGTGTGTTTGAAACCTGGTCTTGATAACTCTGGTTATCGTCCGCAGCCTTGTTCTATAATGGTTACACAGCTGCTACAAATCATAAACAAATCTTCCTCGAAATGTGTACCCTTCGTTACCAAATATCGTCCTTTCAGACCCTTTTCGAGCTAATTTGGATAAATTTTGAGCAACATCCTTGGTTCTCTTTGATATAGTAAACAAAACAAATTCAAGAGGCGTTCTCGATCAATTTTAACAGTCTCAAGACTGATAAAATTTGATAACCTAGCAACTTGTCGTCGACCAAGGGCTAATGCTCGAAACAGCATCTTTGCAAACTTGTTTACGACCGAATAAGAAAGATGGTAAATTTAAAGCTCGGTGAAGACATAGAGAAAGATGTCTTGCCACGAGCGTGGTAACTTCTTTGTTATTCTTCTTTACAATCATGACGCTACTGACACTGCTGATGCTTGCAGTATTCAGGACGCGTGTCATATATGAACTTCGTAATGTCCTTGCTCAACGTAGAGTCTCTGTGGCTCATTGGAATCCGAAGGTCTGAGGTTCGATTTCTCGAGGGGACCGAGAAGTTTTTCTTCGTCCCACGCTCTTGGCAAGACGAAGAACATCTTTCTCTATTGTTTACGACTACGTGTCTACCTTTTACGACTAACAACTAACTAAAGAGGATCAATCAGCCTCGTTTTCAATTTTATTGTATAAAAAAACGGACTACGAACATGGCAGGAGTTGAAAGCAAAGCCATGAGCAAACTACAATCCCTCTACAAAGCATTCGCAGTTTTACACACCTAAAAATAGACCACACACATACTAACGTCTTATTAGCCGAGTGTAAGGGCTACACTGGGGAATATTGGCCCGAGGTCGTGATAGTGCGGACGAGCCAGTATACCATAGTAGGGTAAAATTATTATATCGCACTTGTACCAAACGTCTTTTCTTGAATTTGCAGGCTTACTCAAACAAAAATACGCGGCTAATGACTGTATCCGTGGAAACGGTCCGTTTGGCAAAATCCTGACCAAGTAAGAACTAATTTGAACGCTTGGATCTACCTCATATTATAAAGTCGGATAAAAATCAACAGGATGCTCTGCGCATTCTGATTAGTGAGAAACCTAGCGTAGATAACGTCTATTTAATTTCTTTCTTCACCTTTAAAGTTGGTAGGGTAATTATGGAATGAGCAGTGTGTGTCTTTAGAAACAGCATTTACCTTATCTTCGGTAGAGTCCTCGGAAGATTTTTGTCCCTCATCACCACCGGGAATTAATACAGCACTGATGCTGGTCACAAGAGACTTCGCTAAGTTTTCCCGTTTCTTGGAACTCATTGGAGAGTGGAGGACACCGGCACATTTTGACATGGTTTCAGCCATTTTACCCTGCAAGTCAACATCAAATTGCTGTAAGTATTTACAATACCTATGACAAAATGATTGATTTCTGATAGAAAAGTGAAACATTTACCCTGGAAGCTTTCAATCTCAAACAACTCGGTTCATATTTCGGACAGTGGACAGCCGCGCGTCAATTTTTCCGCCCAAAGACGAGAAAAGGAAGAGACCGCTGTCACGCAAACTAGGCGCAAAAAAAATCAAAACGTTCATAGAAATTTGCGAAAGGAAGCGAAAGAAAGGAAAAGGAAAACTCAAGATTTTTTCGAATACAAAGCTTATCAAATCACTGATATCCTGTTGATTTAATAGTTTGTTTTGAGCTTTCACGAAGACGTAATACGATTTTAGAGGACTGTGACTAACTGACCTATGTGGTTGTTTGTAACTCCTGTCAAACAAAGTCATTATAGGACTGTCTGCAAAAAAGTGTCTTAGCCACTACAACGTCGAACATGCGCAATTGTTTGACTGCTGTGTACCCTTTTATGCTCTTGGCTGGAAAAAGGAACTGTGAGAGTCAGATGTACCACAATGTGTCGAAAGAGATATCAACCCTGACGCTCATCCTGAACCAGTAAGCTTACGATCAAATTATCGCGTCTCTCGTCTCACGTAGAAGTAAAAGCCTGTTTACATGGAGGTAAGGAACCCCGGGTAGGCGAGGCAACCCGCTTAGGTGGGGTAGCCCGACTGTACTTAGTATCTCTTATTTTAGCTTGATCACGTTTACATGATAGGTGGAATAACCCACCTAGGCGGGTATCCCGGTCAGCGGGGTTGGGTTACCCTGTCAGTCGGGCTCACAATTTGCCAAACGTAAATGTCTCCAGGTGGGGTGGCCCGATTAGCCGGGGTCGCATTCATGTTACATTTGCAAGCGCGCCAACAACCTCTAGGAACTTAACTAAGGAATCCCGGGGTTGTAAGATTGTATGTAAACGCGTGCTATCAGCCGTTACACTGAGACTTCGCACTGGTTTTTTTTATGTGTGAAAGTTTTTTGTTGCCATTCCTCACTACCTTCGCATCAGATGAGAGTGTCGTCTTAGGTCCAGTGTTGATAGCTTCCAAAGCTCCTGTTATCTTTAAGGCATCTTCAGGGTTTGAGGGAGGAGGTATCTTTGTAAGTATTCCAACGAGCATTTCTTTCCTCTGCATAAGACAATAAATAGTAAAGAAAGACAAAGTTTGGAAGGGTGTCACGTTTCGCTGAAAGCAAAACATTAAAATACAGGAAATGTTTTAAAAATATTTAATCCACGCGTCGGCATTCGTTAATTGAGATATAGAGTCCGCAGAGAGTTTGGCAAGAGATGCGCAATAGTTTCCTCTTAACTTTCGATAAAAGAGCTTCATATCTCAATGAACGCGAAACCATCACATAAAGCATCTGTTTTCTAACATTTCAGTCAATGTTGTATTTTAATCGTTGTATAAAAAGAATTTTTCTCTCTTCTGGTTCATTGCAAACACCCCGTCATTCAGCCTGCACAATGGGAATATGAAGCGTCTTATTACGATTTAATATTAATCCAAGAATTTACAAGAAGCCGAGCAGTTATCAATTATTAATTGCAAGAGAGTACCATTGTGAAAATCTGAACTTGAACCTGGTAATTCTTCATCCACATCACAACTCGGCTTCTATTTCACGACGCGACGCCTATCCCTTTAGCGGGCGGGGTATGTTGGTCTGTTGGTCTTTTGATTCCCGCGGAAATTTACTTTAGCTCATTTATATTGCTGATTGGAGAAAGACACAGCGAGAGTGGGGTGTCTGGCCAAGCTAACAACTCAATGAGCCAATCACGGCTGCATGTGCTGTACTCTTTCCCAAAGTGCGGCGCATTCAGCTACCGTATCTCGTAAACTTAGTATTCTATACTTAAACACTATCGCCAAAAGGATTTTTGGGAAAAATAGCTCGTAACTGCACTGATGCTATGTTTTGTCTTGTCCGTAAGACTGCTTATGAGACATTGCAGGATGTGAAGGCAAATTAAATTGGTTTGGTAAAGACACGGGATACATCTGTATCACACAAAGCAAACCTTACCTCCTTCTGTTTCTTCTGCTCTTCCTCACTAGTTGTCTCTTCATTCTGCTCAGAATCTTGTTGGGCTGATTGGGCGGACATAGCAGAAGCAACTCCACCGATCGCATTCAACGCCGCATCGGGATCACCAGAGCTTATAAGTACATCGATATTAGCTGTTGCTTCATCCAACTTGGCAGAAATTTCTTCGGCGTTTCCTGCGGGCATTTTGACCTTGAAAGGAAACCAAAACACAGCCGTTAGGTAAACTTTGCTACTTTTAACAGAATTACGGCTTACCAAGCTCATTTATGATTTTAAAACTAGTGTCTAACTCTAAATGAATACAGATTATACCGTTGCTATGATGATATTTGTTTAGTCGCAGCAATAAGGATGGACTTGTTTGCCAGTAAAAAATAATTCTTTCCTTTGCGATCAGGGCTTTCTACCAATTACAGCTGTGCATCAAGCTACAGCTGAGGTACCGACTTTCACAGAAAACCCTACCCTTTAAAAAAATTAATTGTTTAACAATGAACTACCTACAAACAATTTCTACAGCTATTGGCATCCCTTTCTTATCTAGGCTCCTGGAATGAGGGGGGAGGGAGGGCGGGGTGAGGGACCTATCTTGAAGGATGAAGCACTGAATAAGTGGGGCGCTCACTTAATTTATTTCCAAATCGTGGTCAGATATGCTCGCTTTCTGTTTTTTCTTTTGTTGGTGATAGAAATTCCGAGCTTAAAAAATAACACAAACTGTGTCTTGACATGTAATACTCATACTAAACAGTTTCTAAAGTTTTCATTGCGGCATAGAAGGTTCTTTGAGATCCGAACGAGTCTAAAACCTCATGAAAGGATTCTAATCACCCTTAGTATGCACTTAACTGGTTCGGCGCAACAAATCACTGAGGGGTGGGCTCATTTTAAGTGGCACAAGAGCGTAGCTAAGGGGGAGGGGGTCTAGGGGCGCCCGTGACTCGCCTTTTGTAAGCCTTTTTTAAACAAACAACCTTTACTACTCAGGTGGCGAAAAATCCATGACGATATCTTGGCCGCAAAGGTCATTTTTGGAAAGCCCCCTTTTTTAAAATATATTTTTTATCATACTAATTTTGCCAGTGGCTCTTATATTTAGTCAATATGGGCCTCCATGCCGCGTTACTACGAGCCCTCTGATAAACAAGGGGGGCAGCTGTATAAGCCATTTAACAATTGGTTCATACGTCAGCGTGCGTTCATCGAGAAGCGGGAAGTTTGGAGAGCATAAAAGATGCGTAAGAGTTGCTCTAGACGTAGCCGAGAGCAACTCTAGCTTCTTGAGTGCTAGATTTGTTTGCTGGCGTCATGAGCGTGCACAATAGGAATATGAAGCACGCTCACGCAATTGAATTTGATTAGACAAATTTACGCGCTATGTTATAAATATAGTTGGCCATTTAAGCTTGAAAATATCGAAACAAACGAAAGTTTTCAGCTCAGAAATGAGAGGTAAGGAATATTCTTTATCAGATTTAGGTTGAAGTCTTTCTTCTCCGACGATCAGCATCTAAGGTTTGCTCCAGTGTGCCCTCCCCCCTTTTGAAAAATAGTGGCTACCCCCTGGAATCCTCTCGTCAAGCGGAGGATTCCTTCATAAGAAGACAAAACCCACAACCTGGAATAGCCCAGGAGTGGAGGGGAGGGGAAGGGAGGGGGGGGTCTTACCTGCACTTCTACGGGGAATTTTGTGTCAGCATCGTCTTCATCTTTGATTGTAATAAAGACGTTAATCCAGTTTTCATTCTGAGCTAAGCCAACTGGTAAAGTTTTAGATGACAGAGAATAAGACTGATCGAGAGAAAGTGGCTCGGCGGGCGAAATGGGAAGTTCTGCTTGACCAGTCTCGACACTGGCTGTTACACTGTAGATCAGTTTAGTATCGTCAACCCATCCGGAACAAGTGATTTTGAAGTCAGGCTGCAGGGCGAAACCCTGCTTTGGACTGACATCACAAGATCCTCCCTCGGGCGGCTTGTTCACCTCCTTTTCATATTCTGCAAATCCAAACACTTGTTTTTTAGTTGATTTAACCCAGCTTTCCAAGCGGAATTTGTAAGTTTTCCCCCCTGTAAGCGTCTCAGGTTTCACGGCAAGTGTTTTTCCGTCGAGAGGAGTGGCCACCATGTCGGCTGGATTTGAAACATCATCATACTTATCACCATTTTTTACAGATATTATCCACAGGTATGCGACAGCATTCGGATCACCGCATAAATCACAAACAGCGTTTCCAATCAAATTCAGGTTTACCGAGGGGTTTACCTTCCTTCCACAGTTTGGAGCTAGATTGGAACAGCTAAAAAAGATTAGACAAAACAATCTGTAAGGCGTTTGCGAATTCAGCAGATTACATACAACAAGACATTATTGAATAGAAATTAAGACATTTCTGATCAACCCCTCCCCTAACCCAACATTGTCCCTAACTTGTTATCAGTTGACTGTTGTTGGGTTAAGGGATACTGACACTGATCCAAAACGTTTGTTTGTGATTCACTTACGTAATCGCCACTTCAGGAGGGTCTCCAGCTGTTATTTGCAAAGTAATGCAAGCAGTACTTTTCCGCGTATCCTTGCTGACCTGAACACACACGTCATAATCTGAGAGGGCTGTCATCCTGAGCGTGTTAAATGTGATCTTTGGCTCGGATGTATTTAGTCTTCCAAGAGGATACCCAAAGCAGCCGTCCGCATCAAGCTCGGTGGAGGTGCTATTGGTGTCATTACCCGAATTCGTTATTGGAATTGGTATTATGGGGTAGGCGTCGAGCTGGGTGCAGTTTTCCAACAGGTCAGGGTTGTAGCTTCCCTTCTTAGCGCAGAACCAACAGAATTGAAAGTCACTTGGATTGCTATTAACTTCGTCTGGATCAGTGCTTTCGAGGCTACTGACTGTTGTATCTTTTCCCTGCCCCACTGCTCTGGATGTCCCCTGATCTATTACTGCTTCTATGTCAGATGCTTCCATTTTGATGTAACCATAGGAATAGCTGACGACTCCTGTTACGTTGACCATAGCCACGCTAAAAATAAGACGGAATATCCCGTACTCTGAAATCCCTCTGGCGGGAACATCCAGGCTTGGAGCAGTCAATGAGATAGACGTTGCTAGAGTAACACTCCTCTCCTTGGAGACAGTTTCCATTTTATTAACTTGCCATTGAAACTCAGTCTTGTCAGTTGCTTCGCAGTCTAGAGCTATGACGTTGCTGATCTTGAACCCCTTCTTTTTAAGGTACCCTACCGCGTTTTCAGGGCTAAGTCCGACCAAATTAGATTTCATGGTCACATTGGGGAAGTTGCATTTCTTTTGTGTACACACCCCTTCACCTCTTTTGACAATGGTGTTAACCAGATTGCACGCAGTGACAGTCACGTTGAATGGTCCAACCTTAGAGCACTGGTGCGTCCAGGAGAATTGTGTAGGATTATTACTCAAGACTTTGACCTCTGAACTTGCTCCGCCACAAGCTGAAGGACACGATTTGGAGTTTTTGAAGTTCATGAGTTTGTAGCCGCTAATGTTAACAAAAAAGCACGAGTCAGTTCCAGCTTCGTCGAGAAGAACTTCAAATAAAATAGGTTTGCCTAGAGTTTGAGATCCATCCGTTTGGAATTTGTTAATTCTGATCATACGCTGCATGTTGACGACTCTAATTGTAATGTTACGACTAATAGCATTTTCGGCAATAAGCTTGACTTCGTACGTTCCAGGGTGTTTAAAAGTATGATTCAAGGAAATGTTCATCGTAGTTACACTTTCTCCATCATCGAAGTCCCAGAAGTAAGACACATTTGTCCCATTTCTAATAAAGGTGCTAAACATGACTGGAAAATCATTTGGAAAGTATGTATTCCCCGGACCTTTCCCTGGCTTGCCTTCTTCCTCCTTGGGTCCTGTATGAGCGAGAAAGGTTTTTAAACCTGCTATTGGTGTTTGAACTTCGACTTCAGTCTCCAAGAAGGCGAACTGCACTTGATTGACAATGGTAATATTCATGACGTAGGCGCCGTGGTTTTGATAGCTGTGCTGTAGTACGAGAGGAGCGGAAAAAGGCTGATCCGCGGACATGCTTCCGTCGCCATAATACACCGTGTAGTTTGCATCAGTTGGGGGCTCTTCTCCCGGCACGACCGAAATCGTAAAAGTGATCGTCCCCGATGGAATCGCCTGTGGGCTGTTCGTCGTAAGTGTTAAATTAGGGGGATTTTGTATGAAAACAGGGATAACACTAGTAAAGTTACTGACGCTGTTGTTACCAAAAAGTTGAATTATATATTCGCCCTCATCGTGAAACGTATGCTCAATAGTTATGCCGTCGACAGGAAAGGGTCCAAGGTAGTTTTGTTGTATAACCGGTGAACCATCAGTGAAATTCCACCACAGGCTTACGTTAGATCCAGTTTTTAAACTAAGCGAGAAGTTTGTCGCTATGTGCACCTCCACAAACTTACTGGCACGCGTGAGAACTGGAGTAGATATTGGAATATCGATCATGACGCTTTGATAAATGGTTTGACGTGGAGTGACATAATTGATGGCTGTCACCATGAGTTCGTAAATGCCGAGTAAGGGCATCATGTCTGAAGTTATGACAGCTGATCCGGATGTCGTGCCCTTTGACGTAGTGACGTCTGTCACATTAAAGGAAACCCCATCGATCACGTGCGTAAATGTTACATTAAATATGGCGTCGGTACCTGAAACAGTACTCCAGGTCACCGTGAAATCCACTTGAAACGGTTTGGCAACAGGGTCATCAACATTAAAGCCGAGAATCGGAATCTCGACGATGGCTGTGGCTTCTGCAGTTGTGTTGTACAAGCGGTTGGTGCAATTCAAAGCAATGTTATAATGCCCCACAGCACTATAATTGTGATATGTGAAATTTCCAAGATCTACGAAGTGAGTTTCACTGGATTTACCGTCCGCCCAATTCCAAGTGCACTTGAAGTCTGTTCCTTCTGTGATGTTCAGCATACAGGGCGTGTTATCTGTAAAATTAGTGTGAAGGCACGTGACGTTGAACCCGATCAGTGGCTTAACTGGCTTGTGAACTTGAATCTCCTGGGATGCGTTCTCTCTGCTCACGTTATTATAAGCTGAAATACTAACGTTGAAAAAGGCGTAGTATGAATACAAATGCTGAACACTTAGTTCTCGGGTTGTGGTAATCGAACCGTCTCCAAAGTCAATGTAAAACTCAGGATTGGTTCCTTGTTGAACTGTTATTTCAACGGTCACGGTTTCATTCACTTCGATGTCCCTGTTTGCATGGATGACGTTACATGTCACGCCATTCAGCGGCAATTCCACAATAGCCACCTCTTCAATAGACGCGTTGGAAACGCAGTTCGACACGTTGATTGCCACGGTATATTCTCCTATTGCAGCATACTTGTGACTATTCATGGCGGCAAAGAGGTAGGTGATATCAAAGGAGCCGTTATGGAAGAAATCTCCATCGCCGAAGTCAATTGAAATGTTGACTCCGTTTCCTTGTCGCAGCATCCAGGTAACTTTTGTGTCATTTCCCAAAGGTACAGGACGGATAGGTTCGTAAAATGATAGACCTAGGACAATATCTTGTACAGTCACATAACAGGCCTTTATCTGAAACGATATCATATTGATAGCGTACAGAGAAATGTTGTAAGAACCGCTCGAATTATATACATAGCTGGACGGTAGATCGTTATCAAGACGAGTTTTCTGCATGGTGTTGCTCTTCCCGGCGCCAAAGTCCACAACATAAGTGACATTATAACCTTTGTGAGGATGTATTGTGATAGTATATGTGGCATTCGTGGCTACAAATTTGGGCGTTGTCCAAGTTACATTGGCCACTCCTTCAGTAGCAACGATTGTTGTTGTATCTTTTAAGGTATTGTGTGGACCACGGACTGTAGCTTCCTCTTCATAACGACCGATGGAGTAGTTATGAGTAAACCAAAACAGCGAAGGAAGTTGCTGAATTGCTGCAATGGCATATTGTATTTGTGATTCGCTCGGAGAGCTTGAAGCTGTGGTGATGATCGAACCAAGGCCAGGCTGTAACTCGTCGAAACTAAATGCCGTAGCGTTCATCTTCTGACTTTTTCCAGAATTCCGGGATGTTATCTCTGCAAATCCTCGTCCATAATAAGTAAACCCCAGGATATCACCCTCTTTAACATCCGTGCAGTTCTTGACGTCATCGAACTGGAAAATATGACATCCAGGCTTGGAGAGGAAGACGTGGCTTTCGATAACCAGCTCGTACTTCTCGCCCAGAGCTGCGCTCGGCATGTATTGGGGGGTAATGTTGTCATCAGTGCACGTGCCTGTTGCAGTTGAAAATACCTGGCTGCTGGTGCACGTAGAGGCATGAAGATTACCACAAGGTGTTATGTTAATAGCACAGTTACCGTTGGAGTAACAGTACCTATCGTGTGTCCCTTTACCGCAGACTGGTCGGAAAACCTGAGAGAGAGGAGAAAGAAAAAGAATATCAGCCATGCTGATGCTTTGTATCACGGAAATTTTAATACCAAATCGATGTCACTGTTAGAATAGAGTGAAGCCCCATAATCAAGTACACAATTCTACTATCATGAACAGCAAGTCAAGCATTATCACATTTTCTTCGAGCATGAACTAAACAAAACATATAATGACATAATGGCAATAAAAAAGAACTGAAAAAATACGGACGTAAACATTTTTGTCAATAATCATTATATGGCATTTTCATCAATCCACTTAAAAAGTGCAGCCCTTTTTTTATCTCTAATAAAATATGCGTAGCTTTGCTATATTACTTAACAGAAGTTTACCTTACAAAACTAATTTTTTATTTAGTGTCGAGAGTAATGCGGGATTGTTTTGGTTTTGCTCAACCTTGCTTTGTGATTGGTCCAGAAAACTTCCTCTTTTCTTCTCAAGCAATCAGACTCAAACTTCAGGTGAGAGCACTGGCCAGGTTATTGTGATGTGTTCTTAAGCAAGACACGCAAAGTGCCTCACACCTCCCAGGAGCATAAATGAGCCCCGATGAATTGTCACGAAAATCTGACAAAATGTAGGAAGCTTTTGTTCTATTAGGTGGTATTCCATGAAGAGGGGAATACACAAAATTCGAGTCACTTCATTTTACAGAAACTTGAACCGTTATGCTCCACCAAGTAACGTCGCAAAGCCGTACAAATCATAAAAAACGAATCTTTGTTATATGGAGAAAGACAGCTACTGTATCCTCTACCTGTAGGGAAACGAAGCCGCTGGTTTGCGAACAAATTCTCCATCCCATCAACTTGCCATCTTCTTCAAACCTGTAGCTAGGGATCAGTATTGTTTTATTTGAGGACTGGCTCAGAGCACTACCGGCTTCGATTTGGAAATTCTCTCCCACAAGTCTAGACAAAGCATCTACAAAAAATAGCACGTTTATTAAAATTTTGTCTCCTCCGACAGCTTGGTCTGCTTCATTAAATTGTTATGACATAAATATAGCTAGGAGAGGTTAATGTTGCTACTCCCAGTGATCTCTATCGAGCTTTAACACTAAATAATCTGATATAAGTGCAACTATCACCATTGCTTGGAAACCAAAACTTGGGTGTTTTGCAATGGTACAAGTTTTGATGCAGTAACATGACTGTTTCATGCAGTGGTTACTTTCATGTTGCCTGCAACATTAAAGTCCCCCTCGACACTGTAATATTACCGTCCAAAGGTGTTGAATATGAGCTGCCACCGGTGAATTGGATATCGAGATGCATGCTGGATCCTTGGTACACTTTAACGGGACAGTGAAACTCTTCATTAGCCTCAACGGCTGGTGGACAGTTGAGTTCAAAATAAGCCGCACGAGATTGAACATTCACCTGTAAAGGATCACATTAAATCAATTATTGGCCAAGTTTGAAATATGAAAATCTTTCGATAAGAAGTTTCATCTAAATTGGGAGATCAATAGAGAGCTTTACACCCTTTACAAACCTGCATCAGAAAAGTAGAGAGGAGAGAAAAGTAGACACGATATGCAGAAAGAAAAGGTTAATGAAAATGGCTTGCTTGCAAAGTTTAAGTCTCAGATTATATGATTTTGGATCGGATAAATTGCCTCTAAATTGCCTTGGTTCAAATTAATAGATTACGTCAAGGTGACTTACGGCCCATGAGGTGAACTTCGTTTGAGCTTCTCCATATTCCCCCAGTAGGACACGCCCATAACCACTATGTCGGCCATCTGTGTGGTAAATATAAGACACGGAAGTGTTCTCCGTTGTAAAAACAACATCTTCGCCAAAATCCAGCGTGTAGGAAGCGCCTGGATAACTGGAATATGTAGCGGTAATCCTTTCATATACGAATGTGCTTTCCGGCACCGTCACCTCGAACGAAAAATTGTAATTCCCCAAAGCTTGGTAAACACTGTAAGACTCCCGCCCTCCACAACGTAACACGATGTTTCCCGAGCACGGCTCGTTGCATTGTGGTTCCCCCACAATGCTACTCATATCCAGTGCATTTGAGCACCAGCACTGCTCGCCGTTCCTTAACGCGGAGAACTGGTACCCTGCGAGCCCACAGCAAGTGGTACAGATTTCAGCTGTTAAGGCGTTCGATGCATAGTCTCCACAAGCTTCAAATGTACCTTTCGTAAGACACCCAACGTAATTTGACGCTGTGTTCCAAGGAAACAATAAACGATTTGGAAATGTTATGAAAATTCAAATCGTGGTAATCTTGATTAAATGACAAAATAAGGGATGAAGCGTTTGTAAGACACAATTTTCGCGCATGCGAAACAATCTCATCCTCTACACCCTCAAAAAAAAAATTGCAGTGGGTTTCCTGGATTTGACATTGCAAATTGTATTGGCGTATAATTAATTTTATTTGACACATTTTCACTCCATTTCAAAGTACCTCTTGTGGCAAACACAGTTTTGTCACCAATTACCTTCTCCTTTGGAAGGTACTTAGCAAAGAATTTCAACGGCATAATTTTCTTACTTTGTTCAATTTCACACCCTTTTCTGTTGAGGAAATGTTTGCCTATCGCTTTATTTTAAAGTTCAAGCTTTCTTTCGGGTTGGAATACAAAAATTCAGTGATGTTCACAAGTTCTACGTTTATAGCTTTCAAACCTGTTGTATTTCCATATACTTCTACTTTCAGTGCCGGCTCGCTGTACCAAGACTTGCAGTAAAAACGGATAAATCTGGCATTGAGAGGCGGGTTTATTGTATTTTTGACAATATCTGTTGCATTTGTATTCCCTGTAAATATCTGTTTGAGAATAAAAAGAGAAACATTAATTGATCAAAACAAGGAAGGTAGGATATTGTTGTTAAATTCAAATATTAGACCCATGTTACTTGCCTTTTTCGAACTGCCATCTTTGTACGTTTGCCAAATAGCGCCACCTTTACTGTGGGAAAGAGTGTACGTCTGGCAGTAAGAGCTGCCGCCATTTGTTAACACGCCTTGCGTGCCTACCGCAGAGACCGCTTTGACTTGGTTCAAGTCCACTTGAAGCCACTGTTCGCCCGTGATAATTTTTGGCTTCCACGCCCGGTCATTCCATGAGCCGTCTACAAACAAAAGAATTAAAGTGATAATTTTGAATAAAAGCGTTTTTAGAGCTCAGAACCTTCTGCCACCACTTCGTTTAATAGCTAGTTAAAATTGGGAAAGAACGACATAAATTTGTCTGCGTAAGAAACACTTGGAAAAACTGTACAATTGCTACCAATTTCTGTGTCGGCAGGCTGTCGTAGAAGTTTCGTTCCGCTTTCTAAAGTTTGTATTTGAAGAGGCTGGTTTTAGTGACCATAAAGTTCCTTGAAATAATTCACCCTGCGGATGATATGAGATTTGAATACCGTTTTTCAGCAAAATACTAAACATATACCTCGCCAAGTTGCACTGTGCTGTGTACAACCAACATGATTTGAAAGCTATTGTTTTAGGGAGCAACTGAACCCTTTTCTGACTAAAAAAACTAACTATAACTTTTTTAATGTGTTGAGATCTCAATTTTCTTACTGTCACTTTTCGCAAAAACGTGAGGGCTGCAACATTTTTACGCAATCCCATTGTTTCATTATTGGTGGATCTCGAAGTTGCAACCGTACTCATCTCAAAATCTAAAGTTTTCTAAAGTCTCCGATCAGATTTTCTCTTAAATATATGTAGTAATCGATGTTTATTTCGTAGATTAAACCCACAAAGAGATGAAAATAGCGGGAGGTAGTTGGGAAAACATGAATCAAACCTAATTCAGATCGCCATATCAGACGACCTTCGGATGAGGAATGCCCAGTTACACTTGATGAAGCTGACATCGGCCCTGATGCCCCCGTACCAACGCCAAGCTTGGCTAAAGAAAACAATAAAACATATGTGTAAACAAGAATTAGTGGTAAAATTTACATGTGGTCCTTTCTTAGCAAATGATTTGATGAAACATCTGAATGATATCTATAACCAAGCCGGTGGTCAAGAAATTATGGCCCAGTTCAATGGTCGAACCTAAACTGACAGAACTAAGTTCATGTTAAGTTGGATGTTTGAATTGGTCGAGTTCGACCTACTGAATTTCGATGGACCAGCACACTCTGTCCATCTTCTTCAGATGAATAGAACGTGTGAAATCGCGTGATTTAAAGATTCGTTTTTCCTGCTCTTAATTTGATTCGACGAATTATGTTCCATGTTTGACCTATCGGTCGAATTTGATTCGTTTGGGTCGACCAAAATGTTTATTGCAATTTAGTTCATCTCGTGAAGTTCAGCGTTTGAACTGGGCCTAACAGTTATACCTTGTGCTTGTACTGGATCGCTGAAAATTTCTGTCGACGACATATACTTACAATTTCCACTGAGTCCGTCCTGTTGAAAGCAAGTGCTGGCACCAGAATCGTAACAGCAACCCAATGAGATACACAAAGACTTTGTAATACCACTCCAACCGCAGCTAATACGATCAGATGTCTCAATACTAGCACAAGGTGGATACTCTGACAAAAAAAAAATACACAAAATGCTTTGATAATTTGTATCAAAATAGGTAAAGATGCGAATGGCTTGGGTGACTTTTACAAGAAATTTCACATCGACAGCTTTAACCACGGGTATTTCATGTTTTGCAGAAATCAATACCGAACTAATACATAGAAGCTCCCAGTAAAGGTGGGGAGGTGGGGGAGTGGAGGCGATGGTAAAGGAACGAGTTTAGTGGAGCGGACCAGATATTAATTAAGAACATCGCCATTACGAAGGATAGAAATCAAGATAAATTACTCAACGTAGCTGAGACCTACGGAATGAATCGAGGAGAAATTTCTTATGGCAAGAGATTTTCGATACTCAGGCAGCAACATCCTAAATTGTGTGAAACAAAGGAGCTAGAAAATCAGTAAGTCGGATGAGCTGAATTTTACGGAAATAAACGAGGCTTAAAACCAGTTTACCAGGTGGGATATCAATCCATTTGAATGCAAGGTGTGGTATATTTACATGTAACGTCCTTTAACAATTCAGATTCAACCCTGATATGGAAGAATGAAAATAAAAGCGGCGAATTCCGTGTTGATGAGACACAATTCTCAACAATAGCACTCACTGAAACGTGAGAAATGCAGAAACATCGGAAGCTAGACAGATTGAAATCAAGAAAACCTACCGGGAGACAATCCAACGCAGTGAAACTTTGTCAACATTTCTTGCTTGCTCAAAGGTCTTTTATATATGACAACCTGGCTAAGACCGCCGTCAGATTCCCCGCCCGCGGGACGTTTTCCCGCAAGAAGATGTGTGTACGTCTCCTGGAGTCTTGATACGGACGAATAGGAGCCCCAAAGATCGTACGCACCGTTCACGACGAGAAATGGTGACTCGCCTTTCTTCCAGCTTACAAATACATGGTACCAAACTAGGGTAGCTATTCTGTGTTCAACCATGCCTGACACATCATTTGAGTAAAATCGAAAAGTCAGTTTGGAAGAGTCTTTGTCGTAGGAAATTAATAGCCCTCGATCAGATGATGTCTCGGCAGTGTGAAAGATATCGCTGCTACTAACCACCATCACCCAGAAACCAATGGCGATTCCTGTATTACATACTGCCGCGTCACTGACACAATCAGAAAAGTCGCCAAAGTCGATGGTTTTATTTTCCGTACTTTTAAGTACCACGCCTAAGCTGGCCATTCCTTGGTACCCAGGACCACTTCCCAAGGATGATTTGTCAGCTTTCCCGTGCTTTGAGCCAATCAAATCAAACACAGTACCAGCTACAACTTTATCCAGCGGCCAGAAATGATCAGCACCTTTGTAACATTTGACTAAAAAGGGAATAAAAGATAAGTCGTCTGCTGCGGCGACTGATTCATTCTTCAAATTAGCGAGAGGAAACCCTACGTTCAAAAGCGTTAGCTATCAAACATTCAAGTTAATCAGTTTTATCTCACTTCCATCTCAATCGTTCCAATAATTTTGCGTTATACCTTATTAGATCAAATGGATTACAAGAGGACGGTGGCTTTGAACGACTCGCTTCATCAATTATTGTTCAAAATTGCAACTTTTTTCTCCGAATTTGCTTGTGTTATTCAATGAATAACATCATCTTTCACTTAAGTATGCAGGATTCAGATTTACCATCTTCCTTTACATCATCGTTGGGCAAAAGCATCGGATATCATCATTCCTATTCTCGCAGTATGCAGGAAGTTTGTCACCATGGACCTAGTTAAACGGTTTAGCCTTTTTCTCCGAGTGGTTCTGTGTCATTCACTAAGTAAACTAATCTTTCACTTTTTCCGAGTTCTCACACCATTAGCATGAAATTTTATAAAACATGATATGTCCAGACTTACTCTCTTTGTTGCAAAGAATAATCCGTGTTTCCGATGAGCCATCAGCAGTGAACGACACGTAGCTAATGGAAAAAGGATTAGGGTTATTCCACTGAAGAATAACTTCACTTCCAGACCCCAGAACAAGTTTGCTCGAACGGAAGTCAATCCAGAACGTTCGCCATTGGCTCGCGTGGAAAGGATAACTTGATATATCTGCGGAATCCTTCGACACTTCTGATCCACCTTCCGTCGCGAGATAAATGGTTGATTTGGAATTACCACCAATATTAAAACGGTATCTAGTAGAGTCTGTTTGTGGCTTTTCATGTAGAGTTATGCTGACTTCTTGACTAGTCAGAACCAAAACCGAGATGGTTTTCCCGAACAGGGGATGTATCTCGGATTTCTTTCCTGCCGGAAGTGTCACTCTGCTGCAAAGCTTATCTGAAAAACAACGTAAAAATAGTAGCGATGACAACTCTAACAAAAATAGTTATGATAACTGTAAAAGTAATGGTAATTGTAATGGTAGTGTTAATGGCAATTGTAACAGAAACGGTAATTGGAATGACATTGGCGATACCAATTGTAATGACAAACGCAAGGACAAAGGCTACAGTGATAGTTACACCACGGGGCAGTCAATTCCGTTTTCTTTTCCAATATCGAGACTCGTGGTGGCGAGGTTTTTGAACACATTGAAAATTAGCGTCCGCCAATATTGATGTCGGTAGTCGGGGTTCATGAATTGCAAAGTGCATGGCCTCTCTTATTGTTCCTTCAGAGAAATAGCTAACTTAGGCACTTACAGTCTTACGAATAGCTCTCAGTTAAAAAAAGTTAAAACCACTGAAATTAACTTGAAGACAAGAAACAAACCTCTGAGGCAGTTATCGTGATAAAACTCCACCTCTCTAAACCCTATTTTTCCTGCCGCATACACTGTATCCACTACGACCTTCACGAAAGAAGTGCTGACATCAGCAAACGTTCGTACGTCCCAGATTGGTGTCGAACCATCCGTTTTGGTGAGGTCAACCTTGGACAGATGACACACGGTGAAAGGATTGTAAGTCAAAACACAAAAACTCTACTATTTCATGAAAACTACTATTCGTTAGCACCCTGGCTTTCTTTTCACAGTACATTTTGGGCATTTTTGTTTTTTAAAATTAACTTAGACTTAATCACGACATCATACTGATCGTTGTTTTTACAGTTAATTACAATTGACAGCTGCATCAACGACGTTTATCGCCAAAATCATGCAAGAGAAGAATAATTCATAGCTTGTGGAATGAAGCAATCTTTCTTGGTGATATTGTAGTCGTCCTAGCAATTGAAAAATTACAACTGCATAATTGCAAGATATCGCGTTCTTATTTTTTTTCTTTGTTACTTTTAGGAAATCCATCTCAACTGAGTTAAACGTATCAAAGAACGTCATAGCAAATAGACTTGAATTCAATATAGGGGGTAAGTTTCGAAAGAAATTGTGGTGCTGCCGGCGTCAGTGGGAGTATTATGCTCTGACAAAGGGCCAATGCTCGAAACGTCAGAGACTCTACCGCGACCAGTTTACATCATCAACCAAATTGATAAAACCAAATTATCTTGAATTGTTTATTCACGGGTAGGCACTTGCATACAATTTTAAGCTAAAAATAAAGTATTAAAGAACTTTATAAGAGTAAAATGAAATGACATTTTTTGCCTAAGTGGAAATTATTGAATCGCATGGATTGTCCCCCAACGTTCCAGAACCTTCTGATGTAATTAGGACGACTACGAGGATACGACCAACAAGCAAAATAAATCTGTGCAGAAAAGATGGATTGAAGATTTGTTATTTCCAAAGGAAAAGCTTTTCATCGCGAAACGAACGATAATAGCAGCCTAGCAATACAATTCTAGCGTTCTTTCTTCGCAAACTATTATGCTTCAACATCTTTAAGATGCTATGCTCGGAAGAAAAAGATGGAAAAAATCCAGAGATTCGTTCACCCATCCTCTGATGAATAGACTTATACGTTGTTCCTCCAAGATCTAATGAAAAAAATAAAATAATCTTCTCCTGATCTACTCACGTATGCCTCAGAACTGTCAGAAAACTCAAGTCGTAGACTTTTAGCAAGATCAGTGAGTTCAACTCTTTGCATCACACGAATGGTGTTCAGTAGATAAGCTCGAACGAACTGGATTTTGATCCACTGTCCTATTCCCCCATTACTGGCCCAACCGTTTGCTGTGCCTCCGTCTATTACCAGTCCACATGTACCCTGATCGTGTGAGGCTTCAGTACACTGCCCACCATTGCTTGTTGCTGCTATGTTGATGTGTGTGCAGCGAAGGTAGTCTGAAATGGAGCATATTAGAGTGAGATGACAGAGATGGGCGGCCTAGAAGTTAGCTGGGATCTACCGAAGACATTTTTTGGTTTAGTCAGAAACGGAAGTCTGTTTACCGAATGTTCGTTTAGTATACTAATGTAAATTTCTGCTCAAGAGATACAATTTTCTTCTTTTTCGTTGATGTTTTCCACAACAATTCTGATTTGCATGCTATCTGCCTCAATCTAGTTATCACTCAGAACACCAGATAGCCGGGATAAGCCTTCACAAGGAGGTCTCTGAGCACGGGTTTTATTTTGAGAAAACGTATCCTACTCGGGCCTGAACCAGGAATCTCCTCTTTATTTTTCCCAAAGACAAACAAAAGAGCTATTCACTTTTCTTTACAGAGGCTGAAGACCTGAAAAGCATACAAAGGTGAATCGGAAACAAATGTGAATATAGTTTGAAGGAAGTGTGAAGAAATATAGAAAGAGATACGTTAGGGTACAATATTGAATACTCTCTTTGCATTGACAAGGACTGAAAACCTTAAAGCATACAAAGGTGAATCGGAGACAAATGAGGATCAGAGTTTAAAGGTAGAGAGAGAAAGAGGAACCTGGAGGTAGAAATATTGGTCACATATTATGTGGTAAGTAAATATGGCTTTCCAGTTATAGGAGGAGACGTCACTTTCATAGGCAGCGAATGAAATTGGAAGCTTACCCATTAAAACAAGATAGCCACTCATTATAAATGATTAAATCAGATCCCTATTTAAAGAAGAAATCAGTTTTTAACTCATGTTAGCGCAAAGTTTATAACTTTGCTAATATCTGTTAAACCAGTAGCTCCCCACAACTACTGATTAAGACGTGCAGCATGCTAGCAGATCCATAAATGAACTTCCTTCTAGTTTTCGTGAAGTACAGAAAATGCAACAGTTATTTAATTTGCAGTATTCTGCTAACTCATGTCAGTGTGACCCGACTGATGAAACCTGAACAGAATGGCATTCAGTTCATGTAAAGTTATACCGTGTAATGTCATACCGTCTAATGTATACATGGAAAACCACGCGCGTCTGATTGGCTGAAAACGAGTGCATTTTCATGCAACACGAGTGCAAATTACAAATAGCGCGCGTGTGCTGCCAAAATTTCATCCGTCTTTACTTTCTGTGATGCGTTTTTCATATAAATTTCATGATTTCGAGTGCAGTTTGGGGTAAATAAACACTTGCAGATAAGCACTCGTCCAACTATGTTGTCTTTGAAAAATTACTCGTGCTTATTTACGCCAAATTACACTCGTAATCATGTTGTTACCAATACAAATTTCTTAGTTAAGTGTCGATCCGTCATAAAAGAAAGTAAACAAGAAGTGATTCAAAACAGTTAAATAAGCAGTTTCTCCTCATTTCACAGGTCACTAGCATCTTTATTAGACAAACTCTGTTTATTAGGCGAACACTATTGGGCGGGTCCTCTCAGCGTCCGCTTGACATACGCTTGACAGTTTAGCAAGAAAAGACGAGTTATACCATATCACGAGTCAAGTTCGAGTGACGAGTCAAGTTTGAGTGAATTCAAATTGAACGTTTTTTTTCTGCTTTTAGTTTTTTTTTTCTTTTTTTTTTTTTTTTTGATTCTGTGTCAAAGTGATGTATCAGGGATACAAGAACACCTAGTTTTAAGCTTAAAACATTTTTCACAACCGTTTGCGAGGGTGAATTCTGCACTGATTCATGGCTGCGTTCATAGAAGTAAACATTCCAAGGCGTCTACGAGTTTCCCCCAAAGAATCCAACCTCTTTTTGCTTATACACACCTGAGGCAGAAATCCTTACTCAACGACAAACCGTCTAGATTCGGAGTATGAAACTGATTTCTCGTACTCGACCGCCATGTTACATCCATAGGGACCCCATCGTCTCTTCGGCCAAAATTGTGGAGAAAATATATAGAAAATTGATACTGTAATCGTAGACCGTAGGTGTTGTTCTATTACTATGAAACTAGGGACTTATCGTATACCGTGACTAGAGTTACCAAAGATTCTCTGCGATTAAAAGTGAGCGGAGTTTATCGTAGATTTCATAACATGCGGGGGCATTCGCGACAGTGGATTAGCTCCGGTGGAGCTAATATACAGCTGGTGAGAAGCATCAGTATACCTGCCAACTCACAAGGTTTTTGGTTTTGCCGTGAGCTTTTTGGTTTTGCCATGAGGTATTTGTTATTTCCGTGACGGTCGTGGGCCATAGAAGTATTGTCTTGCGATTGACTCAAACTTGACTCGGGCCCGAAGTTGACTCGTGAAATGGTATAACTCAGAAACTGACAAAGTAAATCTAGGTAATGCATCTTTTCGCTGCATATGTGACAAGTACGATGATAATTTTACTCCGGCCTTTCTTGAAATTATCTCCGCTTCCCATAACATTAAAACATTTCTCTATTTCACAAGGTATGGTTTCTTATGCTGTGAAAAAAAAATATCATTTCGAGATACACAATTGTTTTCAAAGTTCGAGGAGAAGCCTATCAATTTTCAGGGCTGTTTTGTCGAAGGCTTGCTAAAATAAATTTAATCATGCACATTTGCAATTCCCTGTAATATTCGTTGAGGATGCATCCGAAAGCTATCCCACTAAGCTCTGTAATTTTCGCTGTTGCGTTCAAATTTTCGGATTGCCTTTCGAGGGTATCAATCGGGAGATCGCTTTAACGATCAACGGTAAAATTTTGGCCATTTAACGGCTAAAAATGAGTAGGATTCAAAATTATTTCAGTAGCAGTCAACAGAAATGTTAAAAATTAGCTTCAATTGTATTTAAAAAAGTTAGTGATAAATTTTCATTGTTCTAAAACACGTTTACTGGCTCGCTCTTACCATTAGAGTCGAGAAAGAAAGACGATTCCAAATCGAGCCGGTGTTGAGTAATATAAAGTAATTTTTGTTTTCCCACGTTGGCTACGCGACAAGACACAAAACAGTCTAGAATTTTGACACTTTCAAAATGATATATTGTAGATAGGAAAACTTTTACGGCTAATTTTTTTTAACGACCAACGGTTAAAATTTGTCAATTTTTACGCATGACGACTAAATTTTCTGGCCATTTTGAGGCTAACAGTTAACCCGATAGAGATCTTCTAATATCAACTACCGCTCTCTTAATTTGTAAACAAAAGAAAAAATCCTGCAGCAGATTGACTGGATTAAGTCGGCTGTAATTGTTGAAAAAGATCTAAGTTACACTGTATGCTGATTTGTTTAATCACGAAACTTTCGCATGGCACATAATAAACGAAATAAGAAAACAGAACAAAACACTGTCTTCTAAAAATGACTGACAACAAAAACTTCCTCAAATAAGTATCCGACTTTTTTCACAACCGAATTTAATTACTCCAGACAAACATTCCGAACTAAATTTCCTCCCGTCAGATATACTCAATATCATTCTAGAACTCTTTCATAATTCATCCTTTCAGGAATCCCTGTGGTTAAGTTCATTTCTCGTGAACTAAATATTTCACAAGTCGGCAGAATCTTGTGCAATAAATTATTGGAAACTTAAAATACGAAATTTATAATAAAATCGACTTGCTGAAACTATCGAGAACCGTATCATTTAGTCTTATCATTGCACTGTGCATTGTCAATTAATGGTACTAAAGATTGCAAAGTAAAGTCGTAATTAGACATATTATTCGATTTATTGGAGTTAATTAGTTTGCTGGTGACCTTCTTTTATCGCATGTGTAGAGAAGTTGAAAAAAATTTTCTGAGTAGTGAACATTTAACTTGATCTAGTAAAAATTAACATCAAAATGTGATGATGATGTCAAAAACTGAACACAATCATTAGGCAAGCTCACGAAGGGATGTTTTTGCGTTTCACGAAGGCACAAGCGTGCTGTGTTTGACAAATCCTTAAAACCGATAACAAAACTCTAAATATTGAAAATGGATAGGAATTACAAGCTTACTTGGTACTGTGTAGCTTGACTCAGCCCAGCGGGCCTGAAAAGAAGGAATGGAACAAGATAATTATTTCTACAAGAAACCCACATTAACAGGAGGACTTTGTTGGTCATTACGAAGTTAGTACTTACATGACAAATTAAGACGATAAAAACTGTGCTCCAGTGAAAACCTAAAATGCTTTTCATCTTAAATTATGTGTACGTTTTCATATTTTCACTCAGTACAATCGTAGTTTCGTCGAAAAACTCAGTCAACTCTTAGAACCAGTTGAAACTACAGCGTTCTTGAAAATTCTGTTTTTGCACAGGCAAAGTCTGTTCTGACAACTTATCAGACCACCTAAACAACAACATGCAGTGGATCTTCGAGTCTTGACAAAATTGATCGAACTGTAAGTGCCACTGAATACTTGCAGTCTGCTAAACGAGTCTTGACGGAGTCGAAACAACAGAAGCTCTGAATATTTCTTGATCAAATGCAGTTTGGTTAAACAAATTGGCTGGGTGCCTGCTTACGGACAATGTCGAAACACCTGCACTTCCAAACATCTAATTCCCAGAGATTTGAAAATGTCTAATTATGTTAATCACTTAAGGCCTTTTTAAACCTGTCCTGACCGAGGCTCAATGAACATAGGGCAAACTTTAAATGAAAATTTTAAAAGTGACATAGAAGTAGCATTATGCCCGATGGATAAAATTCAGAGATGAATTATCAGACTTAAAATTGCACGGTTGAATTGCTATCATTCAAGCACAATGCCGTGTTTACAGCAACAATTCTTTAGCACCGCCACATAATTAGCTGCTTTGTTTAATTAACGGACGAAAGCATTCATCTATCTTGGGCGAGAAGAAAATGCCTACAATAAGTCTCAGATGAGACTTTATCCTTTCGATTATCCGGGAATTTGGAGCGTACGCTTAAGTAAAAAGGGAATAGTGCAGGTTTAATACTCCGCCGTATTCGCTACGACTTCTTGAAAATCTCGCCTAAGAATTTGAGCCCTCACAATCAAAGCTATATCTAGACGAAATTTATTTTGATGTCATAACATGACTGACGAATAAAGGTTTGATTGATTATAGACTTCAAAAATTTAATGAGACAAGAAATTACATTCTTTATAGAAATTTTCCGTTCAGCTCCACCCTCAATAGGAAATAACAAGTTTTTTTCTTAGCTAAAAAGGTTTCATTACTTTTGATTCTTGCTGTAGTTTAAAACTTTTGAACTTCTGTGATAGTTGCGGCCCATTCATATTTCAGGACCCGTTTTGCACTGGAGTAAACTTCAAAAGAACTTTGACAGTTTTTGGTTATGCCACACCATCGTCTGATTTACATTACTTAGTAAAAATGCTACTTAACTTTTTCATATCTTTTAAGGATAACTTAACTTGATGCAAGAAGCATCCAGCTGGTGAGAACAAGCAAAGGGGTCAACAGTCCCTCTTTCGCCGATTTCATTCTGAGTGGGTGATTTCCTAAAACTGTGCAGTCAAAAGTCCTGAAGCAGTAAATTTGATTGTTAAAAAAAAGTTCTCTTTTCGATAAAGGTTAACTGTTTGACATAAATAAAGTAAAAAAAGTACAGTCTGATGAGAGTAGAAACCGTGTCGAGTTCACTTCAAACTACATTGGATAAAGAGTAAATTAAAGTTGGCAGAGGAGATGGGAGGGGAGGGGGGTGGATGCTATGACCAACCGCCTCAATCAGATTCTCTGTCAGGCTTGCGCTGGAATACCCAACTCCTTGGATTAAATAAAGAAAAACTTGACGTAATGAGCCTAATTAACAATGAATACCGTAAAAATTTCTAAGAATTTTTCCCTAAACGAAATCGTTTTAATTGTGCTGAATAACCTCTCTATCAGTGAGACAGAATGAAAATGCTCTCAAATCGATTTTTTTTTCTCCTGGAAAAAAAGACATTGTGGACAAAAAGTTAAAACTCAAAGACCCCGGGATCATCACTTCGTGTCCAATCTGGATTGAAAGATCAATTTAAATAATCATGTGATGTAAATAGATCGAAGAATCTCGAAGGGAGAACAATAGAAGCTTCAAAACTAAATGCACACAAGTTACTTTCATAAACTTGGTAGACGA